TTTTGATATCTCATTTATAAAGTTCACAATCAATACAGATGTATATATATATACAATATATAATACTATATACAAATATATATATTGAATAAAGAAAAATACATTAATCTATTGATTAACACTATTTCTATGCGATAATCGATTGTTTCTTTATAGATGGATATATATTATTGCCATTAAATGTATGTTAAATATAATATAAATATATTCAAGAGATTTTTTTATTATATCTAATAGTAAACCAGAATTCAAGTCATTTTATATCTTATCTAATATTCATAATATTGAATATCATTTATATATAAATTTAACTCCTTTTATGAAAAATAGTATTATATAAAAGCAATAGAAATAATAATGACAAATAATAATAATAAAATGCCGTTAATATCATGTTTCCAAAATCTAATTAATATTTTTGCATTGAATTTATATCCATATATTCAATACACTAAAATACTGTATAATATAATATAATATGCAGCAAAATGCATTCATTTATTTTATATTATTATTATATTTTATGATATACATATATATATATTTAGTAGATTTATTATATCTCTATATTTGTATTTAGATTTTCAAATAACAATTACACTAACGTTAGTAAGTAAGCAATCTTGAGTTTTAGATATTATTTTACGAAAACATTTTTGTTTAATTAAATATTATAATTTATTAATACTTACCAAAATGAATAACTTATAAATATTAAGGGACGATAAAAAATAATTTAATTATATTATATAACAAAACACTATTAAGCATTAAACTATATAAGTATTATTGCATTCATTTAATAGCATTAATTACTAAACATTTTTTATATGCAAAGTTATGTGTGTTTTTATGTGTAATTATAAAAATAGGCAAACAATTTATCGAAAGTATTATTATTAGTAGTAGTAATAATAATACCTTTTTTCTCTCTCCCTTTTCTCTCATTATGTAAGACATTAAGCATTAGTGGATCAATAAATTTATTTTCATGTCATAAGCAACTAATCCTCAATACATTTTCAACCCATAAAGTCATTATTATTTGGGACTAAATTTTATTTAATATATTTGACGAGTAATAACATTAGCATAAAAAACACACACAAACTTCTATCGCCCCTTAAAAGACTCTTTTGTGCACTAAAATCGTGTCATTCATTCATCCATTGAAAATACACAGTCATTCACCCGCTATTGCATCACATCTATGGTTACGCTTTACATGGATTTTGATTTAATTTTTTTTCATTATTTTGTTTAAAATGATGAGTGATATGCGAATTAATGCGATATCATATATTAATTTTATGTTTGCGTAAAATAGTAATAACATTCAACAACAAAAAATAAAAAATTGAATTTTCAAAGATATGAATAAATGACAATCATTTGATGGTTACAAATATGTACAAAATGATACCATACAGTGCACTATCATATTTATAAATGCTTATTATATATTATACTCGATATATATATATATATATGAATATGAATATGTGTGTTTTGTGATCACATTTTGCACCATTTGTTACTTTTTTATTATACAATACACCATATCATGCAAACCATGAAAAGAAATGTTTTGTTGTTATAAATATGAAAACATATAAAATTGTTGTATGATTTCAATAGAAAAATGTATATCACTTTTACACTACAATATGCATATTAAGTTTCAGATATTTTGATAAACATTTATCATATCATTGTAGAATTGTTATATTAAATATTTTTTACCAAACATTTTTTACTTTTATCAACAGATTTTTTTCAATATTAGACATTTATTGTGATAATTGTATTTTCTATATATAAAATTTATTTTTAAAATTAATATATTAAGCACAACAAATATATATCATTTCTAATACTTTATATAAATATATAATAAAATAAATTTCAAAATTTTCAAGTTTTTAGTTTTATTTTTAAAGATTATTTAGTATATATACTAATTTTGAAATATTAGAATTTTTATGCTTTTAATGTTTTCATATTACATAATATGTGCTCTTTTAGTATATCACGAAAAGACTTAAATATTTAGCCGACTTTATAACAAAAATTTTATTTTAATACACTGACTAAATATACAGTATATAATGTAACTTATCAAATATAATCATATATTATGATTTACATTATGGTATTTACAATAAATATAATATATTTATAATGTAAGTCATATATATATATAAGTAATAATCATCTTTTATAAAAGAAATATAAGTCTATGGCTTTCATTTAATTTATCAAAACAGAAACTATAGATAAAATAGATTTATTTGGGGATGAATTGCAAAGCTAAAGGTTAGTACTTATTGAATAACTGTGTTGTGGACTATAAATTGTATCACAAATAAATTTTATGAATGAAATTTATTATATATTTGTGTGAAACGAAAGAACTATACATAAATCATAAATCATTATATATTTTATAGTGAATTCAATAGATATGAAAAGCAGGAGATTTACTAAAGTTTAAGTTAAAACTTAAAGATGACTTAAATCTCTCTCTCTTTTCTTCCTTATATTCTGTCTTATATTGGGATCTCTTTCCTATCCTTAATACACATAAGACTTATACCATGAAATTGTATGAGTGGTCACTGCTATCAACTTTCCATTGGTTATACTTTTAATCGGAATCGATGTTTACTATTATTTAAGACATTGAGAAATGTGTGTCAAATGTAATGCCATTTCTCTCATTTTCAATGCTTACTGCCTTTCCTATTCAATGGTCTAAATATATGTGGGCACTGTTATGTTTAAGGGCTGACATGTCGTCTCGTTTATGGACCGGTGGTCATCAGAAAGATGTAGCCATAAAATGCATCATTTCCTTTAGCTTACTCTCGCAGCTCTTCCCTACTCTCTCTCTCTCTCTCTCTCTCTCTCTCTCTCTCTCTCTCTCTCTCTCTCTCTCTCTCTCTCTCTCTCTCTCTCTCTTATAATGCATAGATATATATAACTTATATACGGTATTACTCTTTTCAAAAGATAACAAATAAATCCTCTTTTCATAATAGAAAAGCAAATAAATAGAAGTAAAGTAAGCGATGAGAACTCATTTTTCTCAAATAATAATAATACCATTGTTTAAGTAAAAGTCAAAGAGAGCACACAAATTTTAAACACTAACCTMTCTCTCTCTCTCTCTCTCTCTCTCTCAATAGACTCCCCGGGGTTTTATAGTAAGGCCTCATCATGTGATGTGTTAGATGTTATGGAAACACAGTTTACTATTTTCTCGAGTGACTCGACTTTACTTATTATAAGCAATAATTTTTTGCTTTCATGTCTTCCCCTATATTTTCTGTATATCACCAGTCAATCCATGTATTTTTGTGTCTAAGTTTTCTGTAATATTTGTTACGTTGAAAACACATGAAAGTGAATGAATGAAAGTATGAATGAGAGAGAGAGAGAGAGAGAGAGAGAGAGAGAGAGAGAGAGAGAGAGAGAGAGAGAGAGAGAGAAGGGATGTGTAATATAAGATTTGTGACAATAGGAGCACAGGGCTAATGCCCAGAGCTGTGGTGAAAAATTGGCAAAAACGCGAAACGACTTCATTTTTCATCATCAATGCCGGAGCCGTGTTATTCCCGGCGGTAATCCCCACACATAAGCCCTTTCCAAACACATACTCACAAACAATGCTTAATGTCTCACTTGCTTTGACCGTACAATAGGTGCTATTCAGTCAACGATACATACAATAACAACACTAATGTCATACCATTTGATATCATTCATTGCTAAACATACAAAACTGTCCAAACAATGTGAATGTATTACTAATGGGTATTGAATATAAAAACAGCAAAATGTCAAATAAAATGACATTAAATGATCTGCAAATCACTGTTTGATATGCTATAAGCACTGTATTTTGCTTTAGTCACAGCAAAAAAAATATGATTATTTTTTTCGATATCAACAAAACATTTTTTTCCACAATATTAGTGCACAAAAATGCCAATTCCTGTATTATACTGTATTGAACTACCATTACATCACCGAAATAATATAGATATTTTATGTATAGTATGTATTGAATATACTGTATATTAAAAAAAAACTGTAAATGTATGTACCATATAGTAGTGATGATCAAAGAGCTTTAACACTACTATTACTATTTGGCTACCAATGGGTAGACAATCTCCCAAAGCTTTTGATAAACTGAATCTTCAGTCACTTTTGTTGTTAAAACTCAAAAACATTATATAAGAGGTCAAGCCTTACAGCAATATCTATAGTATTATGTGTGCTATCAATGAAAAATCGCTGTTCAGATCATCGTTTTTTTGCCAACATTTTTACAATAAAAACTTATATTAAATAAATTTTACATTTTTTTAAGTAAAACTATTGCAAACAAAAGTAGTTTATTTATATTTTATATATATATATATATATTTAACATATTAACATAAATAATAGTGTATTTATATATATATTTCTGTTGTATGCCTTTTTTGTTTCTTTACTTTACAATACAATTACTGTACAGAATATAAATATCATTTTGTGTCTAATTTTTGTGTGAAATGCTATTTATATACTCTTTTGTTGTATACTTTCTGTAAATATATAATCCATTTGTTATATAAAATTCAATTATAATTACAATAAGAGTTTAAACTTAATAAACAGTTTATATCTCATCTTTTGTTTTTTTGTGGTGGTGTGCAATCACCAAAAATGCAAATAATAAATTAATTTTTAAATTAATGAAATATTTGGTTAAAATTAAATTATCATAATTTTTGTTATTATTAGTTAACAATATTAATTAATCATAATTTTTAAATAATTAAATAAATAATGTCATTATAATAGTTGTATTCTATAATTATAATAATAATAGCTATAATTAAAATGATAATTATAACAATTTGTTAATTCAAAACTAACATTTATTTTGTTAAAAGACTAGTCATTAAAATATATATTTATTATTATATATAATATTGTGTTTCTGGGGATGTGTTTAATGATATACAAGTATAGAGAGAGAGAGAGATAGGAAAGAGTGGTATTCATAGCTATCATTGAGACTTTCGCCTCAATGAGTGACTGCTTTGTTGATGATATTGTGTATTAATTATAACAGAAGAGCTACTTTGTTGTGGCTGTGAATCTTGTAGTGATGGCTGTTGTTGTTGTGTTTTACTATAATTAGGTGAAGATAATGGTATCTTTACCTCAGTATTAGAGTCCTCAACAATGACATTACAGTTACTATTGAGCTCTCTGTTAGTCTGAGTTTCATTATTATGACAATTAATACTATTAGTATTTGTATGACTGTTTCCGCCACTACTAATACATGCTGTGCTGGAACTGGCAGTAGCGGCACTGGTAGTGGCAATTGAATTGCCAGATATTACACTCAATTGATAAGGAGGTGGCGGTTCATGACTCCGCTGATGTCTTAGGAGCGGATTGTGTTGGTATGAGCACAACGCAGCTGAAGGGTTAGCTCTGGTGGCCGCCAACACTGTTCTCAATTGTGTTGGCTGCGGGTGTGAACCGGAAAATACAGATAAGTCACCGCATAGGGCACTGGCCACCTGTTCGGGTGACTTGAAAAAGGCTGGATTTAACGGTTGGAATGACTCCAATGGGAACACGTGTGGAGAAGCAGACGAGTTACACGAGACTCGGTATACCTGATTGTCTCGGCTGTCACTTCTCTTCCAATACCGTTTGCAGACATAACACGTGAGGATTGTTAGGAACACCGATACTATACACGTGAGACCAATAATTTTCAATAGGATTCGGGGACTGAAATTACACAAATATTGAGGTCAAATTATATGTCCTATTATATCATATAAATTATATACAGTATATATACATATATATTATAATGTTATAGCTAATACATTAATAGGTATCGGTGCTCTGGTTTAGTAATCTATAACTAAATACTAATATACTATACAATATTATTGATCTTAAAATACTATCGATTTCTATTAATAGCCATAAATAAAAATTATTGTTTTTATTAGGAATAGTTTGTCTGTTAAAAATTAAATATTTGTTTGCTATATATTATAATATACATATTGTGGACAGATATTGCAAATATATATAATATAAATGAATGAATTAATTAATAAAATGAAAACATACTCGAGTTGAGTTCGTGTCGGATGACTAGTGTGTGTCTGAACCGATTGACTTCTTCGAGTACAACAATACTTATAGGTCGGAGTTCCGCAACAATACACGGCCTCCTCATTGGATTTGGTGGGACAGGAGAAGCCTGTATTCCACTTGTTGTACTGATCCACATATCCGGTACAGTAGTCGTCACCGAATACTAATAAAATGAAAGATAAGTTATATAAAAATGGGCTTAAAATCAAATTTGTTAAATAAATATTGATTTTTCGGTTGCTTTGAGGTCTTTATTTACAAATATGTGCCTTTAATGGCAGTCACACTTTGCCCAGAGAAGCAATAATATATAAATATATAGTATATATCTGTTTGAATTATGATCTACAGATGCAATGCACTGATATAACACAACTATAATATCGTTCCCTTAGGCAACAAGTAATGTCAGATTAATATCAAAATATTTGTCGACAAAAATCTTTTTTATGATTAGATTCTGTCGCTATATTATAGACACAGTAGGAGATCCAACCCGTTATAAATAGCTATTTATTATAATATATAACTGTATCACCGATTCTGCATTGTAAATGTCAATTGAATGTTAACGCCAACAATGCAAACTAAATATTTCATTTTACTGTACTTACAGCACAGTTATGTCAAGAATTGACAAGAATTTTTTTTCGCCAAAATGGATATTATATATCAATAAATATAATAAATTTTATCTCTAGATTATATGTAAGAATTGTAACATTTATTTATTACAGATCTGTAGATATAATAAATTGTTATCAATAATGTCATCCATTGATATCAATGAAGCGATTTTCTATTGAATCACTTGACGCGACTAAGAATTGTCGACTAAATACTGGCTAATGAGTTAACGGTTGCTAACTATAAATGATAACCAAAACCTAATTAAGTGATACTATCGACTGATAATAGAGTTGAGTTAGACATCTCTTGCCTATTGGAGTTAATCAACAAATATATAAGTATAATGAGAGTTCAATTGTCGTAAATTTTTGGTATCAAAATCAGTGAATTGTTAACTATTTTTGGTTAAGACTTCAATTCTTATTGGGATTTGAATCGGATTTCCGATTTCCTGCGAGTCTATCGTAAATAAGGAGCTTAAGGAGTGAACACTACTACTATTCACCAATATTTTTAAGACCATCTTTGGTGAATATCGCTACCAATAATGACCTCATGAGTGCACTCATCCGATATAATATACAATACCTAATAATCTGATACATGGCTTATATAAGGATGTCATCAAACTATACATACCTTGATGTTCGCCATCGGGCGACAGTTCTCGTACTTCCATTAAGTCGACAATTTGTCATTCAATAGTTGGTATTTTTTAAATGTAAAAACAATACACTCAAGTGATGAAACCTTTGGAAACTGCACTTTTAAAAGTCAATTGAAAAAACTAATAAATGTTAGAACCAAAAGAAATGATGTTTTTGAGAGATAGTAGTCAACGACAACGACAACGATAACGACTATTAGTTATGAACCGACACACAAATTGTTGGCACAAATGCACAGTCAGTCAATAGTAGCTTCGCGTGCGGTGTCAGTGCTCAGCGATAACTGAGTGAGAGCTGAGCCAAACACACGCGACAACTGACGTGTACGGCGTTCATGAGCCGCGCCATCGCAGTGCCCGTCGTTGGGCAGCAACCGGAGGGCCGAACCTATTGGTCACACGCGGACTCAGCTATACATTTGAATAACATTTGAGTAAAAGTTTTGTCAACTTTTTTTTTGTTGATTAACAATACAATACCTCTTTGTTTAAATTTAATTTGATTAGTCATTACAATAAACAATACTTTACTTTATATCCAATGTTTTTAATTATTGCATGTTTTCAAAACACAAAATTTTCATTAATTATTTTTTGGCCTAATTTATTGCTTTATTATAAATTCATTTATAACTTAAATACAATATCATTAGAGATTCTAACATAAAATTTTAAAATTGATTTTTGAATTAATATTATTGTGGCATCAAATGAGATGAAAGCAATTTAGCAAATTATAAAATTAAACAAATATTTAATTTATTGTTTTTAATTTAACTAATGAATGTATACGAAAAATTGTGTAAACGTTTAATAATACCTTTCAATATTAGCTATTTTTATCAAATTATTCAATTGTACTCAAAAACACTTATAAAGCATTGTATAATTAAATAATTAATGTTAATTTGCAAATAATAAATAAGTTTAATTTTAGTATTTGCTGTTCAATGAATGGTTGAAATAATATATAGTAAAAAACATTTATTTATATATTTAAATCGAATGATAATTTTTATTACAAATCTTAACTATTTTACTATATTTTGTTTCTGAAAATGTGTATAACGATAGCTTTTATGACACAATTATTGTATTGAATACATAAATAAAATATAAATAATAACATAACTATTATAAAATGATTCCAACACATCTGAAAATTAAATTATAAATTAAAGTTTAAGAATTGTGTTGAATCAAGTTTTTACGAACTCCTGAAAGGAGTACGTATATGAATTCTATAAGTCTGTCTGTCTGTCTGTCTGTCGGTCCCATATAGGTCAATGGTTCGAATCTAGGCTCTGCTACAATTTTTTTTTATTTTTTTTTATATTTTTATATATTTTTTTCTTTTTTTTTCTTTTTTAAGTTAAGGAGTTCGTATGGAAATGCTTTTGAAGCATTCTCAACTGGGTTTTTTTTATTGATTTATCAATAGAAATATTTTCTAAATTGAAACTTAAAATTTAAGATTTATATATTTTTATTGTATTTTTGAGATTATTTTTAATGAACATTTATAAAACATTTTTATTGTTTTATATTTTCATATTTAGCTATTTGGACAATACGTGTCCACTAAGTTTAGGAAAAATCGTCAAATTTATGTCAAATCTAAACTTTTGTCGTTTTACTACATAATTATTACATGAAATTAACTAACTTATTATTTTTAGCAATTAATACTTTTGATAAATATTCTACAATTAAATAATTGTTTTATAATTATTACTTTAAAGCTATTTATGTACTTATAAATTATATACTGTATAACACATACTATGTTTTCCCAATACAAATATGTAGTTTTTTTTACTGAATCGCAAATACAGTACTTACTCATACATTAAGTTTAATATCAAAACAAATGATAATATCGGTGATAATGTCAACAAAAATCATCTCATATTTTAAACAACACTACAAATATCTTAGTATCTAAATTAAGATTAATTTAAAATAAGGTATTTGGAAACAAATAACATCAAATATCCATTAATTTATAATGTATTTTGCTTTTAAAAATTGGAAACTATAGTAAATGCTGGAGAAAAACAAGTCAACATGTTTTTAGCAGATTAATTAAAGATATTTTTAAATAAATTATTTTCAAATATAAATCATTTAGATTATTGGTTTTTTCATCAAATTTGAAAACTTTTAGTTAGTTTTAATAGGTTATTAACAGTACTAAACTGTTATTTGATATTAAATTTTATAAATAAATTACATTTAATTTTCTTTTTAGATGTATAATATACATTTTTTTATTAATTTACATTATTTAAGTTTACAATACCAACAATAGTGGAAAACAATAAAAATTAAATATAAATAATTTTTTAAATAAACATTTTTTAATATGTTATATATATTTTTATAGTTTAATAAACTTTTCGACTATTGATTACTCTTTATAATTATGTAATAATGTTAGAATATAAATATAAATTTTTCTTAATAGATAATATACGTAGTGGTACTATAATTTTCATTGAAGTTTGTTACAACAGTTTAACAAAATAACTAAAATTGTCAAAAATAATTTGAAAGAGTTTAAATAAATTTGATAACTTAAAAAATTCATTTGTAACAATTATAATTTTATTTAATTAAAAAACACTAATCATTTTAAATGTAGTATTTTATATCTCTATGAAATATATTAATGATAAAATTTATATGATGATAAAATATTTGAATTGATGTTATATGAATCATATAATTATATATCATTTATATGTTGATATTTATATAAAGTAAATATTTTTATATGCTTGGGACAATTAATTAAATCTATACATTTTTAAATCCAATAACTTTAAATTATATTTAGGTTTGTAAAAAATATATAAATTAAAGGTAATATCACAAAAATCCAAGTTATACCGTAACTTATTTTTTACTATTAACAGTATATTATTTATTAGATTATAAATACAAATTGATAACTGTTTTAACTAATAAAAGTCTACCGGTAATTGTTTTTTAAATGGCTACCATTATAACTAATTTGTAATAATATAATAAATTTGTAGAAATTCTAAAAATCTAATATTTTTAATACAGTATACATATATTTGAACATATATTAAAAATCTAAATTTATATTCTGAAATTCATTTGGAAAATTAGCGAAATATAAATTTATTATATTTTTCTATTCATTTATCAACAAAACATATTTTAATACAATTATTATGATAATAAAAACTAAGATTAAAATTAATTTTAAAATGGATTTCAAGTATAAAATTCCATATATTGAGTAGTCATAAGATAAAGAGTAATTAATTAATATATTATAAGTTTCAACTAAACTTATAATTCCATATAATATTTATAATTACCTCTTAAAATAGATAATTATTATTGTTTTAGATATATATTAGTGTATTCTTTATAATTAAATATATTATAGAAAAATAAGTCAAAAATTTGTCACAAAATAGAAATTTATTTAAACTATTGATTTTGTAATTATAAAACATAAATTCACACATTTAATTAAATTAAATTTTTAAGGATGTCAATAGAGATTTCATTTAAATAGTTAATAAAATTTGATAAATAACATTCAATAAAATTAATGTACCGGTATAAAATTATTTTCATAACTAAATGTTAACATAATTAAAAAAAATTAAAAAGTGGCGGAAATTTTGAAATAAAAATCAGGGGCTAATTGTGGTTAAAACTGTCATTTTAGTTGCGAGTATTTGGATCACCGATCAGATATAGTATTTTAAAGACTATGAGAAGAAAAGCAGAGCCCAAAAAGTCACCAGAAGATGTCAAGAGAGGAATTGCATACGAGTCCGGATCAATCTCTTTGAGCCAAAGAATATGAACCAAATTGTATGCCATATATAACAATAGCGATACCTTTTGGAAGCAAATAATAGTACACTTATTTAGTGTTCAATTTTTCAAAATACAATACCTTTAGTTTTTAAACAAATAAATCAATTAATTTAGCGGTATTTAGAGTTATTATAATTGATTCATTAAATTCAATTAAATAGTAATTTAGAATCAATTAGCAAATTCTTTGTCACACAAGTCGAGGACAAATCATTGGTTAATCATTGTTCAAGTGGTTCATCAAATCAATCAAAAACACAACTCAAACAATAATAACATTTGAATTCGTCATTCGGCCAGTAATTGCTAATCAAAACCTCTAAATTACGGACATTTTGGCACAAAAAACAAAAATAATTTCATAATACCTGAAGTAACGCAAAGAACAGGTAAAATACGAAGAAGGGAGCCGTTAAGTGGATGTTCTCGCTTTTGTCGATCAATTTGACGGTAACGATGTAGAGTATGTGCGCCGGCAATGCCATCAGTAGTAGTATACGAGATGTTTTGATGTTTGTGTCTATTTTTTTTTAATAATAATAATATCTTTAATAAGATCTATAAACGCAATCAGATTTAAATTATTAAATAATACTTTTGTTGGTAAAAAATGCTTCAAAAGGACTGGTGAAAGCTTGAAATCCGGGAAATAGTACGCCTGGTTTGCCATATCTGAATAATGACGTTGATATACGACTCGCGTGAACCGCCACAAGATTACCACCCACTCTGTTGTTTGCATTTTAAATATATATATATTTATAAAAATCATTTTTAAAATCTTTAAATCACTACAAATATTTAATTAAAAAAATATTCAAAAACTACAAACCCGTTAATTATTGGCTGAAACAAAGCAATTCTGTCGTAAAGAGCAACCCCGTAGTCGAGTATAAAACCACCACAGCTTGAGATCATCATCGCTGCGATCACAGGATACCAACCACTGGTCACCACATCCTTAGTGTACTCATTCTTTGTGGCCAAATATATCCAAAATGGTAGTAAAATCAGAAAAAAGATGATTATTCCAATGGCAATGTATGGAAACTGTTCGGAATAGGTGTGATTGTGGATCAGTTGTGCAAAACAGGCCAATAAAGCAGCTGTGGTTACATCGCCCAAACTGGCAGCGATTGGTGTGGCGATGTTATCTAATATTTAATATAATCATAACATATTATATATCATTATAATTGACGTCAAGTAACAATCTATAGATATAAAATACAAACCCGGATCAATTCGGATCTTATCGCAGAAAACAATTATACATATCATACACGATCCTAAAAATGCAAAAATTAAACAAATGATAATTGATGTCAAGTATGTGATTAAAACATTTAACAAAAAAAAAACAAATAAAATACAAACCGAGAGCAAAACAGGCGACATTAGCCGTGATGAGACTGGAGGACACGAGTGTCAAACTTTTATTGAGATCAGCTTCTCCGGCAACAACACTCCAGATGATGGCCACAATAGCGGCTAAGAATGAGACTACCGTTGCCTGACACTGGACGAGAGCGATGTTGCCTTTGGCTAACTTTAGTGTCAGTTTCCAGTGTTGCATATTTCCGAGATTGGCGTGAGTCGACAAACGGGCAGCCATTGTCATCTCAAGGTTACCCTTCAGACCCAACAGCGATGGCACCAAAACAAACATTTCTGTGATCCGAATGAATACACTCCAGTGCTGGACGTAATCGAGTATAAGACCGGCGCCAACATTGCCGAAACCAGCGATCATAAATGCAATGAAAATTTGAATACTTGTCGTAAGCAGAGCCTCTTCGCGGTTAATATTAATGCCGAACGGGGGAGTGGGGGGACAGGTGTTTGGTGAGTCATGACTGGGAAGTATCTCTTTCTCAATGATTGTCTGCAATACAGAAAAGTCCAGATCTTTAGCGTTACTATTGGATGACAAGAGTGAAGCGTTCGACGAGTTCTTTGACTCCGGAGTTATGGCTCCGTTGAGACATTGATTATCATAATAGTATGGTTTGCAGTCACACTTGTAGTCGTAGTCATCAGCGGTGGGAACCACACCAGATGGCTGTTGGTAGCCATCGTTGCTTTCGTCGATAACGATCTCTACTGAAGGCACTGTCGTCGGCAGCGGACAGTCGTCTCCCAAATAAAACTGTTTTCTTTGCGAATCCATTGATGGTTAACTGTTATACCGATTACTAATTTCAGATACTCTTTGGACTCTCGGATGACAGACTCAGATAAGTTAGGATATCTCATAAGTGAAATGATTTTTGTTATTATAAGAAGTATTAAATAAATATTACAATAAAAATGTATGAAATCTATTGACTGAAAAACTGGAGACAATTTCATGAAACAAACAAAAATCAATTATTAATCAATTAAATCAATTGTATTATCAAATTATTATATTACATACCTATTGCTTAGCCCATAAATGTGTGATTTGTGATTAAATTAGTTTATAATAAACATATAATTAATATAATAATAGTATTTGAAAGCATATAAAGTAGACATTGACTGCACTTAGGATTACATTTTTGAGACTAAATGGCTTACAATCACTCATAGGCTTTATATTATAGTCATTTGGAGTCAACACAACATTAAATGTATATATGTATAGCATATACTGTATATATAGTATGTATACCACACGTATAGTTACTACAGTATATACGTTATCTTGTAATACCCGTACACTTCAAAAGCGTTGCCCCGTTTGGCTGCAAGTAGTGGCCGATTGTGCGCGCAGTCGACTACTAGTTAAACACTACAGTATTACTAAACAACCATTACTTTATTGGCACCGATATTACGTTACACATACATAGTATACAGCATTACATACACACAACTATTGCCTAATCAAATATTATGCATACAATACAGTGTATTGTTTTTTTGTTGTTTCATATTTTTTGATTTATGAAATTTAACTGCAATTCATATATTTTTTTGATAATATGATAAACAGCAACATATGATACATTGAAAAGCAACAATTTTTTAAGTTATTTTATTTAATTAACATTTATTTTTAAAATACGGATGTTTACTAATAAAGAAAAAATTACAGAATATTCTCCAAAAATTTTAAACATTTTAAAGAATATTCTCGATGTTTTATAGTTAACACTAAATGATTATTTAAGTGGTAAATAATCAGCAAAAAAAATTATTTTATATTTGTAAAAAATACTACATAATCATTATAATTATGGAAAAACCCAAAATAAATATAAAGAAAATTAAATAGTTTTTATCTTTAAATTTTAGCATACTCATTTAAACACAGAATTTTTATTATCATTGTTATTAATATTTTAATGATTTTATGTGCGCACAATATTTTATTGATATTTGTGTTTTGCATAAGTATTGATTTTCAACGTTTTTTTTTAAAAAAAATTATTGATTTAAATTACAGAATATATTTTTGATTGTTTTCAGAGAAAAAACATTTATATTTTGTTTATTTATGATTAGAAAATTGTGTTATTTTTTAAAAAATATAATTGTTCAAATATGTATTTAGCTTACAGTTACAATTATTTCCGTTATTTGTTAATTAAAAAAATAAAATAAAATTGTAAATATAAATAAAAAATATAAATAAAAAATATAACATATTTTAAGATTACTAATTATCACGTTATTGCCGAGTGGAGGCTACTTATCGACACTATTATGATACTATTATATTACCAGTAAGTGCTGGTAATTTAATCAAACAATAAATATTAAGAGCAAAACACAACAATACTAGTAATATCTGTTTGCTAACCCTTTAAATAATAATTAAGTTTTAGCTAATTATTATTGAGTCCAAAAAGCATACATTGCATATCAATAATGATTAATTACCTCATATGACAACATTACAAAATCTAATGTTTTTATTAATAAATAATTAAAATAAACTTTATTTTAATTAAGCATAATAATGATTTAAGCAACTATTGATATTATATACACTTTACTTAATCGTATTGCATTATTAAATTTATCAATGTACAAGAAACAATTAATTATTTTAGATAATTAATTATTTTTATTTATAGTAAAAATGATCAAGGCTTATTTTTCTAGTAAATTTTCCATATAAAATTAATTGATTTTATAACCTATTGAAAGCACAAATTATAATTAAATTATCATTGAAACCTAAAACTTTAATTTCTATTATAAATTATATTATAATTTATAATATAACGAACCTCTAAACCTAATTGTCTTTCAAAAAGTCAATAACAATGTATACTAATATTTAAATGTAAATATAGTTTTAAATGTTTAAACAAACAGACAGGACATTTAATATCTATAAATTTGTTTCTATAAATAAATATTAAAATCAATTTTCACACTATTCATAATGATTAGCATTAATATTATGGACCAATTATCTATTATTTACATTAAAAACACTGAATCTAATATACAGTATATATGGGACATCATAATAATAATGTTTTAATGACTTCCTCGGTATATCATATTAACAACAAAATGTTTGAATCTATCATTGAATCCAAACACATATTGAATTACAGATTCAAATACTGTAATATAATTAAAATTGACTGAATTTCGACACTTTCGTGAGTTTGCCAAATAAAAGGCTTTATATTTTGAACTTAATATTTTCAGGGATACAAAAAAAAATGTTTATATTATCTGACAGTTTCTTGGCATCACTTTTATGCTATAATTCATGACAATTGCATACCTGTTTGGTGAAAGTTTGATGATTAGTTAATCATAAAGTCCATTATAAGAGAGAGAGAGAGAGAGAGAGAGAGAGATAAAACTAAATGTAATTTTTCTAATAAAACTTATGACAACATTTGTTGCTAATATAAACAATCAATTTATTTGATTTCCTAATCTCTATATTGTTAACCACTTTTTTGTTGCTATAATAGAAAATATTTACTAAATTTACATTATTTAAAATAATTGTAAGAGAATTTTTAGTATTTTACAAATGGTTTACATTTATCTACTTTTCTAATATTACTATACTTTAAGCTCAATATATTAATAATTTTATTTGTTTTTTAATTGTCATTTAATTTGAAATAATATTGCCTTTTCTCATGTAAATATTGCCAGAAGTGCATTAAACAAAATAATGTTAAAAATACTTGTTTTTATTTTTTGAAAAAATCAATTATTATTCTTATTACGCAAACTATTATATTAAATAATTATATTTAACATGAAATATATAATAATTATAATTATAAAACCGATCATTTCTAGTTAATACTAATTCTCGTTAAAAATATTCAAATCATTTTTTATTTATTATTGTTTTGACTTTTTTCTGTGAATTTCAATGTTATTATGTCATGAATTGTATGAAATAATATAGTATTATATAATACATACAGTATATATATATAATATACGTATAATATATATATATATATATACTGTATATGTATATTTAAAAAATCTTTGTGATGTATTGATGAAAATAAAAATGTTTGATTAAATGAGTGTGTATTCGTGCACAAACATATGTTTAGTAAAATTTATTGACTTATTTTTTTTATTATTTTAATGCAGATTTTTTTTTAATCGGAAGTATGTTAAGTATGTAAAACAAACTAAAAAATTTAACCGTTAAAACATAAAATATATAACTAAAACATTTTATACTAATCATTATTACTACAAGCATTATTTATACATTAATTTTTTAAATGTTTGTAATATACTAAAGCATATAATTTTTAAAAATCTTTTTATATAAATTGAATGTTTTATTGCAACATATTGTATGTATAAATGATTAATTTCAATTGTAATAATCATTATGACAAGACATTGATAGATAAATGCATTTGTTTTTAAAAATTACTGTATTTAAGAGAAGTAGAAAATAAAACAAAATAAAATACACTTAATTTTATTTTATAGTGTTTAGTAAATAACTTATCAAAAAAAGTAATAATAATAGTTATTGAATAGATATATAATATTGACTATAAATTTAACGATTTAATGAACTTTGTATTGATTATTTGCACTCGTAATCAATATATACGGGTATTTACTAGACTTCGTTATTAAGTTATTAATAACCTCAATAAAGTTTAATAAAATTATGATTGACTTTGTATTTTCATATGTTAAAAAATAATTAAAACAATGTGACTGATAATCTAATATTGTAATTAAATATTTAATATTATATAACAACAAAATAATATCCTATCATTTATAATATATATATATATATATATAGACGACTAAAAATAAACTATAATTAATTATGAATATGATATTATATGATAAAATGCAGTTTATAGTAAATAGTAAATACAATAAAAACAATCAAACTTCATATAATTGTAATAAATTATTATATAAATTACTAAAAATATGTTTATATAATAAAATAATCATATATTAATTTATAATAATATGTAAATTGTATTATAATTTCGTAATGTATACACAGATAAAATTATGTAAATGTATATATAATTTATAACAACAATAATGACAACAAAAATATTCTATGAATTACTAAAAATATATTAAATTTCATAATATTCGTCAATTTGTTTGCTTAATGTATTTGGATCTCCTATAGTGACCAAAACCATGTATGCAATGGTCAATAAAGCTGTGCCAATGAGATCTCCCATTGCCATTATGCCTATCAATTATAATGTAGTTATTAATAAATTAAATTACTAATAATAATAACAATAATAATAGAAATTATATTTAAAACTTTTATGATTACCAGGAATTGCACTGTTATCGGGATCTATTTTCTTTGTCCACAAAAAAGGCACTAAAACATGAGCAATATATAATAGAATTGACACTTGAATTAGGGCTACTAATAGGTAGGTGCCCATAAATGGCACCGTTAATTGAACTTCATGTGACTGTATTAATCTAATTGTTATCATATATATTATATGTCCCGGTATTGCCATCACCAACAGTAATCTGGCTGTTCTCACGTTAGTATCTATAGACACACGTATAGATTTGATTAATTAAATTATTTATTTGTATTAAGATCAATGACATACTGGTGCCAATAAACACATTGTGAGGCGATTGACATATTTTTGTGCTCACTTTGCAACTGTTAGGAGGCTTTTCACCTAAAGAGCACCTCTGATGCAAATACGTTGATATTCTGCTGGCCTGTCATATAAATTAATATATAATCAATACATTTATTTTTTTGTGATAAATGAATGTAAAGTAATAAATACCTGAACCGCTACCAGATTAGAGCCGACACCATTAATGATTGGCTGAAATATAGCAATTGTTTCAAACATACTAACAGCTAAATCAAAAATAAAGCCACCGATGCTTGAAATAAACATTGCTATAATAATAGGATACCATCCCTGATGAATTAGTTCTCGAGTGTATTCATTGTTTTTTGCTAATATTATTAGGAACGGTAGTATGGCAATGAAAATGAGTATAAATGCCGGTGCAATCCATCGTATATGTTGTACTTCAAATAACAGTTTGGCTGTTCCGGCCAACATTATGACTGCCGATATGTCGCCGAGAAACGCAGCGATCAAAGTGCTACAGTTGTCCGGATTGACACCCGCTTTTCGGGCCAGTATGATTACGGCTATCATGAGAGAGGCTAGAAAAAAACCGGTCACCGATGCTGTGATCAAACTGGTGGCACAGATTAGCAAACAGTGATCCAATTGAAACTGCCAGTCTTTAGCTGTGTTTACTGCAACAGCAAACAGTGCGGCCAAAAGTGCCACAACTATAGCCTGACATTGAATTAAAACAATATTTCCTATGCCGTGTCCCCACTGTTGCGCCGGCTTATCGAGGTTTCCTAAATTAGCCTGAGTTGACAATCGGGCCGCTAATGTCATCTCTAAATTGCCTTTAAATCCCAGAAAACTTTTTTTTAAATAAAATAAAACTATTTAAATAACAAATAAATGATTTAAATTACAATTACTTACGAAGCTATCAATATAAATAACTCGGACACCGATTTAAAGACATCCCAGTGCTGTACAGAATCAAGTATAAGACCGGCACCAACATTACCAAAGCCTCAATTTTAAAAAAATAAGAAATTAAAATATAATATTTTTAAAATATAATTCATAGACAATACCTGCTATAAGAAAGGGAAGAAAGACCTGAAGAAATATGACTTTATATGTTTCGATTTCTCCGTTAAACTCTTTGTTTTCATTTGGATAAGTATTTCGTATATCTTGACTAAACCGTCGTAACGACAAACCCGGATCACCGAAAAGCATTGTCCGAATGCTATCTCTTCGCTTTTCACTAGCATTTGAGGTGACGGCTGAGGATCTTCTTCGGGAAGGTGTATGAGATCGAAATTGAGATGAATTGTGAGAAATATGTGACAACATTGAAGACATCGACCTTTTCGATGATGTCCTCCACGACTGCCTAAATGGTAGCTCTCCTTTCGATAGATGTTCAATATTTTGGTTTTTTATTGAATCTTCTTCTTCAACCTCAGGTATTATTTTCAGATCATAACGAGTGTCATCTTCATTAAGAAAAGCCTCATTAATAACACCTCCCATTCCGATGTGTGGATCTTCATCCTTGAATATATTGATGACAACCACTGGATTAATGCTGCCGTATGTGTTGGTAGTATTTGTCGAGTTTTTAATCGGTTGTTTTGCTGAACTGTTGTCCTCTGAGCTAATATTTTTGCCACAAATACCACAACATCGGACATCACATTCCTCAACACCTTCAGTGATGACAATATTTTTCAATTCATTATTATCTTCTTCTTTTAGTTGATTTTCATTAATCTTTGACATCGATTCACGATTTGTTTCATTATTGTCGTCTTTTTTGCCACAATTGTCACATTTGTCTAACATATCACTATCAGTTCCCAGTTTAGTCATCTTTATAATGATATTATTTAATAAAATAAATAACTTGAAAAAGTTGTAGGATTTTGTGTCACACTTGGGATTAAGTTTAGTCGCAGACTTAAACTACTGAAGTCGTGTCTCATTTGTATCAATAAATAAATTGATACTAACATTGATGACAGAAAGCTGTCAACAAATGGTAATAAATTTCTTATTATTATTTAGTCTAATTTGAAAGTAAAAATTTTTTGTTTTACTTTTTTTTAAATGTAACAAAAAATAGAAACAACAAAACAAGAGTTAAAATTAGGTTCAAATATCTAATATATATAATAAACAAATACACCAATAATCATAATAACTACATTGTATGTAAACAATTAATTGCTACTTTTAAGCATACCTTGAAAATTATATATAATTCATATATTTTTTAAACAAAAAATAAATGTCAAATACAATAGATAAAAACAACAACAAATATGACAATTTAGTATATTATGTTAAAATTACTTTCTATATACATAGTAGATATACCTAATATAGAAAATTATTATTTTGCATTATTTAACAGACATTGAAATTATTGATAATAATTAAAAAAATTATGTATTCAATAAATACTAATAATAAACAATCACAAAATTATTGGCACAAAAAAAACATAATTTAAATAACATAACATATTTGATAAAAAGTGTTGTTTTAAAAGAAAACTTTGAAATTCTTTAACAGAAAAACAAATATATAAGTGATATACAAAGTGATGAAATAAATAGGATTACATGCAAAAAATAATAATGTGAATATAATTACTAATAATATCGTAAAAATACTATAATAATAATATTTGTTTCAAAAGTAAAAAACAATGTTTTTTAGTCGGCTAACCGTTTGTTGTTTAGCACTGTTATTGAGTAGAGTAGGTCTGATGCTATTTGATTGAGATCAGGGACAGCACTGTTATAAAGGCTTGCAATCAACTTAATCATCATTTAATTTGCAAATTTGTTAAACGATTTTGATGCGGGATAATAATAATAATAACAACAATAAACAATATTTAAATGTATATATAAAAAATACCAATATATTATTTATATTAAATTAGTCACAAAATTAGTTATTATTTTGTTGCTTCTCTTGGCTTATTGTGATTACTGAATTGAACTCATTATAATGTTTCATATTAATTGTTAACTATAAACTAAAAGCCCATTATTAGATCACTTATTAATCAAATTATATATACTATTTGACTTTTACTATAATATACACAAATTATTTAATTATTTAATATGAATTTTCTGTATGTTTTTCACTGACAATCGATTATTTTTAATTTTTTTTTAGTTTATAATAAGTAGTTATAACTTATAACACATTAGAAGAGCACATAAATTTCATTATACAATCGTGAGTTGGTTTTTGATATTATGGTATTTCAAAACCCAATTGGGAATTGAAAAGTTAAACTCAAATTAAGTTAACGGTTAGCTCTTTGGAAAAGTCAATTATTTTATAAATATATATCATATACTGTAATACAATATATAGTTTCTGTTAAACTAATAATCATAAATTTCAACAATAAATACTACAGATGTGGTGTTTGAGTGCAAATGTGTTCAGCTATGAAATTAGTTAGTTATTAAATAAAATTTAGGTTTTATATAAAGAATTAATTCAATTAAAGCTAATATAACAAAATAAAAACTAATTTTTCTGTTATTTTTTAATTTTCTCTAAAAACAAATGTTTTATATATCATACATAATTGCAAATAATAGCGTAACAGTCTATTTACAAGCATAACTAAAATTATTTTTTTATCATTTCAAAATTCTGTATAAATATTTAATATAATAAATTGCGAAATCTTTTTTAATTTTATAAATTAAGTTATTTTTATTTTTCTATATATATATCAATGTCATAGATTTATAGTATATATATATATATATACAGTGCTCCAAAACGATATCACAATTCCCACAGTTATAACATATGTTATACGAGACTACCATAGAGAGCATCTTTAATGGAGAGAGCGCTCAGAGAACTAATAGATAGAGTATTGTATGGATTGAGAAAAAAATCAATAAAACAATGTCGGCGTCTGATCTAACAATGAATTATTGTTTTCCTCTTTTTTTATTAACCTTTTTGTCATATCTGTCCAATTGTATGGCTGTCAACTACTGTCCTCTTCGAGAGACGGCTACCACTAAGTTGGATGCTCTTCGGTCTAAAAATTTTTATGAATGTCCCGGAAATTTGCCAAAACATTACAGTGAGTGCTGTAATGATAACAAGTGCTGTCCTTCACTCACCACAAGTATCTATGAGATCGACCAAAAGTAAGTGTCTGTTTCATTAAATGTATTTTTTTATTTTAAATTTATTGCTAATATTTTTGCCTTTTTTTCTTTACAACCCGTGTTTGTCAATAGTTTGGCTCTTATGATAGCCATAACAGTAACGATAGTAAGTCTGGTATTTGCCATCTTTTTGGTGGTCTGTTGTTTTTGTCCGACTTGTCCTCTCTATAATTCATGCAAAATGCGTTACACCAGAGACTATGCGGGTTGTGGTGAGTGTCACGATCTAATTGCATACATTATTGTCGACCAGATATATATATATATTCAATATATTGGTGACAATATTATTAACCCGTATATTAATGATTTATTTAGCACATAAAATGGGCGAAACACCTCTTTATTCATCGATGATGCCGTGTGAGTCACCCGTCGGCAGTACTGTTGTTATTGCACATCCATTGAGGGACAAACCAAACGGCTATATCAACGATAACAAAGCTAAAGAGGCAGCCGTTTGATAATATATTTGTCAAAAATATAATTCAATTGAAAGTCTAGAAAATATTGATTATTGGCTAAAACTTAAATGCGATGAACAAAATCATTGATTTTATTTACTTACTGATAGTATTTCCGATGCAAACGAACTTATTATATAATTATTATTTTTTTGTTATTCAGTATATAATTCAATATATATTTTCATTTTTGATAAACATTTTATTTAATTGTTTTTATAAAATTTTTTATAAACAGTATATTTATAAAAACAATTTAAAAAGTAATTATGGACAGTGATAAATAAAAATTTGAATCTTTAATACTGGTATCCATCAACTAATGTAATACAAATACAAATGTATTATACTTTAATCATACTATCTTAACATTAATCCTTTTTTAATTGATACTATTTATGCAATAAGTTTTTAATTAATTTTTTTAGGTAAATTTTTAGTGATCTATTATCCATAATTACTTGATTTTTATAATATTTATTATCTTAAAAAACAAAGTTTTTAATAACACCGATAAAGTGATTTTTATAATTATTTATATCATATAAGTTAGTTTTCTCATGTTTATACTCATTTTAATGTAATATATTGTAATTTTGATATATTATAATTATTTATTAAACTAATATTTTATCATTTTATTATTAGTATATATGTGCATTTTAATATATAATACATGTATTACATATTAACTTACAGTTTATTATATTGTATTTATATTTAATTTTTACTAATTTATACTTAATTTTAATACAATTGACTAAATTATATACAATATAATAATATTAATAATTGTGTATTTTAATATAAAATAAATTATGTAAGCATTTTGAATATAATGTAAACTATTAAATATATAATTATATGATATATTCTATTATATATTGACAATTAAAAAATTAACTTAAATAATTTAACTTAATTGATGTAATCAAATAAAATGAACAAGTTATTTATAAAAACAAAATGTATTTGTTAAGTTTCATTTATATTATCTTTCATGTTTATTAACTAATAAGTTAAATTAACTATAAACTAAAAAAATAAATAGAAATTTTTTTAATAATTTCAATTTAAAGTAACAAACACTGCCAACACTTTATTTGATAATAGAGTATCAAACTTAATATATTAATAAAAATAAATAAATTTTAAACATTATTAATAGAAAAGAGTTAAGTTATTCATATGTTTAAATAACTATTCATATAAAATGATTTCATGTTTCTATCAAACTGTTCATCAATAGATCAAAATAATTTATAATAATTTATAAATTATAATAAACTTTATTGTTTTTGAATCAAATTATTTTATTAATAAATAATATTTAATAAATTATGAATTTTTAAAAGTATTTTTAATAATAATTTATTAACATAAATAAAAATAATAATAATAAATAAATGTCCATAAATATAATATAATAAAATAAAATCCTTTAAGTCATCAAATATTTTAAGACTATCACTTGACATTGTTTGTCATAAAACAACTTAAAATTGAAAACATGTTTACATTGAATTTTATAAGTGTAATATTATTAGTTAAACTTATTTTTGATTATATATTTAAAGCAAATCTTTATAATTATTTGTTAAATTATATTGAAATCAATTTATCCGATGTGTTATTTGATAAAATGATTATATTGGTTTTTCTTGTTTTATGTTATTGAATCAGTAATATTATTAATCAAACATTTTATTATTTGATTTAACTGTAAGTTTATATAATGTATTAATAATACTCTAAAATAAATATATAAATTATATGTTATTCAAATTATCTATATTATTAGTTGTATGAAATGCTAAATGTTAATAATAATTTATTAAATATACCTGTACTATTTAAATATTTTGAATACTAAATTTTTCTATCAAAATATGTTTTTTTGTAATATGATTTTGCAAAAAAACGTAATTACAGTATATCAAGATTATTTAGCAAAAAAAGCACATAATGTTTAATTACTTACAATATTTTTACAGTTACTACTATAGTCTTTTAATAATATATTATTGTTTAATTTAATTTTATTATTAAAAGAACGTAAATTAGTGTATTTTATTATTTATTTTCAAATTACCAAAAAAAAATATTTTAATTATATATACATATAGTTATTATTACTATATAATCATCGATAATATAATTATGTAAGTATTTGCTTAATTACCATAATTTAAAAATGTTTTGAAAATTATTTGAATATTTTTTATTTAAAAAACTACTTTTATATTAATAGTATCAAAATAACTAAAACAAAAATTCCAGTTTTACCGGTGCTCTCAAAAATAAATTTCTAAAAACTAACATAATATTTATGATATTCGTGTGTATGTACTATAAAGTGATGTTTGAAAGCATTAAATTTGATTAATTAATTCAATACATGCCTTTGCTTAGGAATCAATAGTATAATGATTTTTAATATTTATTATGAAAAACATTTTTTATTTTGAATTAAAGTCATGAATCGGGAAATTTTACTCTCTCTCTCTCTCTCTCTCTCTCTCTCTCTCTCTCTCTCTCTCTCTCTGTCTATCTTTCTATCTATTTATCTGATGAATTGACCAATAATTACAGTGGTATTACTAGTGTTTAACATTTACTCTCTTACTTAACATTATTTAAGTGTCTATTGAAGAGCCAAACCCATCGTAAAAGATATTGGACTCGAAATTGTTTGAAACTATTTATATATCATAAGGTATTGTCGTGTCATTTACTCTATCAATGATTATTGTATTGAGTTTAGTGCTCAGGGATTAGTTTTTTGGTAGACTGGAGTAGAGTGAGAGTCTAGTTTAGACACTACTATACTATACTGTGGTGTAGAGTCTGTGCAGTCCAAAGACAGTCAGACGAGTGAACAGACATTCAAAGAGTAAGGGCGTCTCAAACGCCAAATTTCACAATAAAATAGCCATAAAATGTATTTATAATAATAATAATAATAATTGACATAAAAATATCAGCTTTTAATTCATCAGTCAGTGATTTGTAGCATTCATTTGCATCATTCATACACTTCATATCAAATACCTTATCAACGGATCCTGAATTCAATGGTAATTCATATGATTTTTTGTTTTAGTTTATTTCCATCACTTCATATAATATGATTGTCTGTTCAGATTAGAGTTTTGTGTAATCAATGTCATAGTATTGTAATTATATTGTAGTTATATTTTATAAGTAATTAAGTAATTTAATATTTTTATTGCATCCTTTTTGTTTGATTTACTAAATATTTCTCTTATTTTTTATCAATAATTGCAATCTTGTGTGTACTACAGTATATTTACTGTATATTAATTGATACAATTGTAATAAGTTTATTATAGTTGTATATAGTTTTAATTATTTACATTTGTCTTGACGTATTTATATATATATATATATATAATTCAGAGTAAATGTAATAAAATAAAAATATAATTTACAACTTATTAAATCCTATTTTAATATTAAATATAAATTTCATTATAAAAACCCATAGATATTCTCAATTGACAAACAAATCATCGGAATACTAAATACTAATAACAAATAAACAGCAAAAACAATGGTTATCGAAAAGATTTGTTGTGTGGGTGCGGGTTATGTCGGTGGACCCACCTGTACGGTCATTGCCAATAAATGTCCAGATATTAGGGTTTGTGTCGTCGACTCCAATACCGATAGAATAGCGAAATGGAATTCAGATGAACTGCCTATTTATGAGGTATACCAACAGTTTTTTATCCCAATTTAATTAATAATTTAATTAAATTTTATTTAATTAATTAATTAATTAATTAATAGCCAAAACTCGATGATATTGTTCGCGAATGTCGCGGAAGAAATCTCTTCTTTTCGAACAATCTTAAGGAAGAGATAGAAAAGGCGGATATTATCTTCATATCAGTGAATACGCCGACAAAAACTTTTGGTTTTGGCAAAGGAAAGGCCGCCGATTTGCAAAACCTGGAAAACGTGGCCCGACTTATAGCCAACTATTCAACCAAAAGCAAAATAGTGGTCGAAAAAAGTACTGTACCGGTGAGGGCGGCTGAAAGTCTCAACAGGATATTAAAGGCAAATACAAAACCTGGTATTAGGTTTGATGTACTTTCAAACCCTGAATTCTTGGCCGAGGGAACAGCTATTGCCGATCTTCTGAATCCGGATCGCATTCTCATCGGTGGTGAAGAGACACCAGAAGGTCGTCGAGCAATACAATTGTTGTGTTCGGTGTATTCAAAATGGATTCCAGAGGAGAAAATCATCACAACTAATACGTGGTCTTCAGAGTTGTCTAAATTGGCTGCCAATGCATTTCTTGCACAACGAATCTCATCGATTAACGCCATTTCGGCCATCTGTGAGGTAACCGGTGCTGATGTGTCAGAAGTAGCTCATGCGGTCGGATCTGACACACGCATTGGCTCCAAGAACCTTATGGCTGGTGTTGGCTTTGGTGGCAGTTGTTTCCAAAAAGATATCTTGAATTTAGTTTATCTCTCGGAATGTCTTAATCTGCCAGAAGTTGCCGCATATTGGAGTCAGGTATAGACAAACTTATAAATACCATTAATCATAAAATAATAATAAGTTTTTTTTATCTATTAACAGATAATAGAGATGAATGACTTCCAGAAAAGACGATTTGCTTTAAGGATCATTGAATGTCTTTTCAATACCGTTACCAACAAGAAGATTGCAATCTTGGGTTTTGCCTTTAAGAGCAATACGGGTGACACTCGTGAGTCTCCGGCTATTTTGGTTTGCAAATACCTGTTAGAAGAAGGCGCTCGACTCTGCATTTATGACCCTAAAGTGCCTAAACAACAGATCTATTCGTATGGATCTAATGTCTTGTTATTTCTAAATATCTCATTAATTAACAAAAATTTTTACATTTTATACAAATAGGGATTTGAAAGTTGCAGACAATGCAGAAAATGAAAAATTTAAAAACTTGATTGAAGTGGTAGATAATCCATACAAAGCTACAGACAAAGCTCATGCCATTGTCATCTGCACTTCTTGGGATGAGTTTCTGGTAAGTTATTTCACATTTTTTTAATTCACATTCAATTAGATTTGATATTAAAATGTAAATTGATTTTACAGAAACTTGATTACAACAAAATGTATGACCAAATGCTTAAACCTGCCTTTGTTTTTGACGGACGAAAAATGGTTAATATCGAAGAACTACAATCCATTGGCTTTCATGTCGAAACAATCGGCCGAAAGACATCCAAACAACCGTTTAAGACACGTATCACTCGATACATATCTTCCGATTGATGACTAATACAATTATATATGAAAATATGACTAAAAATCATCTCAACTATGTTTTTTAAATTTAAATGATTTAAACTTATCATTTTAATATCTTATTTTTTTATATTGTTATGTTTTGCTTCTATTTTTTTTTTATTTTAAACTATTTATTTTATTTTCCATTAATTTATGGTCCAATAAGTTTACTAAATACAGTATTTACAATATATTATTTTTAGATAAATATAAATTTTTAAGAGACAAAAATGTACTGAAATGCCAATTTATATACCATAATATAAAAAAAATTATTAATCAATGAATTTTTAAGCTAATATTTAGGTGACAATCATTTGTATAATTTATTTAAAAATCATATCAAATAAATTTTTATATGTTTTTTTAAGATTCTTATTTATAAGCGATTCCGAAAATATGAGGTCTTATTAAAGTAATGAATAGATCTTTAACTACAACCGATTGTTCATTAATTGATGTAAAGTTTGTCTCTCTTATCAAACGACTTGTTTGTAATGTCAATCTGCAGTCGTCGTTGAATAGTTTCCACAGATATTCAATCCACGACTGGAACCGATAGAGTAAAGTTCCCGATTCATAGGCCACGTGTTCGACATAAATGAACCGTCCGTTTGGTGATAAAACGCGTTTAATCTCTTTCAGACACTTCTTGATATCACAGACAGAACATAATACATGTGTTGACACAATCACATCGATGGTATTGTCATCAATTATCGACATGTCTTCAGCGCTTCCAGTGATGGCATTCTCGAGAATAATATACGGGTATTGTCTGAGTTTATTATGAAAGTGTTTCCACATGTTTTCATTTGGTTCAAGTGCTATAAGTCGGGTATTTTTAGGATAATATTTCAAATTATTTCCACAACCGGTGCCAATCTCCAGAATCCTGAGACACCCGACACCCATATTTGCCAATTGTTTATCACAAGAATATAAGGTATTAATTGATAAAAATAGTTGTTTTTTATATGAATCTAAACATTTTGATAGATTTAAAGAATCAATTTTGCTTAAAATTATTGCAAAAAATTTTTGCTTCAAGTATTTTGACTTAGATTTTATCAAAAATATTAACATAAATATACTGACTATTAATACAATGTAAACCCACATTTCACTTATCATTAAAATTCAATATAAAACATAAAATATAAATTTTTTAAGTTCAATGTTATTGTATTTTTTCAAATTGGATTTTATAACATTTTTTATAAAACAGTAGAGTGAACAAACGGGATACTGGTTGTTATGGGATAGAATAATCTAAAGGCAATTACAGTATAATTAAAATTATTAAACTAAACAGAGAATATACATTTGAAAAATAACACCATGATCACTTAAGTTTATCATTTAAAATTTAATTTAAACTGATCACAACAAATCAAATATGGTAAGCAAATGTAATAATTGTTTTAAATAAAATATATTAATTAATTTTTAATTAATCTTAATTACAAATTTACTGTACAGTATATCAAATTGCGATTACAAAGCATATAACTTAAAGAAGCAATTTTCAGATATTTTTTTTATAAATAAAAATTACAATTACAAATAAAAATTTCATACAATATATACAAATTGAATATTAGGATTGCAATATAAAAACATAAGTCTATTTTAGGGAATAACCTGTCTATTAATCAATTAAATTAAAAAATAACTTGAAAGTTGAATATCAACTTTTTAATATAAACTATATATTATTTTAGTTTTGTTGTCATGCCTTTTATGTGTCATTTTTAAAAATATTATTTAATTTTTAATAAACTCGGATTCGTATCATTCTTTTTTAAGTAATTATTTAATTAAATGATTTTAACTGATATATTATATATAACTTAGATTAATAAAAAATGATTCATTTATAATGTCAAAGTAAATATTATAGTAATAATAGGATATATAATTTATATATAAAAAGTAACAAAATGCAGTACATGTTGACAATATAGTAATAATAATGAAAATACAATGTCAACAATTGTTTGGTAGGATATATCATAATAACAAAGTTATTTACGATAAGATTTGATTGTAATGTTTGCTCTGCACTTATGAAACATAAAAATTGAAGACGTATTGTCAGGAAATTGTATTTTTTTCATATGAAATACCAAAAATAATAAATATATAATACAATAGTCATCGACATATAATTGATACTATTTTTTTAAATGCTTACAAATGACAGACAATTTTTGGCCAATTGTTTACTGGATTTGTTGGAGATATGCATCACTTGATATTTATAGATAGGATATTATAATATTATGTAACAAAATGTTATATATTGTAGTAATTTATTTATTTTACTTGAATATGATTTAACAATAAATCTTGTTGTTCAACAAAAATTTGTTAACATTATTTATTAAGTGCAAATAAACTATATTAATATATAAATTTATATAAATATACATTATAAATAAATAAAAAAAATTGGAGAAAAAATAACAAAATTTGAAATATAGTTCAAATGATTTTCAAATAAAAAGATTATTATAAATATATAAAGATTTTTTTGTTATGATATTTGACTTGAATTGGTATCGATGTCTGAGTGCATTACAAATGACTTAACTTGTTGTTGCGGTATATCATTATGATTTGCACCTGTATATGGTATATGTAATTCACATTTAACCAGTTATCAGTAAATAATTGATCCATTTATATATATATATGAGTTTTCCATTGATTTTCAAAACATTTATGACACATCACATCACAACACAATTGCATGCTTTTATAATAATAATATATCAATGAATACCAGAAGTGGATGTGCGCTCAATAATAGCCTCTTCCTCTCTGTCCTCATCGTCGCCATTAAGAAGTTTGTCATTGTCTTCGTAATCATTTTTTTGCTCAAAAACAATGCCACTGCCCTTACTGTCAATTTAAGACATTCAACATTTCAGTATTCAATAGATGTTATTTAATAAATAAAATTATATATCTAATAATAAATTCAATTTTTTATTACTTTTTCAAAATAAAAAAATCTAATTTTCATAAAATTTCATTAAAAAATAGCACTAAGTTTTTACAACTCCATATATTTCTTATATCTTATTAAAAATCAAGATTAAATAGTATAAAGGATTACCGTATTATTAGCTAAATATATATATATATATATTTCAACTGCATTTACATTACATAACTAATTTCATAGCATTTGTTGGGCAAAGGTGTGGCAAAAAGTTATATATATAGAGATAATTAGGAATACGGTATATCTTAATGGCCACGTTATGCTGACCTGTCATCGGGGTGTGATTGCTGTAAATCTCCTTCAATTGGTATATTCAACTGTCCGATAGAGTTGTAAAAACTTTGCTGATTGTTGCAGTTATCGGCCATTGGAGCTCTGGTGGCTCTCGTCTCATATATAATGCCGTCTCCAATACTATTAGGGTTTAGGAAGAGTGCAAAAGGGCTTAAACTAATATATTGTGTCAACAATTAGCAGAATTTTTATATGAATAATATATTGGATCCTAAACTGTCTTAACACTTAAAATTATAAATAAACTAATTTAACGAAACAATCAATTTATTATTATTATCACAAACCTAGTATAAAGTGGAAGAAACCATGAAATCCTATTCTCACCAAATACTTGACAGAAGTTTTTATATTTCCCTAAATTATAGGCATTACGATCAGGTCCTCCAGCAAACACCGGTGCCCGAAATGACTCTAAAATAGCGAATATTTCAAATTAAATATTCATAAACAAAAAAAACTACTATAAAAATATACAGACCTAATGTAGATCTGTTGAGCAAAACTAAATATATATGATAACCAAATAGAGAGATCAAACTAATGGCAAACATAATCGATACAAAAAACAAGAATAATATATGAAATTTTCCCCATTCTGTCAGTTCATTCTGTAATAATAAAAAATATTAAATCATTTAATTATTATTGTTATTAATATCAATGAATTTATAAATATAATTAAAATGATGAATACCTTCCAGAATTTAAGGAAATATGGAAATGAAGTGATGGCTGAAAATAGACATAACGTGAAGGCGTATCCCAGAAATAATATAAAAAATTTATAATTTGAAAACGAGACGCAATGGTTAACCCTATTATTAACAAACAATATGTATATAAACAAAACATATCATCACAATTAAGTAATGTGTTTGTGTGTGTCATACCAGGGACAGTGGTGATCCATTTTGAGGACACACTGGTCACAAACCGAACAGTGGTGAGCTCTGTCTGGTTTAATCATAAAACAATTTTCGCAAATACGATACATTCCGTTATAGGCCCGACACTGAATCGGTAGACTCCTGTCAAACACATATTGTTCAATAAGACGCTTCTGGTTTTCTTCATTTGTCTCCTGCAATAGCTTTTCCTTTTCGGTCGGCGGTAACCAAAACTGTTGGCCATAATATACATATATAAACCAATTAATAATATGAAAATAATATATAAACAATCAGTAAGTGTTTACATCTCTGGGAATGTGGGCGCTGTCGGTGAAGATGGTCTGCCAGTATGACCACAAAGTCATGGCGTAAAGCACGTGAAAAATGGACAAATAAAATATCTTAACCACTATTAGGTCGATATTAAAGACACACAATTGGATCACATATGCATAATAACCCCACGAAAGTACAGACACTATGAATAATACGGGTAACCATTTGAAGATACGGATACAAATATCGCAACGTGTCCTCAAACGGCGACCAAACGATTGACGTCCACTTAATGACCCGCTTCTGGCCATTGAATAGTTGTTGTGCACTCGGGTTGACATCCGGTAGACTCAAGTGGCCAATAAAACTGATCACACAATCGGTAATGACATCAAATTTGTTAATTACACTTCAATTATGACAAACGTATGTCCATTGTATCGATCGGTTGTCAAGTCGTTAACCAATTGGTCCACAAATTGATAAACAATTCAAATGATTAACTAATGCTATAAATAGACAACAATTTTAACGATTCAATGCTTTTTGTATGAAATCAATGAATGAGTCGATTATTGTAATCAATGGAATCAATCATTTGCTCACAAATTGAGTCAAAAAATTGTTTAACATTTATATTGACAACGAGTCGATGCAATAAACACTAAACACTATTCACTATACACTCAACACTATTATGAGATATATTAATACAACAAGTTTTACAGTGAATGCTCTCTACATATCCCACACACACTCCCATTGAATACATCTATTGAAGACTTCATGAATTATTATAATCACAAAAAAAACAATAATTTGCCAAAAAATAACTATTTAACTGTATTTAGTTAATGTATTTTATGTAAATTTGTTTTTTAAATGTTTTTGCTTATCATAACTACTTAAAACTATTTTTAAAATGATATATTTAAAACTATTTAAAATGTTAATCTTATATGAAGGTCACTATAACCTATATATTCAAAGATTAAATATTTAATTTAGTTTTAAAATAAAAAATAAATAATTATTTATTTTATATAAAATAATTTGTCTTTAAGTTATATCTATAAAAAAATAATATTACGACAAATTGCATAATTTGCAGGAAATAACAATTCAAGTATTATTGTAACTATTTTGCAATATTCAGGTTTTTATTTATGACTTTCAATGTCTAATTAATAAAAAAAATTCATTATAATTGTTATCAAACTTATATAATAACTTTCTTATCAAAGACTAATCTATTTATTTCAAGACAATCGTTTGATTACATTATGAAGTAATTGTTTTGATAATATCGGTTAAGTATAAATTATAGGGAGAATTAATCAACATTTAACGGTAATTTATATTATTATAGTGTATAATAATATAAATTACGGTAATACATTAATATATTGTATTAAATATAGCGGTAATAAATTAACAAAAATGTGTATCAGTACAGTAATGGTAATATTTTAATCAACTGTATTATATATGCTATATATTTTTTGCATAAATAGATTATAAAATAATAAAAATATTTTTTATAAAAATAAATTGAATTCAATGATGATGTTAAAATTAGTGATTATCATACATTTATTTATATTAAAAATTAAATAATTTTTTATGTACTAAATTTGAGTCAAATCACTATTTAGAGCAAACTTTGTTAATTTCTTTAATCAATAAATTACTTTTGGCTTTAGGTGTGACATAACGTGTTAAATGATGCCATGGCATAGGTATCACTTTAAAGCCCAGTCCTTTAAGTAACCTTATTTCCAGTTGGACAGAGCCCTTCATACATGTGTCTATTGTTGAATAGTCATTGATCTCTAATAGATAAATAATTATACTATCTTTAAACATATTTGGTTTAAATATTGTGGTCGGAGTTATCTTAAAATTACTGTTATCTTTATCCCAAATAACAACAAAAGGGTAGCTTTTAAATGGCAATACATGAGATAACTGAACTTTTTTGGGAAACTCGGACTTCAATGACATATAAACTTGTTTTATTAGTGAACTTCTTTTGGTTAAATGGTTGACATTTCCTATTTCTTCATTGAGAACCCATTGATGATATTTATAGACTTTGTTTGGTTCAAAAATTAAATCCATATATTCATCAAATCGTTCAATAGTTAGTGCAGTATTTGTAAGGAGTAGATGTCGATGATAATCAAGTTTTGAATTCTCTGTAATATATTTAAAAATCTATAAACTTTTTAACAACAAAAAAAATCATTGAATTTTAATTATATCAATAATAAATCACTTACTTTTAAGTCTTTCCAAATATTCGGGTGAAAAACATTTACGAATTAGTGATTTTGGATAAAAATCTAAAATTACTAAATAATGTAAAATATTAAGCAAACAAAGTGGATGTCGTGTCAACTGAAATATATTTTCGTTGATATCTAATATATCTGTTAATGTCTTGAATTTTTGTTCACCGATTTGGTACATAAAATGAGATAAACACAGAAATATTCTTTCAATATCTTTGATACGGAAAGCAAACGGATCGTCCAATAGTTTGTCGATAACATCGGACATCAATTTTTGGTCGCATATATTTGCAGTAACTTTGAGATTAAGGACATGAGTTAATGTCATCTCTGAATTGTTGGACAATTGTTTCAATCGATTAATATATTGTTTAACCAACGGTTGAAAGTGAAAGTGAAATGACCTACGAATACATTTTGTGATCGCTGTTCGGCCGATGTTATTGATCTCATCGGACAAATCGTTAATCGCTTTATTTAATATAAAAACCACTAAATCGTCGTTTAATTTATTTTCTGTTTTAAAAAATGTCATACAAAACACAGATATTTCATCTAAAGTCATGTCATTCATCAGTATTTTCATCTGTTTGGTCACATACTGTGTGACCTTTGGATTAATACGTCGGTGAAGATTCATATAAAACAAGAGATGCAAAAATGATATCTTATTTAACTCAAAGTCTGGTGCAATCATCTTCTTGACCAACATATCATTAAATTGACAAATATTTGCAACTTTTAACTTATAAAACATGTTTCCAAATAATAAAAACTTTTTCACCGCTTTATTATCAGTAATATTTGTAGCGGAAAGTCGTCTAACGAGTTGTTGGTCAACATTAGACCAAACCTTATAAAACAATGTCTCAAATGGCGAGTAAAGTGTTGGCCATTCGGTCATCGATTCCAAGACTGATAACAATTGTCTATCACTTAATTTACTTAGAATTTGGATCAAATCGTTAATAATAACAGCTGATTGTTGGTACTCATGAGGAGAAATGTGGACAAACTTGTGGTAAAGATTATAAATAAAATCTTCATTAGTAACAACATCTTTATCATCAATGAGGACATCATCCAAATAACATAAAGGATTCAATATCTTAAAAGCGAACTGATTCTCGTTGTCGACAAACTTTGGTTGACCATCGATGTCGACCATATCCTGTCGTGGATTAACCAACACTTTCATTCTTCGCGTGGCTTTTGTGTCTAACTTACAATCCGACAAAACTCGTGTTTCACATGTATTCACACCCGATATTCCTGTGGCCATTGTATCGGTGATTACCGATGACTTAGTTTTGAAACTTTTATGATTAATCCATTCATTATTCAATGTCTTGTGTCTCATCAATGGTATAATAGATACTAATCGTCGATGAATTTGATTCATTGATTACACGAAATGTATTTTTAAATGTAATTTAAAATTAAAAACAAATTTCATCTGAAAAACAATGTTTTCAAACATTTCATCACATTTTTCATATCAATAAACATAAATAGCGTTTATTTATTTGAGACCCCAAATCAAAACTATATATTTATCTAAATTTTCAATCATTAAATTCATTGATTGCAAAAATTTATATAAATAATAGTAATATTTATAGTTTAAAATAAAATTAAAAATTAAAATTTATGTTAATTTATGATAGTTTTTAAATATTCAAAAATTACAAGAATATCTATTATAAATAATAATGTATTAAACATATACCTGTTTTTTATAGATTTTCTATTAAATTGGATTAAATTAACTCAAGAAATACTAATACATTATTTTTTTTGGATAATAGTATGACATTATTGGACTAAATTATACTTTAAATATAATGTATTATAAGTTGTGGTCTACAAGTTAATGATCAATAATATAAATAAATTTTAGTTATGGATAACCAGAAAATGGCATGGTTAATTTATTTTATATTAGTTTATTAAAATGTTAATACTTAATTATTAACAAATACATTATAAATTAATATTATTATATAAATATTTATTAATAAAAAACAAATTTACTGACTTATATTATAATCACATTTAGTTAAGATAGCAATTGGTCTTATCTTATTTTAAATAGTCGTCAAAAAAAGTAGATTAACGGTAATAATAATAATATTATCGTAACAATTAAAGTAACAATAAATAAAAACTGTACTCTAATTTAAAAATTCTAAATTAATTCACAATTAAATGTCAAAAAAGCGTTAATTTAATGAAAGAATTTTTGTTTGTTTTAAGACATTGAAAATGTTGGCGCATTTGGTTGTGTAGTAGTTGTTTGTGATGATGGATCTGTTGGCACAATTTTGATGGGTTTGAATCCACGCGATTTCATATAACCGGTCATTTGATCGGGAATTTCGGCCAAAACTTCTTTAGCCAAATCGGCCTGAGATCTGACAAACGGACCATTTTTTGATAGATATCTATTTAATGGCACGAACTGAACGATATCTCGCTCGGCATACTTTCCATCTACTTGTAGTCTTACATCATCCGAGTCGAGCTCATCCATAGCTGCGAAGTCGGCATTACCGACACCGACAATAATGATAGAAATGGGTAATTTGGATGCATTGACAATAGCATTCTTGGTTTGATGCATATCGGAAATGATGCCATCAGTTATAATCAATAAAATAAAATAATGTTTTCCGTCTTGAAATTGTCTGGCAATTGATGCCGTATTGTTAATAACGTTAGAAAAATTTGTCGGACCATACAATGTGACGGAAGCCAATCGGTTTCGATAATGATTAAGAATTTCTGGAATTCCACTACAATAGGGATGAGAGGAATTACCATTTAATGGGAACTGATGTGAAACTTCACCCGTCGGAGGAAGTTTAGCACCGAATCCTATTAAAATAAATATTTTGTTGTTGTAATTGTCATAACTTTACCAATAATACAAATACTTACCAAAGGCAGGAAACATTCCGGCGCTGTCGTAGTGTTGTATGATTTCACCGACACTTCTCAACGCTATTTCATAAGGATTGAGTCGACCGCCATAAATGTCCAGAAAGTGTAACGATTGTGGATCTCTTGGCGGACCATTAGATGCCGTAAAGTCTATTGCAACTGCAAAATGCATTTGAGTACCACTACGAATGTAATCCAAGAAAGTTATCTCTTCTGTCACTGCAATGGTAACCAATTCAAGAAGTCCAGAATTTGTATAATTTTTATTCTTCTGTTTCTTTGAATGCATTAATGAATAAGAGTTTTCATTTGGACCCTTAACTAGATCTCTGAGACTTGTATGACAACTACCAATGAGTCTATGATCACCACTTGATCTGTGATCATAGCAATCAATTTTAATGGTTCTGTCATAATCTCCATTACATAAAGTTCTGACTCTCATATTGATTGGCAGCCAAACCGGGTTTTGTGTGGAAGAGACCGGTTCGCTCTTAAGCACCACTGAAAAGGTCGAGTCTTCATTAGATCGTGAGAACACAAGAAACGGATCGTTTCGCCAAAACCACGATATTTTGGTCAAAGACTTTGCTTTGAACTGCATTTGAACGATCTGTTTACACGCAGACAACTCTTCGGTCACAATAATAATCTCTCCACAGTCTTGATTGGGAATACCTGAGAGTTTGCCGACAAATTGTCGGCCAGAAAAGGCCACGATTTCGGCTAAAGTAGTTTCAAAATGACCCAAAAATTCTCGGCCATCGGGATCCACATCCCAGACTTCAAACCGTAACTTTTGAACCGTTTCAAAGTTATAGCTAATAACAAACTTCTTAACCCATTCAGGATTCAAGTTGTCCAACACTGTCTCTGTCCGACCGATTTCAACAAACTTCTCACTCCACGAGTCTTTCATCTGAACCGAACAATAAGGATCAGACTTCGAGAGTATATCTTTATTGAGTAAATTACGGCACGAAATGGTCATCTCTATCTGCGTCGTCGGCATAACAGCGTTACCGCCGCCGCCGGACATGCCATCAGTGGACTGAAACGGGGCCAACATTTCGGTGGACACATGGCCTGAGTTCAAGTTATTCGTGTAGTTTTGTGACCAATTGGGTGCCGAAGACATGACTGTTTGGCTTTTCTATTGAATTACAAGTACTAAATACGAGACTAAAGTTCGGTCCAAACATTGAGATAACGGTTCCGTCAATACATTGAATGCGTTAATAACATTACCGACGGATTGAATGGACAGTAATTGTTGTTTTGGATATCATTTGTCATCACAGATATCGACAAAACAATTGATTTTTTTGTGAAACTTATTAAACAATTGAAACATAAGAGACACTAATCACTGATTACACGAAATGAATGCAATTTTAATGACAAAAATAAACTTCAAATCAATAGTTAATTATATTATTGAATAATGTGTTGAATGAAGTGATTCACGCATTGATTTTGTATTCAGTTTTTCATTATTTAAATGTTTCGATGTTTTTGTTTACAAATTCATTGAACGCTTGTTTTACAGTTAGAGTCGACAACAAGTGTCACACAAACAGTGAAACACATTCAGTGAAACACAAACTGTCAAATGTATTACATTACTCATCAATTAGACGATCAATTTTTATCACGTTTCACTTCCCGTCCCGTTTTAATTTTATATACATTTATCTATACATTCACATAAATTATATTGGTTTGAGTAAATATATAATTTTTTATGGACAATATATTAATATAATTTGTTAAATATTTCTAATTTAACAATTATTTTAATTTTCAAAAAATAATAAATACATTATTAAAAAGTTTAGCTACAAATTGGATTAGTTATTTATTTWATTAGTTAAATTTAGTTTTATATAATTTAACTAATAGTTACTTAAATACAATAGAAATATATTAATATAATATATACCCGATACAAACCGGAATTACCGTAATTGAATTACCGTAACCGTATATAATACAAAAATGTTTTATTTTTACACTTAATTATAATAATACAGTGTATACCGCATAAACAAAACAACTATATTACGTGCATAATCTTATTGATTAGCTTTTTAGACAAACATTTTTATTAACATTGATGTTAACAATTTAATTATTTTTTGATAAATATTTATTTAAAAAAAATATTCTTTATTGAATAATTATATATTTATTAATTATTTAAAGTAAATAAATAAGGTTAAATAAAAAATAACTTAATATTTAAAACAACTGCAATTCTAAATTACTGTATATACGGTATATAAATTACAGTTTTAAATATGCAAGTTATTTTTTATTTAACCCTGTTTATTTACTTTAAATAGTTAATATAATGCATTGACATATAATTTGATAAGCATACTGATATCAAAATAAAATACTTGATACTATCCAAACAATTATTATATTATACTTTATACAGATATATATATTTGTTTACTGTATTAAAATGCTTTCAAAATAATAATATATTATATGTTTTTATTAGATTCACAGAATATTCTGTTTATTAACGAAAAGCAAATATATGTCAATTATGTTTTAGTGTTTTGTTTATCTACACAAATATAAATATTATATACAAAAATTTTTTATAAGTTATTTAGTTTACAAGTGTGAGAGTAAATTATTGATTTTTTAGATAATAAGCACTATTATTAATACTATAATATCAGTAATATATTTAGCGATTTACTAGATTACAGTATTTGTAAGATTATAAGAAATAAATGTTCAAATATTTTATTTTATTTCTTATGATTTGAAGTTATGTTTTGTCAATGCTATTTATCTGAATAACTATTACAAGTGGTTTATTTTTTATTAGTAACAATTTATTTTTATTATAAATTATCGGTAAATTATTTTCACATATTAAATTATAAATGAAATTCAACAATTGTTGTGCTAAATTATTAAATTTAAACATTTTTTATATAATTATCCAAATATTAACACATTTTATTATGTAATTAAAATTACAATCCAATTAAAAAGTATTACTTTGAAATATATTATGTAAATGTAAATTATAATTATCGTAATTACAATAATATATTTATAATAATTAAAAAAATTTATCAAATAAATATTATATAATAAATATCAACACTTATTTTATATTTTAAATATTTAATTGTTCGTAATATTAGCGTTTTAGATATTATTCGGCAATATTTTAAGTAAAATAATCTTATAATAGAAATAAAAATTGATAGCAAAAAATACAAAATTAATTTTTTTTGATACTTTATGTAGAAAGTGATGATGTGTTAGGAAATGTAGTTTCAGTTTTGATTGGCTTATATCCTCTCGATTTCATATAACCAGTCATTTGATCGGGAATTTCGGCCAAAACTTCTTTGGCGAGATCTGCCTGTGATTTAATAAACAGCTCATTCTTGTTGTTGTGATTACGAGACAGATAACGATTTAGTGGCACAAACTGTACGATATCTCGTTCGGCGTATTTGCCGTCCACTTGAAGTCTTCGGTCATCAGAGTCGAGCTCATCCATGGCAGCAAAATCTGCATCACCGACACCAACAATAATTAGTGAAATGGGAAGTTTGGATGAGTTGACAATGGCATTCTTAGTCTGATGCATGTCAGAGATGATACCATCCGTTATAATCAACAAAACAAAATAATGCTTTCCGTCTTGAAATTGCTGTGCGATGGCCGCCGTATTGTTGATAACATTTGCGAAATTTGTGGGACCAAATAGTGTTACAGTTGCTAAACGGTTCCGATAATGATCAAGAATTTCTTGAATTCCAGAACAATAAGGATGTGCGGTATTACCATTCAAAGGAAACTGATGTGAGACATCACCAGTTGGCGGAAGTTTGGCACCAAATCCTAAAAACAAGATTAATATTTGCGTCAAATTTTCGGATAAAATCAAAGACTATAGTAATACCAAAGGCAGGAAACATTCCGGCGCTGTCGTAGTGTTGTATTATATCTCCGACACCTTTTAATGCTATCTCATAAGGATTGGGTCGACCGCCATAAATGTCCAAATAATGCAATGACTGCGGATCTCTTGGCGGACCATTAGATGCCGTAAAGTCTATTGCAACTGCAAAATGCATTTGAGTACCACTACGAATGTAATCCAAGAAAGTTATCTCTTCTGTCACTGCAATTGATGACAATTCAAGTATTCCAGAATTGGTGTAATTTTTCGTCTTTTGTTTCTTTGTATTAATCAGCGGATATTTATTATTATTATTGCCTTCAACTAGATTTCTAAGGCTTGTATGACAACTACCAATAAGTTTATGCGTACCACTCGATCGGTGATCAAAGACATCAACTTTAATGGTTCGGTCGTAATCTCCATTACACAAAGTCCTGACTCTCATAGTGATCGGTAGCCAAACCGGGTTTTGTGACGACATTATCGGTTCACTCTTCATAACCACTGAGAATGTTGAGTCTTCATTAGATCTCGTGAGCACAAGAAACGGGTCATTCTTCCAAAACCAACAACTTTTCGTTAATGATTTCGCTTTAAACTTCATATTTACAATTTGTTTACACGAAGATAGCTCTTCAATAACAATCACAATTTCTCCTAAATCACGGTTCGGTAATCCCGTTAGTTTGCCGACAAATTGACGGCCAGAAAATGCCACGATTTCAGCTAAAGTGGTGTCAAATTGACCCAAAAATTCTTTCTTATTTGGGTCGACGTCCCAAATCTCAAATCGCAACTTCTGAATGGTCTCGAAGTTATAAGAAATAACTAATTTCTTAACCCATTCGGGATTCAAACTATCTTTGATTGTTTCGGTTCTTCCGATTTCAAAGTACTTGTCATTCCACGACTCTTTGGTCATTACCAGACAAAATGGATCCGATTTTGAACTGATATCTCTGTTCAGTAGATTACGACACGAAATGGTCAACTCGACCACCGATGTGGGCATTACTGCATTACCACCGCTGGTCATCGCAGCACTTGTTTGAAACGGTGCTAACATTTCGGGCGATACGTGACCAGAATTAACCGTATTTGGCGGCCAATTGTTTGCCGAAGTCATCATTAATTCATTCAATTGATTATTTAACAATTATTGTCATCAAATTATTTGACACTTTTATTAGATTATAACAACAAATCATATATAATATAATATCAATTTGTTATTTAAATATAACTAACATTTGTTTGATATATCATATGATATAACATTTTAACGTCAATGAGATTTAAAATTTCAAAATATCAATGAAATCATAAATTTATTAATCATTTTTATTATGAAACGTCTCTATTATAATCATTATTAATAATATAAAACTATTTATATAAAATATATATTTATAAATAACATAAATTGCTAAACAATAATGAGATGATTCCTCAATAATTATTTTCACACAAATCACAGAATATTCTTATATGTGTTCAAAACATATAATCAGTAGAATTATTGTAAATAAAAACCTCAAAATATTATTGTTTACAGTTGTTTATCGGTGTTATTATAACACTGTTATATCAATACAGTATATAAATATTCATTGTCTATGTGTGTACTCTATGTTAGCATATAATAAACAAAAGTAAATGTGTTTTCAGAGTAGAAAATCAATAATTTTTTTGTTAATACAATACAGTAGTTAAAGGATAGCAAAGAATTTCTCAATTTTTATGATCTGTTTGTGTTGTGTTGTCATAAAGTTTATGACACAAACACTACATCTGTATTGAAAATTGCAATATATTTAAGCTTTAATTTTATTTTTCAGTCAATTATTACTTTAATAAATTGTTTACTCAATAATCCACTGACTATTATTATAAATAGACAATAAATGAAAACAGTTTATTTAATAAAATAATAGTCTGCAAAAACAATAATATTAATACTATAGTATTACAGTATATATAATATAATTATTTAACTTAATATAACGTTACGTAATAAAGCATTTGACCCAATTTTTGACATTTGTTTCTACAAAATATCACACAAACAATGAAATCAATATAATTCATTACTACTGTAAATTTAGTGTATAATACAATACCAGTAGATTATAAACTATAACATTGCTAATATTGTATTTTTAAAAATAAAATAAGTTAAAAATAGATATTAAAAACTATTAAGTTACTAATAATTAGTTGGGAATTTCCCATAAAATAAAAGCGCTTGCTAGATTATTAAAATATCATCAATATTATACAATGTATAGTATCAGATATCATCAAGGTACTGTACATGTACTTATCGTGGGTATAGACATATTAATACATGAAAACTTGGATGTCATACAAATGAAAAGTTAGTTTCAAATTAGTTTAGAAGAGAAAAAATAAGTTTATTAAGTACTGTACTTAAAYTCAGTACTAATTATAGTAATTAATCAAAATTTTTATATTATTGTCGATGAAAACATAGCGTATATTTTTAAGACAATATTATTATTATATTATTTATAATACATAACTATTAATTTAATAAAGTGTTAAATGATTGATATTATTAACACTGAAATTGATATCCGAAACGGTATTATAATATTATATTTACTTTTTTCATTTCAACACATGTTTGGGGAGTCTATTGAATGTTAGGTAACGTTGTCTGCGATGACATGAAATGGCATTCAAGTTGTGTCCGCATTGTATGAACGCATGCGTTGAGTACAACCTTCACAACAATATTATCCGACACTTTGATGACAACTATTGATAGCACCGGTAGTTTAAAAAACACATTCAAAAACAAATCATTGATTTAAAAGACTAATTTACCATTAATTTGACGACCAATTGGAGACCATTGATACACACGATTGTCAAGATGTCACTCAAGAAGTTAAGTATCGATAAATTGGATTTGAATGGCAAACGAGTATTGATTCGGTAAGTGATGTCTTCAGATAAGATGAAAATCTGACATTTGGTTTGACATACGCTTTGATACATCCAGTGTTGACTTCAATGTGCCGATGAAAGACGGGAAGATTACAAACAATCAGCGAATAGTGGCCGCATTGGACACCATTAAGTATGCGTTGGATAATAAGGCCAAAAGTGTTGTCCTTATGTCACATTTAGGTCGTCCCGATGGCACTCGTGTGGAGAAGTATTCGTTACGTCCGGTCGCTGAAGAGGTTGGACGTCTACTTAAGCAAAACGTGACATTTTTGAACGATTGTGTCGGCCCTGAGATTGAGTCGTCGTGTGCTAACCCAACTCCCGGCACTGTTATACTGCTTGAAAATCTCCGATTTCATGTCGAAGAGGAAGGCAAAGGTGTGGACGCATCGGGAAATAAGATAAAAGCCTCGCAGACAGATGTCGACGCTTTTCGGACAAGTCTTACGAAGTTAGGCGATGTATATGTGAACGACGCGTTCGGTACCGCACACAGAGGCCACTCATCAATGGTTGGCGTTCAACTGCCACAACGCGCCGCCGGTTTTCTCATGAATAAAGAGTTGACATACTTTGCCAAAGTTATGGATACTCCCGAAAGTCCTGTTTTGGCCATTCTTGGCGGCGCTAAAGTGAAGGATAAAATTCAATTGATTAACAATTTGTTGGACAAAGTGAATGAAATGATTATAGTTGGAGGTATGGCTTTCACTTTCCTCAAGAAACTCAATAATATGGAGATCGGAAACTCATTGTACGACTCGGAGGGAGCAGAGATTGTTGAAGACCTGATGGCAAAGGCTAAGAAAAATGGAGTTAAAATGCATTTACCGGTCGATTTTGTGACCGGAGATAAATTTAATGAGAACGCAGCTGTCGGTGAAGCAACTGTTGAGTCGGGAATACCGGCCGGACATTTGGGTCTCGATTGTGGACCAAAATCTATTGAGATTTTTAAAGAACCGCTATCTAGAGCTAAGACCATTGTTTGGAACGGGTATGTCATAACTCATGACTAATTATTGGTACCTATAATAGCACTTATAATGTAATTATTGCAGACCTGTTGGTGTCTTTGAATGGGAGAACTATTCGAAAGGAACGAAAGCCATTATGGATGCCGTGGTTGAGGCCACACAACGAAATGTGACCACAATTATTGGCGGCGGCGATACAGCCACTTGTTGTGCCAAATGGGGAACAGAGGACAAAGTGAGTCATGTAAGCACTGGTGGCGGCGCTAGTCTTGAGTTACTCGAGGGAAAAGTGTTGCCCGGAGTGGCCGCACTTACCGACGCTTAAATACTACTATATATTAACAATTAGTCATTTGATAATTATTATATAAAATTAAATTAAGTTTTCCATTAATAGTGAATGTCCTAAAAAATGTATTATTATATAATATACTCATAAGTTTTAATATAATATAAAAATTTATTAGAATTTTATTAGTTTTTATATTTAGTGTGCGGTAAATCATTTTTCTGCAATTCCTTTAAATTGACATTTTTATATGTATGATAAATTATTAGTTAAATACAGGTATATTTACATATATATACAGTATATTATATACTGTATATTAAATGGTTTAATAAATTTTAAAGTTTATTATTTATATAATATAACTCAGTTATTTAAAAAATGATTAATAAGTCAATTAATTAATCATATGTATTATCATGCGATAAGGTATATAAACTTATTAAATATATATATAAATATGATATTTTACCGAATTTTCTGTTTAATTATTTCATAAAAAACTTTCAAAAAGTGTTGACTAAAAACGTTTACATTTGAGATTAGATAAGATTTTATATGTATTGAATATGACTTAATATGTAACCATTGAATGTAGAGCACTATTAAAGCAATAAATAAATAAAAATAATTAACTATCACTTTATTTCCGCCTCAATATTATTTTTTTGCACAATATTTGATGAGAAATAAAAAATTATTTAATCAATAAATATAATAAAATCATTTAGACCTAAATATTTTTGTAAAAAAAGATTTTATTTAAAACATAAATTTTGAATAAAATCAATTTGAATTACAATTTTTTTATTTACAATATTTTTAATAATAATAAAAACAGTTATTTTGAGGTGCGATGAGTTGTGTGTTAAGGTGTTGTCTATAATATCTTAAATAATAATATAAATCTCTTTTATATCGAAAAAAGAAGATAATTATAAAAACAAAATAATGCATCAAATATTCAATTCATGAATTTATTATTATAATTATAATTTTAATAAAAAACTATTTTTAAAAACTATTAAAAATTTAGTTTCAATTTATGTGTTAACAAATAATATTTATAACTCGAATAAAAATATTATTAATAAAAAACATAAAATGAGTTACAATTAAAATAATATCTCTTAGCAAATGGTTTTTTTGTTTTTATAATTATAATTTTCTTTATAACTATTTACAGAAGACATCAATGTTTATGAAATATAATATTATTAAACATTACGGCAAACATATTGATAAAACATGTTTAATGCCTTAGCTTTCCTCATATCAATTATAAGCACACATTTATGACTAAATTATTAAAAACATCAGTTTGGGTGACACTTAAGCCGAAACAATTTTGATACCGATTTTATTGTTCAATAGACTCTCTGTAGTCTTCTTCTCCCAGAAACACATATTCTGTTTGAAGTCTTTGGATGTAATTTCGACTTTTTCGGTGAAATACTTTTCTTTCTTCTCGTCGATAATTTGATTTTCTGACAACAAATTTGACAATAATTTGCGTCCTTTCAGTACATTTGATGGACTAATATTGTTAGAAGAGATCATATTATTATTATTATTAAATGATTTATGACTGGATTGTCGATTAGTTGTCGACATGTTTTGGTTTTGCTGATCAAACTTAAACCGATTGGAAAAACTTCGGCGAACACGAGTACTACTCGGAGAAGTGTTTTCTTTGAAGTTTCCGTCGGTAGAGTACGACCGACACAATGTGGTCAGCAATGGTGTCGTTTGCGTAAAACAACTCATTTTAATATTAGGCGACTCTTTCTCAACATCTTTGACCAGTGACTCAAATTCTGGATCGACCGACAGTTTCTCCAACTCATCCTTTAGTTTCATATTAGTTCCCGTTATTTCTTGCATCACTTTAGTTGCCATCTCATCAATACATTTGTTAACCATTTTTTGATCAAAATTATTGATATCTTCGACACTATTTATATTTGAAGACATATTCTTTGATTTTTTCGTCTCGACGTCACTGCTTGAATCACTTCTAGACTTTCTTTTGTGCGGATAATCATCGCTATCGATGTCTGAACTCTTGGGATACACACTATAATCACTGCAAAGTGACTGAAATTCAGTATCACTTGAATGTTCACTGCTATAGATTAGTTCCAACTCTTTCAGTGTCAACGATCTCTTATAAGAAATTTGATCCAATTGTTGGTCCATTTCTTTTATTTTCATCAGCAAATCATTCTTAATTTCTTTCACTTGTTTTTCTTCGACGTCCAATAATTTTAATTTATTAATCAATTGTTCAATTGTTTGACTCATTTTGATTGTCAAACAAAAATACAGTACAAATACAGTCACAAATTCACAATCACTTCAAGAGTTTATATCTAATAAAAAAAGTTTCAAATAACGAGTTATTGTTAAACACAATGCAATAAGTACTGTATGTACTGTATATGACTAATATATTTAATGTATTTATGACAGCAAAAAAAATCACTTTAATCACCACAAAAGTTATTAACATTCATGAAAAAGTTAGGTCTGAGTCAAAAATATCTTAAATATTATTGAGTGACTGACTGACTGACGGTCTCTCTCTTTATTTATATTATGTTAGAGAGGATACACTCTTATGATTATTAGCTGAAAAACATTAGAAACATATCATTAAAATTTTTTCTTTCACTTATATTATTACAGTGAAAGCACACAACACTTTGAATCAAAAGCAAAGTTATGGAAAAGTTAGTCTTTAAAGAGCTCACAGCTAACAGTCCTCTGAGTGAAAGAGTGTGTAATATAAGCTATTAAAGAGCAAATCAAAGTTAAAGGAGTTGGTGTGTGTGTGTGACTAATATCGGAGTATGAGCTTCTCCTAACTGGTGTATAAGCCATATGATAGGTGCACCTGTTGTCTTATAATGAAACTGCATAAGCGCCGGGCACTGACTATATACACACAAACCTAACAGCGCTGTTAAATGTTTCCTATCTTTGCATAGAAAACTATAAAAAAAAAACAAATTGAATCTCTGGTAATGTGATTGACAAGACTCAAGTGTTTGGACAGACAGCCCATGATTTGATGTCCTATTGAGTTGACGTTCCCTTTATTATCAATTTCAAGAGATAACGAGTCCATACCATTCTTAATACTAACAATTTTATATGTGATAACAATTATACGTTTAATATTACAAATAAATTGTTATTAACTCGTCATATATATTCAATATATTAATTATATAAGTATTTATACAGTAATAGTATTGAATAAATTTTTTTTTATTTAATAGAGAATTTATTTAACATAAAAATAACATTTTATTATGTAATATAATAGAAAAAAATGTATATTGTTTGGCATTCAATTGTTATTTATAAGATGCCAAATAATAATTTATTATAAATGACATATTGTATTTTTTAATTGTTAATCTTGTGTATTGTATATTTGTAAATATAATAATATTACTTATAATTTTACGTGTAAATAGTGGGACTTATAAGTTATGCTAAAAATAACAATTATATCTGTATTGTTGATAATTCATTAAAACTTTAACGAATAGTTAACTACTGTATTAATACTGAGCTTTTTATATACAGTAAATAATTTAATTGCATTAATTTCAGACTAACAGTCAATTTACAATCTATTTATTATAATAACTTGTAGATTAATACAAAAAAAACTAGATTTTAGTGATCAATATTAATATTTGTTTTGTTTAAATCCAAAAGATATAAAAGAAAACTGATTTCATTATTTATATTATTTGATTTAATTTTGTACACATTTTGCGATTTAATAAATCAAATAAATGGTGAAAACCTTTTTTATTGTAATTTCATTGTTTAACTAATATACTTAACAAATGCATTTCAAATGCATTTTAATAGTTAATTATTTACCGAGAAAAAAGAGTAGGCATTCATTGAATTCACTTTATAATAATATCTGTTAGCATCAAACATATTATTATTAAAATAATAGTATTAATAATATTAAAGTCAACAGGATTTAAGTTGGTATACACCTAAACAACATGAATATCGCTAAAAACATATACAGTATATACAATATATTCACAACAAACTAGTATTTTTCAAGAGCACAGGGCTTTTAAGCCTTTCCTATTTTCAATGTTAATTAGAACATACATATAATGTTCCCTTATTTGCGAGCACTGGAAAAAGCCAACAAACCATCTCATCAGACAATATAATGATCGCAAMGAAAGTTTTTTGAACACAACATCAAAATTATCAAAAAATAAAAAGTTTTAGGTTTAATATCCTTTTTAGTGTCTGCACTGGGCTTTGGTTTTGTGTATCCCTTTACCAGTTTCTACGAATACCTGTACTTTACATACATTTAAAATATGCTCCCAATTAAAAACCCCAAAAAACTATTGACTTAAAGTTAAAGGCAATGAATTATATATTAATTTCATAAAACAAATTCATTTTTATTTTCAAAAATTTTGTTGTCAATTAATCAATAAAAAGTAATCTTATTTTTTACGTAATTGACAGCTATTTTATTTGTCAAATAAATTTGATGTTATCAGTAAAAATAAAATTAAGTAAAATTCTTATTTATGATATTAATTATTTAATTTATAAGTTTTTTAAGACAGTGTAATAAAAGTGTAGATAATTTGTAACAAATAAAAAACGAGAGACTTAAGGGAAAAAATTTGTAGACTTAATACGCGAGACGTTTAATAACATTAAACTGTATTATAGATAATGTAATTAAAATTCTTGGCAACAAAATTAAGTCAATTTAAAGATTTAATTATTTCATATACAGTAGTAAACGACAATTTTTTCCCTCTATATTATTATTTTATCTAATTTATTATATATTGTTCATTGATTTATAATGTTTTAAATTATATTATAAATCACATATAATACTATTAATCATTGGATAGATTTAATTATTAGTAATGCCTACATCTGTGATCACATGTTAATCATTAATTTAATATACTTTCAAACCAACAAACATACGATATATATATATATATATATATATAAATAATATCCACACAAGTTGTGATTCACAACTAATTATTTTTTCGTTTTTTAAAAATATTTTCATATCTCTTGTAAATAACAAATCTTGTGATTTTCAAATTGATAGCTAACACTAAATATCAGAGAAATACTGTAATCCAAAACACATCAGGGATTCACTTAATAGCCCAACACTTTACAGGTGAGGGGTAGTGCCCCCACAGCAACGCTAATGTCGTATATACAGTACTATAACAACTGTAGGCTATATTTATCAATGCATCCCTTATTATCATATAGTAAAGGCTCATAAATTTTTTGTGCAAACCTTAAAATTTTTTTACAAAACTCGGACTTATGAAGGTTAGGTCTGTCAGGTGAATACCTCAGCCCACTGTCATCATTATTGCATAAGAAGCAAATGTGAGTGAGTGAGTGAGTGAGTGAGTGAGTGAGTGAGTGAGTGAGTGAGTAGTGAGTGAGTGAGTGAGTGAGTGAGTGAGTGAGTGAGTGAGAGTAAGAAAGAAAGAAAGAAAGAGAGCATTTAAATTGTTTCACAATTTCAATATTTAAATTTATGAAAAAACTATCAACTAAAATAAAATTTTAGTAATAATAATAAAATGATGATATTTATTGAGTGATAAAATAGAGAGCAAGAGAGAGTTAAATTATTTGATTATATTTACATTTATGGAAAAATTTTTGGCAACAATTGTAAATAATAATAATAAATACAAATAAAACCTTTTTTGTTGCTAATTGAATAAATTATTTTAATTGAAAAACTATTAAAGAAATTGAATTTTACTAAACAAACATAATAATAAAATTAAATATAAAAAATAAATTTTTACACATAAAAAGGCCTTTTATGTATGCTATTATTATTATTATATTAATAGTATACTTATTACTGTTATTACAAAATTGTTAGAAATTTAATTCATTTGAAATAATAACAATTCATTATAAACGTAATATTATACAGTATTATCATAACTTTACAGTAAACCGTGAATATATAGTAAAAAAATATATAAAAAGATTGATTTGCAAAACAAGATTTTTTATGCCATTAATGACATTGAATTAAAGCCTCCTTACTATCCAACCATTTCAATGCAATGATTTAATAAATGCCAAGAAGTCCTCAAAAACTAAATAATATTTATATATAAATATAATATTAATTTTTCTCATGTTTTTTATATAAAAAATAAATTGAGAAGAAAAAAGCTATTATTGGCATCAATGATGAACATATCAAACATAACATACAATACTATTTTATAAAACAAATGTATTATAGGTAATCGTGTCCCGGAGTTTAACACAGATATGGTATTTAAATATAAAATACAACTAAGATTTGAAATCATTTAGATATTAAATTTATGTCTTATAAAAAAGTGATGAATCATTTGATAACTACTGAGAAGTGATATATCATTGAATTATAAAAGTTTTTGCTTATTCTCAATAAGTTTATGTTATTTTCAGTCTTTGTCTGTTTTATATATTTGATTTGACTTTGAATTAAAATGCAAATTATTGTTTAGCATAGTATGAAATCATAATCTATAAAACAATACTAATAAATAATAATTACATTTAATATTTGTTATTATTATTACAAAATATGACAATCAATCAAAATATAATAATAATAACTAATACAATATTTTATAGAAATAAATAAATAATTATATATTACATGAAAATTTCAGATTCTCAATGCTTTGTTTAAAAAAATGAGCTAAAATTAAAAATAAAAATTTAACATTAAATGGAAACACACAAAAAGTTTTATATCATTTTTACAATGACTTAATTTTAAGTATACATATAAACATATAATTTTGAGTGAGAGGATAAAAACTACTTTAACCCACATTTTGAATTGAAAAACAACAAAAACAGTGAAAAAAATCAGTAAATTATTTATATATATATATATTTAAAACATCATTAATTAATATTCATAACAATTATAATAAGAATAATGAAAACATAATGCAAATGAAATAGTAATATGAAAAACATTGAAAAATTGTTTGGCAATAGCTTTTGATTTGGTGTCGATCTGTCATTGAATTAAATGGTTAGGAATGCAATGCATCGACAAATTAATTGCTTACTAATAATTATGATAAAAATCTCATAAAAATTTTATTTTTTTGAACGCAAACTGTTTGGATAACTAAACGCACTTTTATGGCATTATTGTCGATGAGTGGGACATATATTCAATTATTTTTAGGAAATTTATTAGTTTGTTATAACATTTGCATAATATAAAGTAACATTTTTTTGAATTAATTTGATAGCCGGGACACACATTTAATATAATAATCTATTAGTTTATATTATATTGTAAAACAATTTTTTATGTGGGTTAACAAACAAATTAGTTAGTCCAATGGTACACAAAGTTATAATAGTAATTATCATTATTATTATTAATAAAAAATTTGTTATCATTATATAATATTTAAATGTTGTATTCAAACGAGGATTATCTGGTGATTCACTACCCACTGCTCTGTCATAACATGTGGTACACCTGTTATCTCGTAAATTATGGCATAAAAATGTAAAATTTATTGATATCCTTACGAAAAAAAAGTCTAAATAGTTTTTACTTAATTATTTTGGTTATTATAATTGAAAAGTTATTAAAATAAAAATTGTTTAAATCATTCAACAAAATAAAAGTTTTAAATAATTTCAAATAGTATTTCATTCAATAGATGTCATTCAATGCATTCAATACTTACATAATGTTTGTACACAAAAGGCATTAAATGTTTTACAAAATGTAATGTAAAACAAATATTACATTACATSTGAATGACTGGTAATCAAAACATCAACTCAATAGTGATAATCAATTAATTGTTGGATCAATTAGCAGATCTTAATCACAAATCATGTCGAAGAAGTCGTCGTCTGTAGCGATGGGCGTCAAACAAGAGGACATCACTCAAGCGGTCATAATTGCCGACAGTTTTACGTCAAGATTTAAGCCGATCACCAATTTTAAGCCTAAAGTTAGACAAACAGCCGGTTAACCGGTGAAGACACTGACCACAGACTTAACTAAAAAAAAAGATTTATTTGTTTGTATTTTAGGTTTTGCTTCCACTCGTGAATCGACCACTTCTTGAATATACTTTAGAGTTCTTAAACAACGCCGGAATCGATGAGACGTTTATATTTAGTTGTTCTCATTGGCAACAAATCAAACACTTTGTCGCGTATGTCATATATATGACTATCACATCCCAACCCCATTAAGACATGTGATGCCAATAAACTTTTGTTTTTTGGCATCTCTGTCGACACTATTATTTAACTTCAAAACTAATTTTTCTGTATTTGTCTCTTATGTGATCATTCTTTGACATCAAACAAATGGACTTTTTATGGTTATGTCTATCGATGTCTTTATTTATGTTTGTGTCGTCACACGTCTTAAAATGACAGCGATTGGCAAACGAAGGCCTTAAATAACTCGATGACGATTTCAGTGTTTGCGTCGGAAAGCTTTCAATCGATGGGCGACGCGTTACGGGAATTGGACGCCAAAGCGGTCATAAAATCGGATTTTATACTCATTAACGGCGATTCAATCGGCACTTTACCACTCAAAGAGATCAGAGCTCAACATAAGTCTGTCATCACTTTGTTTTTTATTTGATATTTAAAACCAAAACATAATTCTTTGATTCCGGAAAACAGAGCCAACAGATTGAAAGATAAGGGATGTGTAATGACTACTGTTTTCAGACGCGCCAAACCTAACCATAGGATCAGATCACTTGAAGACGAATTTGTAGCAGTTGTTGACTCTGAGACTAATAAGATATTGCATTTTGAAAGGATTTTGAATAATAAGCGTCTTAGGATACCATTGGTTAGCATCTAATCTTAGTTTATTTGGTCTTAAGTTATAATCATTTTTTAGAGTAAATTTCAAGAAAACCAAAGTGTGGACATTCATCACGATCTTCAGGACACACATATCAGCATTTGTTCCATTAATGTTCCGCCACTTTTTACAGATAATTTTGATTATGAGACTAGAGATCACTTTATTGATGGTATTTTAGTTCACGAAGAGGTGATCGACATTCTTATGATTTATTGATTGTTTTTATTTATAGTATTTGTTAATTAATTAGTTATTAGGGAATTCAATCTACGCCCACACTGTGGACACCGGATATTGCGCGCGGGTTAACAATGTTTGCAATTATGACAGAATTAGTAAAGACGTGTTGCAAAGGTTTACTCACCCAATGGTTCCGGATATGCAAAATATGTGTACATATCAGAGACATAACATATATAAGAAAAGTGGAGTCCATCTGGAAGTGTATGTCAATAACATATTGAAAATATTTGCTTAGTTTATGATTAATGATATCTTTGTAGAGATACCACAATTAAAGAGAACGTTGCCATCGGTGAAAACTCTTCATTTGGTAACAAGACTTATATAACTGACAGCACTATTGGCTCCAAATGTAAAATTGGAAATAATGTCAGAATAGATAACTCGTATATTTGGGACAACGTTACCATTGAAGACAATTGTGTCATAAATCATTGTATTATTGCTGACAATGTCTACTTGAAGCCAAATGTCACTGTAAATGCCGGATCACTTATCTCTTATAATGTTGTTTTGGGTCCAAATATTAATCTTAAAAAGTGTTCTTACATTACCTACGATCCGGACGATGAAAGCGATAATATTATTGATAAAAGTATTGTCGGTAATGAAGGCAGAGGTTGGATCTATAAAGAGGACATCGATGACGACGATTCCGAAGAAGAAAAGGATATATTCCAAGAGATTTGGGGTGAAAGTGAAGATGAGAACGACGACGAAGACAAATACACAACGAGTACCATATTTTCCGATAACTTTTCTTACGACGAACGCGAAGACAGTCCGATTGGCGATGACTTGAAAGGTAATGCTTTTGTTTGTTTATATTTGACAGAAAATATAGTAAATTGTATTTATATTATTTTTTTAGTATTTTACGATGAAGTAAGTGATAGCTTACAGCGTGGCATCAAAGAGAAAGTCATTTGCGAGAACCTAATACTTGAGATAAACTCATCGAAGTATAGTCTATGCGATTATATRTTGCGATATATTCTTATAATTTTCATTATATTGTCAGACATGCCTACAATGTCCCTATGAAGGACTTGAATATATTGGTTATGAAAGCCATACTTGATTTACCTAACTGTGCTGAGAATACCGATAATGCGATCAATGCCAACGCTTATTTCGATGACCAGCTTAAGCCATGTTTAGTTCATTTATTGCCATTAATTAAAAACTATATTAAGAGTCAGGACTCTCAAAATGATTGTATCGATGCTATTGAAGAATATTGTCTTCTAAGCGATCAGGGAATTAATGTTTCAATTTTGGCCAAAACTCTTCATTATTTATATTTCGAAGATGTGCTCAAAGAGGATACCATACTTGAGTGGCACAAGAATGCCAAACCATTGGCTGAACTATCATTTGCAGATCAGGAGAACCTAAGAAAACAGAAAATAGTTTTGGGATTAATTAAATGGCTCGAAGAGGCTGAGGAAGAATCGTCTACCGATGATGAAGACTAGTTGACAACATTAGTTGAATTGAGTCAACCACTAAACCTATGCATCAGCAGGCCTTAGGAAATGACTTTTTTATTGCTTTTTATTTGTAATTAAATAATTTAAATAAAAATTTAATAATAATTATTTAAAGTGTTTATAGCAATAAAAATATAAATATACAAACATTCAATTGGCTAAACATTGCATTGCAAATATACTATATGATTATAAAGTAATTTTAACATTATAAACTTGTGGGACTACTATATATTTTGCATAAATTTGACATTAAACATATCTATTAAGACATCTATAATAAAAAAACAATGAAAATTACATGTCTTAACAATTGTTAGATATTAATTAGTTTATTAATAATTGACTTTTATTATATGTCAAATTTATTTTTTGATGTTACCTAACTACTAGATAAGTATACTGTCATATTAGATAACAAGTTTGCAAAAAAATTTAAATAAAAATCCAAAAGCTATATTAGGTAATTAAAAATTGAAACAATTTACTGTTAGTTAATTAAAAATAATTCAATAAAATGTAATATATATTATAATATACTATGATTTAATGTGCAAAAGTTATGCACTAATTATAACAATTTTTGTCAAAACAATTGCATCACTTTATATGTATGTATAAGTGATAAATTGATGACACTTTGGCTCCAATGCAACAATTTTGCCGTCAAATCAGCGTAAAAATGTGTGAAAACATAATTATTTAAGTCTATATAATTGTCTTCTTTTAGTTTATTATTAAAAACCGCAGATTAGCAATAAATATGTTAAGATTTTACTTAATTGCAAATATAACTCGTCCTTAATATAGATTAAAATAAATTCATAAAATCTTTACTTTCATTTCTTAAAAATCAATTGATTTATAAATTGCTATAATATTTATGTCATTTAATGAGAGCTAATATATCGTTTTTATTTTAAATAAATATAATTAGAGCAACATATTGATGATTTAAACTGATTTTAATGTATAATTTTAATATTTGTATGAAATATTAATTGTGATTTTCACCAAATGAGTAATACATTTTCATTTATTATTTTTTATTATTTTAAATATAATAAATAGAAATTAATGTTATTTTATATTTAAATTGAAATTATTTAATAATATTGCAATAATTGATTTAATTAAATATAAAACAATGCACAGTATAAATTATTTATAATATATTTTATTGAATTGATAACTAAAAAAAATTGATAAGTAAATATGATTGCTATGCAATTTGAATACTAATTATTATTTTTATAATTAATAGTTAAAGCATTTAAACAGTTAATTAATGTCAATATATTTGATGATAAAAATGTTTTGATTGCAGAAAAATTTTTATATTAAATAAAAAATAAAACTATAAAAWCTACAAAAAATGATTAATGTTAGCCGAACTATGTATACATGTTTTAATTAATGATAAAATTTTAATTGAATATAAAAATATCTAATATTTATATCATTTCAGACAGACATTTATATTCTCATATAAATAGAGCGCAAAACTAACTTTTAAAAGATTAATATTTGATATTTAATTTACAGTAGAAATGTTTGCCATTTATGTTAAATATTTAAACTATTCATAAGTTTTTTAAATGATTTCTTTTTATGAATTTTTAGTTTTATTTTTGTTAAACTTGATAAACTCTATCTATAAATACATTACTTGTTTAAAGTTAATTTRGCTATAAGATTGATATTTATCAAACAAACTGCAAAAAATAAGTAATAGTAGTAAATATAATATACATTTTAAGTAAATCACAAAGAGATTCATCAAATATAATTATAGTCTTATGAAAATATTTAACAAATTTATTTTTGCCATAAGGTGTTTGTTAAAAATTATTTTAAATTTATTAATTTTATTTAATTTATATATTTTTAGTTTAAAAAAATTCTTTTCTACGATAAAGTATGCCTTTTATGTTTGCGTTATATATAGGGTTAGACAACACTAGGCTAATGTTACTAATGTTATGCAATTAGCAATTTGTGTAATTGTGATGGATCTGAAAAAGTCTAGACACTAATAATATCGTAAGATTACATAAATATTTAAATTAATTTTTTTGTGAGACATTTTAATTGAATTATGTTAACTAATCATGAAAATGCAATTTATATGACACAACACATTGCGCTAATAATTCATTAAAATAATTATGGAYTTCATATACAGTATATAATATGCATTTATAAAATTTAATAAAGTTATATACATTTCTCTATACTGTTATATAATAAGTTAATTATTTTATATATCTTACAATATATTGTATATACAATTTTAAATATTTAATAGATACTGATTTTAGGGACGCGTTTATAAATAAAAAGTCCGATTAATAAACTCACAAAATATGCACTCATTTGTTGAAAAAAGTGTTGTTTAATGTTGTGTTAATGTTGTGCYTAATAATAGTTTTTATCGCAAATCAAAATCATCGACAAAACTTAACTATAAAAATATTTTAGTTAAACAAAATAAAAAATAATGTAAAATTTCTAATTAAAATTAATTAAATCTTGTTGTTTCAGTAAACAAGTGACAGAGTGAGTGAGTGAGTGAGTGAGAGTGAGAGAAAAGAGAGAGAGAGAGAGAGAGAGAGAGAGAGATTAGTTAATAATATAATATTTTTATTTAAAGCAATTACGGATATATTTTTTATAAAAAACAAAATGATATAAAATGTGTTAATTAGGTTTATATATGTTAATTAAACAAATATCCTATTAATTTACGCAATGTTTGACTATTATGTGAAAATCGTTTAACAGATAACCAGAGATAAATATATTTATTGATTTTTGTTTTTATTAAATGTTTATTTTCATGCCTTTCACCTTTTTGTATATTTATTTTTATAAATTATTTATAACTACAATATTTTCTATTCTATCTTTAATTAAAAATATGAATATTTAAAAATAATTTTATATGTTAAATTATTAAGCAAATTATAAAATATTTATTATTAATTATGATTTGATAATAATTATATATATAATACTACTGTTATTGTTTTGTTATATTATTTAACTTTCAGTAAATAATTTATTTTAAATATTTGTTTTATTTTAAATGATAATTATTAGTAATAATTGATTAAAATACAAACAACATTATAGTGGATATATGCCGCATAATAAAAACAATAAAAATGTTGAACTAATTAATATTATAAATTATTTAAAATAATTATCATTTTTACTATTTCCTATAAAAAAACTTAGATTTTAACTTAAAAAATTTTCTTAGAATCAATTTTAATTTTAAAAATCAAATTTTATTTTTAATAGTATAATTTGTTTTATTGCTTATACAAAATTTTATTATAATATTGTTCAAATAAAATTAATTATACTGTATATTAATTTAATTTATAACATTTGTGCAAAAAAAATCAATAGACTTTATTAATAGTAAAACTTATTATAAAATTTAAAAACCTAAACAATTATTCAAAAACATTATTAAACATTTCTCGATTCTTATTAATATTATTATTTGAGCGATTATAAAATTATTTATAAAATTATTTATAAAATTATTTTTAAAAAATAGCGATTATTAAAAATAGTATTTTGTTGTGTTACTTATGAGAAGCTATATATTGCGACAAAATTATATGAATAAAATTTATATTAATATGAATATATCTTATTTGATATGAATTGAGATAATAATAATGATAATAATTATTATTATTACCTCAATTATGGCAAACGATTAGACAATAATGGTATTCAATGTCATGAATTTTTGTGATGAGATTTAGTTTAAATGATAGGATAGGATATATGCAAAAATATAGAGAACACACACATACAGCTCCTGTGCCTCAAATACCTGTGCTTTTATACAACTCATAACGTAATACTCTTATCTAATACTGTATTCAAATTTGTACATATCATACATTGATAAACATAGATAACATTTAATATACATTACATTATAAAAACACATTTGACAAGACAACAGACATAACTGACAAAACTGACTAAAAAATTTTGACAAAAATGTGACATAAGATTAGAAAAAATAACATTACAGTACATCAAACAAAATATTTAGATAACAAAGACAACAATGAGAACCACATAATTGACTCAAAAATTATATAATAAAAACATTAATGACTGGGCTTTTTAGTATTTTATAAGTTAATGTCAAGCAGTTAATCCCAGCCCATGACACCACCTAATAAACCTCCGTTACCACCCATTCCGAACTTATTGCCAAAAAGCATTGATATTTTGTTTTTGATTCCTCCGAGTCCTTTAATGCTTTCGGTGATACCGCCGATTCCAGATATACCCGACAATCCTGTAATTCCCTGAACACCAGTCATACCACCCATTGTTGGGAACATTTGTCCGCCAAATGACGGAAAACTTGAACCAAACGAAGGATTGAAGCCTTTCATTGTAAACGCTGGAAGAGTTGACATAATAGGGATTTGTGGTCTAAAATTTGCAATCATTTTCGGAAATCCTTTTCTCAATTTATTTTTATCTGAAAAAATTATATAATTTAAAAATGATTAGACACTTAAAACATACCAAAATTTTCACCACTGTATCCATCATAAGAATTTGGAGGTCTTTTATTATAAACAGGAGGTTGTTGTCCGTAACCGTTATTTTGGTCATAATTTATTTGATTATTTGGTTGAGTATAACCAGAGTTTTGGCTTTCCTGACCATAATTGCCGGTGTCTTCAAAGTTTTCTTATTTATATTTTCCCATAAAAATGTTATGAAGTGCTTTGAATTTAAATTGCATTAATAAAACTTACGATTTTGTGGCAAAGCATTGCCGACAGCAGCTCCATAAGCCATACCCATATTGCCATCATTTGGATTGAAATTTTGAACATTATTTCCATAATTTTGAAAACTTTGTTGTTGTTCTTGATTTGCATAGTTTTGTTGTCCATAAACCTCTTGACCACCACTTGGTCTGAATGATTCAAATCCATTTTGATTTGATCCGTCGTAACCTCCATTATCTGCACTATTAAAGCCTCCATATCCTCCTTCACCGTTATTATTGGCATAATTAGGAACTCTACCCTCGCCAGGGATGGCACTGGGGTTGCCGTCATTAAAACCTCTTTCACCGTTAGAGTAACTATCGCTGGGAGTCTCAAGAACTTTAGAGAGTGGGACCTATCGATGTATTTATAATTAATATAATGGGAAAAATGATTTTTTCTACATTTAATTAATACCTTAATGTAAACTATTTGTATCTTTTTGGCTTTRGGTGCTATCGGTGTCTCATCAGTACTACCACTACTACTACCACCACCTTTAACGTCGCCAATGACATTGCATTGGACAACAAATGTACCAAATATTATAATCAATGCTATCGATGGTAACTAAAAATGAAATTTAAAATTTTAATAATAAATTCAGTTGCAAAAAAATATTAAGACATAGATAATATATATATATATATATATATAATAATTAACTAAATTTAAGCTAAAATATATAAATAAAATAATAAGATAAAAATCTTTAATTCTTTAGTTCTATAATACTAAAAATCTTTTAGCAATAATATATGTTTCATCAAAATATAACAATATTTTAATACTTAAAATACTTATAATAATAATTATTATTATAACTAATTAGTTATACACGTATTGTATTCTATAAATTGCAGTTACATACTATATATATATATATATAATATTAGATTGATCTTGTTAATTTATTTATTCAAAGGTAAAAAACATYACACAAATCAAAGCTGGTATCGAACTCACGATTTTTCAATTGAGAGAACGAAACTCCAGTTAATTGAACTTATTATTAAAAATAACGATTTTTTGAAAATTTGTAACTTATTATATTAAAAATCAAATAAATTATAATTTTAAAATATGCAAAAATTATATTTATAAATATTTACTTTTAAAATGATATACTGTATTATTAGATATTTAATATCTATATATATAATGTTTAGATTCTTCAAAAAAATTAATTTTATTTATTTTTATTCAATAATTTTAAAAATTCAATAATTGCATATTTAATTGATTTTATCAAATATCTAAAGCGTTTTATCTATTATAACATCGATTACTATTAATATTTAATTATTTGCATTAATTATATTTTACCAAATATGATATAAATATTTTTAAATATTTTAATTAATATAMATTTAAGATTATTTTTTCTATAGTAAAACATAGTTTYATTAWGTTATTTTTAATRGCATTATATAAAACTTTTAAATAAAATTGTTAAATATAAGACAAGCTAATTATTAATTGATTAGAATTAAAGCCCTATTGTACTGTATTATTAAAAATTTAATAATATAGATAAAAATATTATATAGAAATAATTTTTAAAAATTAAAAAGTTATCAAACTTACCATTTTTATGTTGTTGTCGTTGAGAGTATAATAACAATATATTAGAAAAATAATGAAAACTTCACAAACTTTTATGTAAAATATATACTGAAAAAGAGTCGATAGTCTCAATAAATTGTTGCATTAAAATATGGGATAACCATTAACTCATGTCTATATAGACCCGTAGTGTTCAGCACTGTTAACACAATACACAACACAACATATCATCACAATATATAATGCAAAGCAAATGCTGAACGCTTTGAGTGAACCGCAAGAAAAACGGTACACAAGAGATGATTGTGAAACTGAGTATAAAATATTTATTATTAGTTTATATATAAAAACATATGAGAAGAGCGAGAGAGAGAAAAGCTCTTCAGCGGCTTTCAAGTTATTTGGGTTGAAGTCAGTGATTGCCAATGTCAAGGACCTGAGCGCACAGGTAGTTGCGGAGCACAGGTAACGGCTTAAAACAGCACTCACAGTGTTGGCCACAACCTCAATATTGGCGTCACATTTACAACTAATGTATAATATATGTGCTATGAATCCTATGATATATGCGTTAGGCCTGACTTGTAAAAAGATGTGTTGCCTTTATTTATATACACACATATAGCTATATACTGTACCTGTCCTGTCTAAGGTGTGGGTGATCTCTACTATCCTATGTTTTTTATATATCCCTCTCCTATTAAATAGGCTTTCTTTATTTAACATCAAAAATATAATTTCCATAAAATTGCTTTCATTACAAATTATATATGAATTACAAATCAATTGCTTTTATGTTAAGTGCTTTTACCAAATAATTGTTGAGAGAGAAAGAAAGAAAGAAAGAGAGAGAGAGAGAGAGAGAATTAGCTTATTATTAAAATTTTTATTAACTTTAAGTAAATAACAGATTGTCATACTTTTCTTATGTAAAATTTCGTAACTTATTATTATTTTTAGACCGGAATATTGTACTTGTTTTACAAAAATATAATGTTTGTATTATATTTAAAAATTATGTATAAATTTGCGGAACAAATAAATTCATGAAAAAGAGAGAAAACCTGAAAATTTATTTTATTGACTCCATATGTATTTATAATAGTAATATTTGTTTATGGCTCATAAAAACAATATATAAATAAATTTTTCTTAAAATAAAACAATAGAGAAAATGAGTGCATATATTATAAGTGTGTATAAAAAATTAAATAATAATAATTTTAAACAGAAATCAAAAATGTGGGAAAAATATAAAATTAATGAATTAAAAGATTTTTATAACAATTTCTCTCGAAATCCATAATAAACATGTATTATATTATAATAAAATTCATTAGATTTAAAACTCATTTGTTTTTAACACAACCTTTAAATATAAAAATATAAACTTTAACTGAAAAGAGTATTGTTTTTTTGTTTTACAAAAATAATATAATTACTAATAATAATAATAAACAAAATATAAAAACGAATAAAATTATTAATTATTTAACTCTATCTGACAATTAAATTTTGTCTATAAAAATATGTAATGAATAGGAAAAAAGTAGTAATACTTACAAATATATCTTGAAATTTGATAAATACGTTGATAAGTATCTGATGTTTTTTAAATACTATACACACAAAAAGCATTAAATCTTATAAAATAAAATATTTTTTTTTGTAGATTAAATAATGCTAATCATTTTTATAGGATTTATATTCTGTATATCATATTTATACGAATATATGCGTTCATATTAGTAATGCATAAATTATTTGCATATTATTAAGATTTTCTTCAAATGTCTGCTAAATTATTATTATCAAAGATAAGCCAACAACAAAAAATTATTATTGTTTTGATAATTTGCAAGATTTGTTAATTTATTTGGACGGTAAGTACATTGTTATAACAACTACTCGACTACAGGTATATATATATATATTGGACGGTTAATATATATATTATTAATTAGATTTGAACTCAAATTAATTTTTTGTTCAATTTGTTTGCTTTATGTTTTGTTTATTTGTTTGTTTGTTTGCCTCAATTGATTGATAGTTGTTATTATTAATAAAGCAACCGATAAAAATGTATTGCCTATTTTTTTCATTAAACAGTTATCACAGAGAAAATACCACCAATTTTAGTGACATGACATATACCCCCGTTTTTGTTGTTGTATAAATATATACAATTTCTGAGAGGCATACCTCTCAAGTGTTGTGATTTATTGACTCCAATGTATGACAGCGTGATATCCGTGGCTTAAAATGTTATAACGATGTTTGGTTAGTACCAAAAAAAGTGTTTATTAAAAAATCTTTTTGGTGTTAGTTTACACATAAAATTTAATTTTAGTCGACAACAATGTGTGGATCAATTGTAATGTCAACAATCATGCAATTTATACCAATATATCTACAGTACTTATATTGAAATATTAATAATAAAGTGATGATAAAATATAGTTTTATACGTTTATATGACGCTATGATCAGGTATTTTTGGACTTTTATTTTAGAGCTAAGGTGTTATATGTGTCAGTCAGTCACTCAGTCAGTGAGGTATCGGTGCTCTGTGTATGTGTATGTGTATGTGTATGTGTATGTGTATGTGTATGTGTATGTGTATGTGTATGTGTATGTGTATGTGTATGTGTATGTGTATGTGTATGTGTATGTGTATGTGTATGTGTATGTGTATGTGTATGTGTATGTGTATGTGTATGTGTATGTGTATGTGTATGTGTATGTGTATGTGTATGTGTATGTGTATGTGTATGTGTATGTGTATGTGTATGTGTATGTGTATGTGTATGTGTATGTGTATGTGTATGTGTATGTGTATGTGTATGTGTATGTGTATGTGTATGTGTATGTGTATGTGTATGTGTATGTGTATGTGTATGTGTATGTGTATGTGTATGTGTTTATGTTCAACCACTCCAATATCTATTTAGAGTACAATTTTAATTATTTGAAGACTAACTCAATTGAATGGCATCTTTTAAATTTTATTTTATAAATTTCATATATTGAGTTTAAATCAATAAATCTTAACCAAACAATTATATTTAATATATCACTAAACTTAGCATTTTTTAGTTGAAACTAAAATATTCCGTATATAATGTACTAATTTAAATAGCAATTTTGAGTCCATAACAACTTAATGACTACCAATGAATGCTATTAGGAGTGGGTGTGAGCCTCTCTCTCTCTCTCTCTCTCTCTCTCTCTCTCTATTATTATTATTATTATTATTATTATTATTATTATTATTATTATTATTATTATTATTATTATTATTATTATTATTATTATTATTATTATTATTATCATTATATACTGTATTATAATATTTGCTTAGTTATAGGTTGCTAATTGTGCTAAAAATATAAAAAGCTTTTTACTAATAGAGACAAATATATACATATTGTAGTCTAAAGGTTATAATTTTCTAAAATGATTAACAACTATTTAATGCTAAATATTATTGTTGATTAGCAATATTAATAGTTATGTAACCCTTTCCTTAACTTACTTGAATGAAAATAAATAGGGGTTTTGACTGAACTTACAAAACTACTTATAACTAATTCATAAAAGTTAAAATCATTATATGATAATATATGGTATTGCGATTGTGTTCTCTCTATTATTGCATAATTGAGACTAAATTGTTAAATTTTCAATGATTTTTATGCTTACAAATGAATTATATAACAAAATAACAAAAGATAATAACTTTGTTATAAAACATTTTGTATTATAAGTTATGATATAAAGTCATAAGCCTTTATAACATGTGTTCATAAATGAAATGAGAAGAATGAGAGAGAGAGAGAGAGAGAGAGAGAGAGAGAGAGAGAGAGAGAGAGAGAGAGAGAGAGATTGAATTAAAGGTTGTCATTCATTTCATAAATTAATTTCATTTAATCTAAACTTAGTTTTACTATAGAGTGCATAACTGGTCTKATATACGATGAATGAATGAACAGGTGTTTTGCCAACACTTTATAATCTAAGTTGATATCATCTCTCAATTTATTTATGAGTTTTGATAATCAAATTTTTTATTTAAATAATAAAAATTTTATTATACAAAAAATATTTTAAATTTTTACTCCACTATCATATTAAATAAACTCTTAAATTGTAATTTTGTTTATTATCTAATTTATTCACACCTTTATGAGTTAGTAAACTCATAAAATTAATTATTTACTCATAACTTTGGCAAAARCGTTAACCAATTTTTTTTGACCCATTAGTGGTTCACTCAAAAATTGTTAAAAAAAATAAATAAATTGCACAAAAAAATGATTAAAAATTTCTTATTATATGGAAATTAATTGAGAGTGTTGTGTTGTTATTAATTTTTCATAACTATTATAAATTAACGTCATAAACTAATGTATAATTTTCATCAATGAATATTTAATCAAAATTATCTAGAAATTGTCACAAATATTAATATAATATGTAATTTAATATTTTTAAAAAATTTGAAAATTTATATTTAAAATTATCTAAATTATTTAATATTAAATTTTTACAACTACCTGTATATAGTATGTTACCGTTAATTTTTTTTATAATAAAATTTTTATAATAAACAATTTCCTGATTAATTAGCAATAATTTATCAAAAAATAATAAACATTTATATATAATTATTAATGAAAAATATGTTATGTTTGCAAATGAGATCTAATATCAAATAATAATTGATATTTTAGCTAATAATTAGATCGATTTGTAATAAAATTGCATAAATCAGTTCATCCTTTGATTTTTTTGTTATCTGTTATCTCGTTAAACATCGTATAAATTCATTGCTTCAAAATTAATAAAATTAAAACTAATTTAACTATATATTGACATTGATATCAAAGTCTAATACTGTATATAAATTTATTTAATAAATAAATTATATCTTAAAAATATATTTTAAAATCTTTATCTCTTTTTGCGTTATGCACTCTAATTGAGTAAAACATGTCTTAATTATAATTATAAATAAAAATTTGTAAAAATAAAAGCTTTTTTGAATGAGAAAAAAATCATTAAACTGAAAATATTAGAGTAAAATAGCGAAATCAAGAGTCAAATGTAATTAATTAAATATCATTTTTTAAGCTTAATGTCCCATTAGTTTGAAATACTTAAATGTGAAACAAACCTCAAGCAATATTATACCATAAATGATATCCCATTGAGTCATGAGATTGATTTTATTGCTATTTTAAATCTAATTTTAAAACTATTTTAGAATAGTTTCATAAATTAAAAATTTAAATAAAATCCAATAAATATATTAAACATATATTAATACTTCGATTTGTTAGCACTACTTTTATTAGCTCTCTCTCTCTCTCTCTCTCTCTCTCTCTCTCTCTCTCTCTCTCTCTCTCTCTCTCTCTCTCTCTCTACTTGTTTTCTATTAATATATCTATATATCTTTTCATTGATTCACTCATTTATTTATTTATTCAAATTGAATAATTCAATGATAAAACTGGTAAATAAATCAAAGAGTTAATAAAGTGATCAAAGAGTTGTCAGTATTGTTAATATTATGTCATATAATGTGCTAAATAAATAGTTTTATTTTCAAACGATTAACTTTTTTAAATACTGCAAATTCATCAAAATATGTCAATATTTAAAAAGTGATTATCTTTTTTTATAATCGATTTTAATGTTTATTTTATTTGCATTGTATTTTAATTTTGTTTACAGCATTGCATGTTGTGATTGCATTAATAAATTGTTAAGCATTATAATGTATGTGTGTTTGTTATATAAGTGTTTGATGATTATCGTTAAACAATACCACGATTTATGTAATCAAATATACACTCAATTTGATAATATTATACAAACATCACTATTATAGAGATAATACTTACTGAAAACATTTGGCAAAACTATTATAGCATTTATTTTGAATTTTTATATTGTATTTTATTTTCTCTGATTATTTTTCTATATAACATATTAGATAAAAAGTTTTATAATGAAATTAAGTTTAATTTTGAATCAAAATCGCAATTCACTACAATGTGTTACAATTAATTGCTATAAAGTTAAATTTAAAAGTTTAAATCTAATATTAAATCTCATTACAATTTATTATCAAACTTTTGACTAACTTTATTTTCACAGTCAGTCTATAAATTATATTTATAATACAAAATATTATATAATAATTTAATATTAGCGGTGACTGACATTTGATACTAACACCATATGTCTGACATAATTCACAGATTCACTCAATCATTGGATCTGAAAGACAAATGTCATCTGAGATGTCATGTCTTATTAGATTAAGATGTCGTGCTTTTCGTAATTTTAAACTATTTTACTCAAAGATGTCTTCATGTCTTCACAACTACTCTTTCGTTTCAATGTTTCGGTTTTCTCTTCATTTCTCTATACATATCCTCTATATCTTTCATCTCATTCATTGAAAGCGCTAACCATTCATTAAAGTCAATAATAATAATAATAAGACAAATAAGACTCTCTTGGGATTCATAGACGAGAAAAAATATATTAAAAGCAATAAAAAACAATTAAAAATAAGCCGTATTTAATTGCAAACCATTAACTCATAACTTAATAGTTATATATTTTAATATATGATAAAACTAACATCAAAGCATTGAATTCAATGAACAGTGAGTTTCAAATGGTTAGGACAATCATTATCATAATGTAATAAAAACTATTGTCATATAAATTATGAAATGTTTGTGTTATTATTATGAGATTCATATTTAATCAAAATTAATATCCAGCTCATAAAAATATTGTAATAATATCAACAAAATTGTTGTAAACAACAGTGTCATTAACTGTGTAATCATTAGTTATATAATATATATTGTACTACTGTACATGACTTACTATATATATATACAGGTATATAATATTGTTATATAACATTAGTCAAAACAATTGCATGCTTTATTATAATTAATTTGATATTTACATTCATGACAGCTATTCAATGACAAACAAACACATCATACAACTAACGTTTAACATTATAAATCACTACTTAATCATATTTTGTATGATTATTATTGTTATAATTAATTACAATACAATTTTCAAAGGATGACTCCATATGAGAGCATCATTTGTAATGTGAATTAATCGCTCAGATATTAAAATATAGTATTATATGCTATGATAAGTCTCTCTCAACAAAAAACAGTTTTCCAAACCTATAATAAAAAATCGACATTTGGTTTACAAATTACTGTATCATATGTTATATAAATATGTTAACAAACATTATGATTATAGTTGTGTTGGCATATAAAAGCAATTCATCAATTAATTCAAAGCAATTTATTCAACAAATTATAGGTATAAAAGAGTTATAATAATAAAATATAAAATATATACAGTAATATTTAAAATTAAATGCATTTTTATATCTTATGTGCAAATCTATAAAACACAAACAAGTCTGCATTGCAACTCTCTCTCTCTCTCTCTCTCTCTCTCTCTCTCTCTCTCTCTCTCTCTCTCTCTCTCTCTCTCTCTCTCTCTCTCTCTCTCTCTCTCTCTCTCTCTCTCTCTCTCTCTCTCTCTCTCTACAGATTTTGTTGTATAGTATATACTTTAAAACAAAATTGATAACTCTTTTTTCCTAATTATTACTATAATGATGGTAAACATGATGTATTAATAGTAATACAAACATATATTATTATTATTATTATTAGAAGTTTATAATAAAAAAGTAATTTAAAATATATTTTTCATTTTGTATTTATATGCAGTGGTTTTTTGAAAATTTAAATATTATAATATTATAAAAACTAAAGGATTGATTGCAGGGAATTATTTACAAAATACAATGAATTGCTTTCAACACAAAACAATATTATTATTTTTATTATTAAAAACAAAGTCATTGACTTATTAATTGCTTTCATATAAAATAAAATTAATATTTTATTCATTTTAATAGTGGATTATAAATATAAAGCTAATCTTTGAGATCTTTTTGGTTAAATTCATAGAAAATTAGTTTCTTTTGTTTTAATCTATGATATACTCCACTTAAATAAGACTTAAAGTCTAATAAACGATGAATATATGGCTTAGTTTTGTTTTACAGCGAAGGGAGGGAAAGGGATGACAACAAACAACAATAAGGATAGGGTTATTGAAGATATGTTTAGGTCTCACTGTTATTATGTAAATATATATATTAATATATCATATATACTGTATAATTGTTGGTTATGAGAAAAAGTATTAATAATATCTAAAYATTGTTTTGACAGCAAAAATTGTGAACAACTTGTAAGCCCTTCGACCTCACAAATTCAAAGTCATAAATACTTTATATACCGGTATTATATACAGTTTATTATATTATTATATAATATGAAAAATATTTTATTCAAAACACATTATGCATTGGTGTATAGGAAAGGCCTGATAAGCATCTTTCAAGTGACTGAATGACTAACTGGTCATACATTGAATAAATGAATGACTGGTTAGATATGAAATGATATAATGTATTGAATAATAGACTCATAAAAATCGAGTTTAAAATATGTCATAATGTATGTCATTATCTGTTTGAAAATAACAGCAAAAAATATTTAAAAATATTACACATATTGCCATATATATAAATATATACTATATTTAAATTTATATAGTATTTATATCTACATTTCAATATAATAAACATTTTATGGCTTAATGTTTAGTCAATAAATTTTGGTGTATATTTAGAAGCAATTTATAAAATCCTATCGTTTAATACATTTGAAGCTTATTGTTATGATATAGATATATAAAAGCTCTTCAATACAATATTATAATATAATCTTAAATATAATTATATGCAGAAAAGTACCTAAAAATAGCAAATATTTTATAAACGAGAAAAATTATTTTTATTTTAATATCATCTAAAAGCGTTTTAAACAATTTATTGTTAAAAAAATCATTGTATCTATATAGTACCGATTTATATCAAAATATACAATAAATTTGTGGTTTAATAAATTAGTTGTGTGTGTGTGTGTTAGGTTGTTATAACTTATTAATCTTAATAATTAAGATCAAAATACATAAATTTATGTCATATTTTAGTAACTAAATTACATAAATAGTTGTGTCTCTAAACAAGATATTAAATTTTAAAAAATTGAAGACCCGTCACATAAATATATAGTTATAATAAAAATGAAAATTATTAATAAATGGGACAATAATAAGATTAAGTTTACAACTGTGACAAAAATGTTTGACACTTTGAAGATCTTTAAAAATCATAAAATTTATTAATAAACTCTTATAAAGAGTGTAATAAAAATATACGTTTATCTATACATTAAACTCTAGTTTAGAGTCCAGTATATATAAAAATACATTATTTTATGAATTAAACAAAAATAAATACAAACAATAAATAAACATTTCTTTGTTATTTTGTCTTACTTTCAGTTCATTCATTAATATTAATCATAATAATAGAAAACAAATGACTTATTATATAATTATTTTTATGTGTTTTGTAGTTATTGTAATATTTATATATATATATATTGTAGTTATTAATAAAACAATATATTATTTTTAAGTTTCATTCAGTATAAAAATTTATATTAATAAAAAATTATTTAAATTGTAAGAGTTTGAGGGGAGAGAGAGAGAGGGAGGAAAATTACATAGATATATAAAATTTAAGTTAAATTTTAACTTTAAAACATATTTCTCAACTAAATGCACTTCATTATTATCACAAATGTTTTGAAAACAATTAATATTTTATATTTAAAAATTCATGAATTGATCTATAAATTAGGTCAACACAAAAAAACGTTTTCTAAAAACATAATATAATAGATAAAAATGGTTTTCAATTAAATGTATTTAAAAATAAATTATATATAGAGATAGATTTTGTGAGATCCATATATGAGAAGCTAATAAAAATAATTGATTTCAAGTAACAAATAATAAATAAAATATTAAAATTAGTGAAATTTTTATACATTTTCAAGTCTAAAAACAAGTAACCATTTATTGTATATTATTTAATATATCGTATAAATATATTTTAATATATTTTATTCAAAACTAATAGTATTGTATTGGTCTTAAAAGATAAGGTGTACAACTAGTGGTAAACCTTTTAGCCAAATATAGCCCTAAAGCGGTATAAACAATATATATATGAATTATTAAAAAGTGGTTTAATGTTAATATATCTCATCATTTGGTTCAATATTAGTGTTTATGACCTGATTTTTAATTTTAAATGAAATTTTCAGTATTATCTTCTATATATACAGTACTAAATGGGCTTAATATAAGATATTAATATCGCAGGTCTGGGCTTACAATAAATCACAAGAAACAGTATATTTTTGAAAGCACCCGATATATGGCTAGCCTTAAGACAATTTAGAGAAAAACAGTTATTTCATTTGGGAAATCAATTTTAATGATTAATTATATCTGTATAGTCTATGGCTATGATTTATACTATTAGTGGCCCGAAACTTATGATATTAAAAATAATAAGCCGACAATTAAATAAAATATTACTCCAATTGTATTATCATATGCTTACAGAAAAAATACTCATTATATTTAAATAACTAAAAAATTTGCATAATTTATATTATAAACAAAATTTATATGGCTTTAATTTATATACCATTTTATAAATAGTTTTATACTATTTTATAATATGTTACTTAAATATAATGTTTATGTTATTATTTATAGCATTTCATATTCACGTTTAAAACACATAAAGTTATCATTGCATATAACAAGTGGTTGTGAAAGATATGGACCAGTCATTTACCAATCAATACTAAATACAACCGCTAGTAATACTAACGATGCTTTAAATAACATACTAAACCACAAGTGATTAGTTTTACCGGTCATACCATTGATTAGCTTACGGTTAGAATCAAAGTTATGGTGTGTTTGTTGTGAAAAATGTTTGGTCACTAAAATTGCATTTAAATTCACGAAATGTTCCCCATTTCGTGAGGTTTTGAGAAAAACAATTTTTTGTGTAAATTTTCAACATTTTATGTGAGCTTTATTATAATTTTTTGTTTTATTTAAATATTGGGTCAATACTTTAAAAATACTAAATACACTAATTTTAATAATAATAAAACCATTCAACAAAATAAAAAATTTTCTTTTTATTCCAATATTATTAATTTTTATACAAATTATTTATTTAATTTTTATTTAGAAAAAACAATCTTTAAATTTTAAGCCATTCATATAATATTATATAAAAATAATTTTATATCTAAGAAAATATTTGTAGAAAAATAAAATATCAAACAAAAAACACCAAATAATAACAACTATAATAAATGAATAAATATAAAACTAAACTACAGTATCAAACTTTACATATAAATCGAGATCTTATTGAATATGGAAATTAGATTATAATATCATTATAAGTGTTAAAAACAATTTAAAAAATCGATATATAATTCCCGTTATTCATATCTACTACCAGATTATACACCGGGTTATTGTACAACAAAGTCAAGGTTCACAACAATATAACAATAAGTCCATTAATTATCGGTGGAGAGAGAGAGAGAGAAATTAATTGAGGATAACATATGAATAAATTATATGCTTAACAACAGTTAATTCAAATAAATCACAACTAAAAAATCACAATTTTGTTTTTTGGGGAAAAATTTGTTTTGTTGTGCCTTTTGTTCAAAAACACATATAAAATCCCAATTCATAATCAAAAATATATATATAAAGTAAGTAAAGCTATTTTGTTAGGAATTTGTTGTTTTTCTCTTAATTCAAGAAACCAAACAATCATTTATTACATTTTAGAGTTCATTTCGAGTTCATGAGAAAGACATACAGTTTATAGAAAAACTTATCAAAAATAAAATAATTTTTTCTCTATTATATCATTAAAAATATATAGTTATTGTTTTATACGCTTAAGTATTATTATTACTATTATTAAAGAAAAAATCCCAAAAATAAGATATATAAAAATTTATATATAATATACGATTAATTCAATTAAGATGTCCGATCCGTTAATCACTTCATTAATTACAAACTCGTGGTATAATTAGATTTCTCATTAAGTCAAACCTATTACCGTTTGGATGTAGTGATAAAATGGTGCCATCACTTAGATCTTTGACAAGAAGATAGCCATCATCATCGAGACCTTCAACATTAACCTTACGTTCGATGTCGTTGTCTATAAGTTTGATCACTTGATCCGAATGTATCCATAATTTTTTATATAAATTTTTTATCACTTCTAGTCCATTGAATTGTTGGCAAATGTCAAGAAGAATCTCGAGTTGTGTTAGAGTTCTGGCAATCAATTGTTCACAACTCAGATGAGCTAATTTGTGATCTGAATATGAATTGTAATTATCAATAATATGATTAACACTAATTGATGGTTCTTTGTTGTCAACATTAATTCCGGTACCAATTAAAACATTAAACATATTGCCATTAAAAGTACACTCAACTATAAAACCAGAAATTTTAGTCCTTGTTTTGCGCCAATAGATATCATTTGGCCATTTAATGGCTAAATCCAATTGTTCGTAACCGGGAATAGAAGTGATACCATTAATAATAGCAATAGACATCAAGTGCTGAATAAATCCCATTTTACTGCCAATGTTTGACTTGTGATCGATAACCATCTGAACCGTAAACATAGCGCAACCTTTCGGGGAAATCCATTCGTTTTGTGTCCGTCCGCGACCTTTAGTCTGTTCAGTAGCGACGGCAACAAAACCATCGATTCCTGAAAAATAGTCGATTAAATGCATTGTTGTGTCCGTACAAGTGGTAAATGCCAGACAATGGCCTAATTTTTTAGTTTGCAAACTATTGAAATAAGTTTGAGTATCAAATGGTATGTCTTCATAGTTGGCATTAATATTCACATCAAGTTTTGAATCATATTCCGACTCATTTGAATCCATTAATTTAGATCTGTTATCAATTACTCTGATCTTTGAAAAGATGTGTCTATTATTTTCAACAAATAAATTATTTGACTCTTTGGTAACCAAATAAACTTTCGTATCAATTATATTGTGTCTATCATTGGATCTATTATTAACACAATTGGAGTCAGTTTGTAGATAATTACTAATCAGTTGCTTGAAATAGTTGTCATTAAATTCAAAAGCATTATCAGATTTAGGATCAATTAACAGATCCTTTAGACTTAAATTGATGTGTTGACCATTAAAATTATCATTTGTAACGTTTAAATAGTAATCACTTGAATGATCACCGACTGTAATGAGCAAAGCTGTGGACAAATGCCAGGCATCGGTGGCTCGGATTTCATCGGTTTTGAGATTATAAATGACATATTTGTTGGAACCGATCAACTGGTGAATGTGATTCTTCATTATGACAAACATGTGACCAATTCTATTGCCGGCGAATCCACTTCTGTTGAGGTCATCCTCGTTGAAGACAATCAATATGTTGACCATTGATGGAAACTTTGTCGGCATAGCTGTCGAAGTGGTCAACAAATATTTGTCGCACATTGTCCAGCAAAGTGACCGCAGATTAGTTTTTGTAAACAATCGGGACATTCAATGAACACAAAACACGCGCGACCGACACGTGCAACACGTCGATCAACAATCCTATAGATATTGAATGACAAATAAAATGTGATTTTTGTTATCAATTAAAAACAATTTAATTATTTTTTACCTAAAAGTCAGTGGTTTTCAAACCACACGACACTTACGTCAGTCAAACACAACACTTGTGTCGACATCTCGTTTGCTATCAATCAGTGATAATAACAAAATGTGTGACAAATATATCTATAATTACGATACCCTTTGACTACAAATATATATTATTTTGTATTTAACTCAACAAATAAAATGAGTTATAATTTTGTAACACTTTATATGAGTTATGATTGAGTGTCACGTGTTTTGTGTGAAAATTAATTTATAGTGTTTTTCAATGCATTGATTGACTGATCGTTTGGCGCATTGATTGTCAATCACTTGAATAACCGTTTGATTACTGAATCGTCACTCGTGTTGACCATCAAGTGATCACTTAATTCACGTCATCGACAACAACGACAACAACAACGACAATGACTATTAATACTGAAAAGCTAAAGACGTCGCGCAAGAAGTTGAACATAAAGCGTGCGCTTGAATTGATGGCCGACCATCACTATCGGGAAGCGCTGGCAATGTTTACTACTTGTATCACATCTGATCCAAATGACTTCAGACTTTATGTCAACCGATCCTATTGTTACCAACAGTTGGACAAATTGGCTAAAGCTTTGTCCGACGCTAACACTGCCATTGGTCTTAACGATAGTCACATCGCTGGTTATTACCGAAAAGGTTGCGTAATGTTGGCCTCCAAAGTGTTTCGTTCGGCCGAACAGTCATTTCAAAGGGCGCTTCAAATCGATGGCAACGATGCGAACTCTAGGCTTAAACTACGAGAAACTCACCACAAGTTTCTAATGGAATTCGGTTTATCCGAAGATGAGGCCAACAGTTGTCTCGATACCGAACAATACAAGACATGTACGGAAATTACAGATGGCTTGAGTGCCGGAGGAATTATTAGAGCCATAAAAATCACTAATGGAACCAATTCGGTGACAAGTGTTGAGTCTATACGTAATGGTACTGACATTTCCGACACATTATTGACATCTTTTAGCGACTTGAGTACACTTTCAGAAGATTTAACATTAAGTGACTCGATGTCAATACCGGGGAACAGCAGCTCTATTACAGATCTCATCAACTTTGATGGTACGGCTGAGGCCAACAATAGTACATCCGTTTCATTGAATTGCGATGAAATTAGAATGCCTTCAAGTGTTCCCTTTAAAAAGAGATCTTCATCTGTAAGCACACTATCATCAACAACATCACCATCAATGGTACAGAAGCTAATTGATGGGCCTATGAGCCAATCAAATATCAAAATTGATGAGATATCGAAAGATTCGTTGCAAAAGACATCAGAAGACAAGTCAGAAGAGACCGCTTCCAAAAATTTAACGCCAAAATCAAGGTTTATTAAAACCCGTCCTCAGATAAGATTGTCTGCAAAATGAATAGATTTATCAAAATAACTTGATTTTAATTTTATGATTTAATCATACATTTTGTCTATTTTTTGGTTTAGTTTTTTAAACATTTTTTATAATTTCATACATTGTTTACATAGTTTTAATACATAGAAGTAATATTTTACCGAAATGTAAATTAATTACAAACTATCGAATGTATATTACATTAGAAATTAGTTAACTACTAATTAATTGTTATTTTTGTATGTGATTTAAATATTATTTTCTAATTTGAATAATCATTAAGTAAATTGTTATTAAAAACTGAGTGAAATAAATCAAACAAATATATAATACTGTACTTATGATTGAAAATAAATTTTTTTGTATAATTGAATCGAGACGTCGACTAGAATATTGATTTTTGTATTTAAAAATTGTTTTCCTTTCGATCATTTTAAACATAAAAATGATTTCCTATTTTACTAAACAAAACATACAGTCATGACTTGAAAATGTTAATAAAAAATGATTTTATATAATTTCATCGGTTGGGAAATAAGATATTTATTGTAAATATTGTAATTTATATGACATGAGATAATTTATATTTATTTATTTTTCACTACAATTGGTAATCATATTCTTGAAATATGTACAGTATATTTTGCATAAATATAAATTAAACAAAAATTAATCAGATTTTCTAGTTTTCTAATAAAATCACGAATTGAGCTAAAAATAAAATAATGAATTTATATGAATAATGCAAATATTTCGCAATTTAGGTAAGAAATTACATTTTTACATATATTTTTTAATAAAATTTTATAATAATAATATTAATTGATTATTTTTATCATATTTTTTATCAATTATTACTATAACTAATCAGTAATCAATTGATCAACAGATTAGTAATTACTGTAATTTGAATATACAGTCAAAAATAAATATTATTAAATACAATGTTTTGTATTATTATTATAACAACTGTTGGTAACAACAGATAGAAAGTTAATGACATTTTGGTGTTCAGACAGTTAATACTGTATATAAAGTTGATGTTATACTCAAAGATAAGTAAATATATAATATATTTGATCTGTGATTAATAGTGAAGAAAATGCTCTCAAATAGCATATCATTATTCAATTTATTTAAATAATACAATATATTGATGTAAATGACAACAAACAGAGTTATTAGTAATAATTAGAGATCAAAATATGAGAAAAACATATTTTTGGGGTTAAATATATTAATATTAATCAAGAAATCGATATGAATCCGAATTATCTATTTATAAAATATATTAACATTATATAAATTATTGTAACACTATTTGAAAAATTAAAGAAATATCAAATATATATTAAAATTATATTTATAAAAATGTGAATTTTATTATTTATATATATTATAAATTCAGGTAATATTTATTTTCAAAGTTTATTTTCGAGACTCAATTATTAGCAAAAAACATTTTATGAGAAAATCTATAAAAATTAATGTTTTTCATCAAACAGTATATATTCATTGAATGCAATTTAGTAAATAAGTACAACACTGTTTAATACCAGTATAATACCAGTGCATAATAATAATAATAATAATAATAATAATAATAATAATAATAATAATAATAATAATAATAATAATAATAATAATAATAATAATAATAATAATAATAATAATAATAATAATAATAATAATAATAATAATAATAATAATAATAATAATAATAATAATAATAATAATAATAATAATAATAATAATTACTCTCTCTCTCTCTCTCTCTCTCTCTCTCTCTCTCTCTCTCTCTCTCTCTCTCTCTTTAATATACTTATGTTTAATACTAAAATAGTTTAATAAATATTAATAAACTAAAATGTTTTGTGATGACAATGTTTAGCATATATATATATATTGATATAAAATGCAACATTTATTTCAACGTTTCTGTAAAGTTAATCATTATTTTTATACAATACTATTATTATTATTATTATATCAATAGCTGCCTATTTATACACAAACAGACATAACTAAAGTCAATAAATTTTAGAGAGGATTTAAAATATAGTGAATTGAATGATAAATTCAGTTCATTAATAGTGATATCAACTAAAATAATGTTTTTCACAAACTATTTGCAGTATTTGTGACTTTTTAAAAGAAAAAAACTTTTGGACTATTTGTATGATACAATTGTATCTTATATAAGATTAATTAACTTATGATAAGTAATTTTAACCTCATTTTAATCAAATTTTAAGTCTGTTTAATATAAACATTTGTTTGATATAAATATTAATAAAAAAATGTTAAAAAACGGCAAATTATGTTTGTCTGAAAATTAACAATTTATATGAAATGTAGGATATTTGTGATTTTATTTTTTTAAATTAAATAATTAAATTTTAAATTTTAAAAAATTCTCAAAAACACAGTATTAATAATATGTATGATTTTACTACATAAAGTGCCCCTTGACATTTTACTCAATATTTAAAAATAATGTAGGTGTAAATAATTATACAGTAATACTATAATAATAATAATTTTAATGTTTTACTTAATGTGCCATTAATTACTTTATATTTTTATATGCCTATACATTATATATTAGCAATAATATCAAGAAATGTGCTTTAATTTAAACATATTATTCAAGTAAATAAATAATATTTTAGTTGTCATCAAATTTCTTAAATGTTATAACATTAATATAAAAATTGTTGAATAATGTTTCAAATGAAAAGATAAACTAATTAATACAGTATTTAATATTTATAAATATTATATATTGAATAATATAATATTAAATATTATTTTTTATAAGTGATATACTCTAAGCTTAATAATGTGTTAGTTTCTACATTTTTATTAAATAATTAGTTACTATTAATATTATTTTATTTGTAACACTTATCTCTATTAAAGCAATTTTCATGTAAATTGATTACTTAATATTATTATAAAATTTTAGTAAATGTTGAGAATTAATACAAAGAATATTGTGGTAATACTTCATGATATTTAAAATAATTTTTAAAATGATATTTTATTTTAAATGTCAGTAAAAAATTATTTAACTATTTTATAATTCCAAGGTTTTTGTGTTTATTTACTATTGATATTGATTTATAAAAAAATTAATATACAAGTAAACTGTAATTATAAATACAGTAAAATAGTACTGTATATGAAATTTCATTGGTTTTAGTGTTATTTATATAGTTTAGTAATGTCTGTATAAAACGTATTTTTATTATTTTAGTTACTTTACATATATTGTATTATTGTATTGAAGTAACATTAATATGGTATTACTGTAGTTACAGTGTATGTTACAGTGTAGTACTGGATTGTTTGGTATGTATGAGTTGTACTGTTAAATAAATCGATGAAATAATATTTTTTAAAAATTATTTTTATATATCTCTTTATACTGTAAGTAGTTTCTTAAAAATCTATGTTAAAGTTATTAAAATGTTATTTATTAATTAGTCAATATATAAGACTTTAAATGTGTGGAAATTGTTTATAAATTATTATACATGAAAATCGGATACAGATTTCATTATTTCATCCGATTCTAGATTTTAAAAAGTTTTATCAAAAAATAAATCTCAATAAATTTCACTAAATAGTTTAATTACATTGTAATTTAGTTTTAAATAAAATTTTTATTTAAAAAAACGATTTATTCACTTAATAATTAACAATTTAATATCTAAATTCTTATTTTTAACGTAATATAACATTAATTATCATAAATAGATTTATACATAAGTATAGTAATTATTTATGTTGTATTGCATACAATATATCATATAAAGTAGTAAACTTTTTGATTGTATAATTTAATTAGTTATAATTAACAAAAAGCATTTAACATTTAAAGAGAAATTAATATTTTTAAGGAAAATGTTATTACTATTAAGTAAATAAAATATTCAAATTATATTCAAGTTATATTAAATTGAAACCTTCATTAATTAAAATTTAGTCTTTTTTTAATAAAATATTTATTTTGTGTAATTAACATTTTAGATAAATATTTTATGTATAAATACAGTAGAAATGCAGAGTATATATGAATTAGTTAAAATAAATTAAATATTATGTTAATATCAAACACTTGATTATATTATACAATAATTATGATATACTGTATAACACAAATTGTATGGGTTTTCATCAGAAATTATGATCTTTAAGCTAATACTGTAGTTGTGTTGACATTAGGGTTGACTCGACTTTTAGAAGAAGACAATATTTTTAATTAAATTAGAAGACAATAATTGTATTGTAATTTAAATACAATTATTATAAAAACAAAAGTTTATAAATTATTTCTGAAAATTTTATGATTACTTGATTATTATTATAATATATGAATTTATTTAAACATTTTTATCTTAATTCTTGAATTAATTATATCTTATTCATAATATTTTTATTTTAAACCAAATCAGATGTCAATATTATATTATATATATAACAATATATTGTTTTATTTTTGAATGTTTTTGATAAGACAGCGGACAGACATTCAAATCAGATGACAATACTCTAAACCCGAAGACTTCTCCCAATTCTAGTCGACATTAATAAAAGTATGAGAGTCTTAAAAAGTGGCGGAGATGCTATTAATTACAATTATCTGTTCAACAATACGTTAGATTTAAAAGTGACCATGGACAATTTTGTTGATAATTTTAAACTAAATAAGATTATAATTGGTTATTGTAAAATTAATTGTATGATTGAGCAGATAATTTACAGTCAACTGTTAAAAAATTTTTTAAATTAATAGTCGACTGCAATTATCTGACCAATTACGCAATAAATTAAAAAATGACCAATTACAATTTTGTTGAGTTTAAAATTATCTACAATTTTGTCAATTTTAAATCTAACGTATTGTTAACCACTTAATTGAAATTAATAGCATCGCCGCCGCTGTTTAATACTATGTAAAAGTATAGCATATTTCAGCACTTTATAACAGTTTTTGTCTATTTATTGATTTTGAGGAAGACTTACAATATTACCGGATATGCAATATATATATATATATATATATATACTAAAAATTATAATATTTCTATGATATATAATTTATTGTGATTGTAATAACAATTAATTGTTTTAAATAATATATGATTAATGATTAGAAATAACTAATCATTGATTCATAAAAATTTATATTCAATTATTATACATATAATTAATTGAAATTTAAAAATGTTATATAACTTATAGTCAATTAATAATTTTTGATTATTAATTGATTATTGTCTAAACTTATAATTAGATTATTAATGATTATAGCAATAGATTGATAATAATAATAATTATTATTATTCAGTAAACGAGTGCTAAATATTGGTAATCACTAATACTACTAATACTACTAATACTATACTTATACAACATATTAACAATTATTATTTCAAGTATAAAACAGGTGTTAATAGTCAATCATATGTATAATATCTGTATATTAAATATATCGTAAATAAAATTATTGTTGACTCCAATAACAACACCAAATAGTTTGCGATAAGATTAGACTTACAAATGTTATACAATAAATATATATCTATTGTATTGTTTTAAACAAAATGCATATAATTGTAATGTTAAGTCATTCACACAAATTATATGTATTTACAAACGGATACACAATTTATTAGTATTATACTGTACTGTGTATTAATTATTTAGTAAAATACAAATTATATTTTGAAATAAAACTATTTTTAAGATGACATCTCAAATGTAAGTTATATTTTATATATGATTATTGAGATTATAATTTAGATATAATTTTGCAAAAAATATAATTAAATTATTATACAAAATCATTACAACATGTATACCGAGTGCAAAATGATTGCCATTATTTCACTTTAAAATATTATGATTCACTAAATAATACGTTAATTTTTAAATTATTATTATTATATATATTGTATATTTTCAAATTACATATATTTATTTGGAAAAAATTAATTTAAATTGAATTATAAATATAAATATATATTATTATTATTTTTWWWAATTTAATGATTTACTGTTCATTCACATAATAACCTAAAATATCATAAATACCACAATAGGATATAAAATGATAGAATTTATTATTTTATATTAAAATATGTATTCAATATTTTATTATTTGTGTTAAACAATACTATAATTGTTAAAAGTATTATAAATTTTGCAGACCATAGACCATAACGTAAAATTGTCACAAAACATATGCTTATAATATAGTGATGTTGACTAAGCTTTTGTACACTAGACCTCTACCACTCCCACTATTTTAGGAGTTCCTACAAAAATGACATTTTGGTGGTACCGATACATGAAGTGCTTATTAGTATTATTATGTAAAGCATAATATTAATAATATTAAAGACTGCGATAAAAGTGTCAGAGATTTATATTAATACAACAAATAGAGAGCGAAAAAATATTATGTGATATACTAGATATGAGGTTTATATCCCGGAACCGTTATCGTAAAATTGGTGTCGGCATACTCTTTGCATTGTTTCTCGTACTCATTATAAGCCATAGTCAACAATCATTGAATTCGGTGAAGAATATCATCACAAGACAGACATCGATGATTGCCGGCAAAGGCAATGATAAAGACTTGGAGTGGACTCCGGAAAAGTTAAAACAATTCATGCATTTACTCGACAAACAAAATCATAACATCTATAATAATAGTTATCATAGTTTTAGTACTAATACTAATAATAATAATAATAATAATTTTAGACAATTAATTCAAAGCACAGCTAATTCATCACACAGTGAATACAAATTACAATTTCCATCTTTAAGTCAATACTTGACTTATATTAGTGATGAACAGTCAGCTCTTACGCCATCATTCGTGCTCTCGAAGAGATCGCCGCTTAATAAAGGTATTGATTTTATTTACTTAATTAAAATTATTGCAACAAATCTAGATTATAGACAAATTATTTGACCCAAACCCATCCACACCCACCCAATTACTTCCTACCCTCTCACTCACCCAAACTAACCTACTAACTGATTACTGTATGTAATAATTACCGATAAGTAATAAAACTAACTCTTTTTACTGATTGTCTATACACTAGATTTAAGCCAAATTATTAAATAAAAATTAAAAAATTATTTTTTATTACTAAAATCATAGCATCTCTTGTGTTTGGTGTGCCTCACATCAAGAGATCCAAAGAATCTTATCTTCAGTTGACTCTATATTTTCTCATTAAAAACATAAAGCCTTGGGATTTGAATGACACACATATTATTGTATTTATAGCCGAAACTGATATGAATTATGTTATGAACACAACGCGAATGATTGTCCATCACTTCGAAGAGTACATTAATAGTGGTATCTTAGCGGTGATAAGTCCGTCCCCAACATATTATCCTGATTTTAATAAACTTTATAAAAAGCAAACATTAGGCGATCCTCTTAAACGAGTTCATTGGAGGACTAAACAAAATCTAGACTTTGCTTACCTTATGATGTATGCCTACACTAAAGGTGATTATTATGTCCAACTCGAAGATGACGTGGTTTCGACTCCAGATTATGTCGGACTAATCAAAGAGGCAATCATTGATCTCAATAAAAACAAAACCGAATGGTTTACAATACGTTTCTGTCGGTTGGGATTTATCGGACAAATGCTAAAAAGTCAAGATTTGCCGCAATTAATCACATTTATGCTCATCTTTCACGAGGATCAGCCATCCGATTGGCTGCTCGACTATCTGATCCAAACACGGGTTTGTCGTAAAGACAAGGATGCAAAAGACTGCCGCCAACGCAAAGATAGTCTTTGGCGGACACACAAGACATCTCTGTTTCAGCACATTGGCTATCATTCAAGTCTTGACGGAAAAGTTCAAAAATTAAAGGACAAGTTCTTCAAAACAAAAACTTTTTCATATATTGTACACAAAGACAATCCACCGGCAGATGTGATCACTTCACTCAAGTCATTCAAAGACCACACTATTTCCAAGTCATACAAAGGAGATGACTATTTCTGGGCAATCAATCCTAAAGATGGCGATCACATTATCATTACATTCAATGAGCCGACAGTTTTAGATGAATTGACAATCAATTCGGGTAACTTTGAGCACCCGAACGACAAGATACCCGATGAGACCACTGTTGAAATTATACCACAAATATCTCAAAACTCGAGTTTTGTCGTCACATCGGATGGATATTACATAATCGGTTCATTTGTCGATGGATTCATCAAAATAACAAACTTAAAAGATTTTGGATTAATTAATAAACTTAGAGTAAGAGTGACCAGAGATTCGCCTTTTTGGTTAATACTCAATGAATTTTATATAAAATCATTAAATAGATGATTGTATAAACTTATATAAATTAGTTAATAATATTTATTACAAATGTTGTCATATCTTAATTTATATTTATATTCTTCTATTTATTTATCATATATTTTATTTTTATAAATAATTTATATAAAAATTTATTACAATTAAAAATTAGCAATAAATAAATATTTTTTTAATACAAATTTTCTTACTTCAATAATGGCATAATTTAACATTAATTACATAGACTTAAGTCATTATTTATAAGTCATATTAAAACAGCTAAATGATGTGCTAAACTTGATTTTATTAAATATAATATTTATTATTTATATACAATATGAGAAAGCGTGTATCTTATAATAAAAATAAATAAAATTTATTTTAACAACTCTTATATTGTTTGCCCGTTTATTAGCTATAGATTTAATATAAGTCTATAAATTATATTTTTATTACTAGTGATGATGATCATTATAATTTATAATAAAATTCTGTTAATCAAAAATTAAATGTTTAAAAATCTTATTTAAATAAAATGTAAAATTATTATTTTGTAAAAATATTTAAATTATATAAATTGTATATTACAGTAATTTAATGTTTTAAATAAGGAATACGTGACAAATATATAAATATTAGATATACATAACAAAATAATTTTTAAAAATAAATTAACTGATAATACTGGCTTACCATTAAATCACTGTAATTAATATTTATTGCAGTATTTGATTGTTAATAATATAAGTTTATAACTTAATTATGGAGCAGACATCTGCAATTAAATGATATCTTTAATATAAGCAACTGTTATAATTAATTAATTAATTATATTAACATTATAATAATAAAAATATTTATACAATTAAAGATTTATATGATATTTATAACTCATTAAATAATTATCATAATTAAATGTCCATGAATGAATTCATGTTTAAGTTATATACAGTATATAACTTAGTATAAATTAATACATAAACATAATATAATTTTGATTATTAATTTATAACACAATATGATTTTTTATGTTTTATTTTGTAAACTCATAATATTAATAATAATATATAAAATGTTAGAATTTTTAACCAATAAATAATAAATATATCTGTATATATATATATTTTGACAAAAACTAAAATTTCATTTCATTTTTGTGTGTTTTAATTGTTTGCAAAGTAATAAATATTTTCAAACAGTTTTGATTGGTTTAATGAACTTTCAATTTGACCTAAAATATAATTAATTTGTGTTTAATACAAATTTTATTTTTTAAAAACTTGTATTTAAATGCCGTATTTGGAAAAAAAATATTTATTATTATAACAAACTAAAATTGAATCTATAAATTATCAGGTAGATTTCAAGCGTCATATCAATACATAAGCGGCACCGGTATGCAACCATTGTGACGCCAATTCATATAACAAATTTTTAGTAAACTGGAGCGCATATCTCATTTTTATTTTGCAATCAATGATATTTATATGAAAAAAATCTCTAATTAAATAAACTTTATTTACTATTTTTACTGATATTAAATAAAAAAAAATTAGTCATATAATAAAATTATTGTTAAATAAATTTGTAAAATTAAATAGTTAATATATCATTTTTATTAAATGCGATTTAAAAAAAAAATATTTATACTTTTTTTTGACTTCAAATAAAAATAAATAAATAATTGGTTTACAGAAAATAAATTTAGTATAAATAGGATTTTTATTTATTTTTAATACCCTATATAATGCCTAATATAATTTATATGCTATAAATTGAACTACTCATTTTTTACTACTTTTATAGGTGTAAGTTTAAAAAAACTAATACTATACTATAGCTTACAGTATTTAGTACATAACAACATAAATGTTGTAACCTTGATAATGCCTTTAGGCCCTATGGGCGCACATGTATGCAATTTAGTTAGTCAAGTATACTATAAAAACAATTGCAATTTTTAAAATGACTTTTTGTTTCATTACTAGTATATCTCAATAGTATATTAATTACTAAATATTTAAATTATTTTTAAACAATTTTTATGGCAATTTTTTAAAATGCAAAATAAGAAATGAAATTTCAAAATAAATTATTTAAAAAGATAAATGAATACTTTATTGTTATTTTACTGTATTTAATATAATAATGTTTATATTTACACATAATTTAATATCCATTCACTCAAAAACTTAATTTATAATATAATATAAGATATAATATGAAAAAAATTCAAATATAAACTCATTAATTGTATATATTTAACATAAATTGATTTAAATTGATTTATTTACATTGAATAACATTTTTAGTTAAACATTGATCAAGCAAAATTTGGACAAAAATTTCAACCTGTTTTATAATATTATTGGTTTTAACATAATTTCTTATATTATTGTAATGTTATATAAATAGAAAACCAAAGGGAAAGGTATGTATATATGGACTTACTATAGGCTATAATTCCAAACATATAATCCAATCAATTGCTTGTTTTATTTAGTTTTCGTTTTTTTCTTTTTCTTCTTCAATAATATCATTATATTGGGAAAAATAGGATCATTTAAAAAACATAACAAATAAAATACATTTAAAAATTTTAAACTAATATAAATCAATTGGTGGGATGTGTCCACTAATGACAAATAAGTCTTTTTTTAAAACATTATTGGATTGTTGTGATGGTCTTTACGGATCACTTCATCCCTTTTCTTTGCCTGTTTTCGCTCTTTCGCTCTTCGATTCTATATTTCAAACAAATTAAAAAGATTTTTTTTTGTCAGATATTAGTCAAAAACAAATTTATCGATAAAACAAAAAAATTTTAGTTCAAAATGATGCTCACCTGAAACCAAATCTTAACCTAAAAATCCGGGCGAAAGACATGAAAAATAAAAAAGAAAAACAAAATTTTTATTACAATTCTGTTGATTTGAGTTTTATTTGAAGCAAAATATTTGTTTTAATCGTTTACAGTGACTATAAAGAAACTCCTATAATGCCGACACTATTTTGCATAATTGAGTGCACAGGGAGTAAACAGTTGAGAACATAACATACCTGTCTTTCTGATAGCGACAGCATTGAGGCCAACTCTGACTTTCTTCTGATGGTTATATATCTACTGTAGTGGAACTCCTTCTCGAGCTCCAGTCTCTGGTGATCGGTATATACCACTCGATATTTGTCTTTAGTTCTGGTTTTGCCTACAAATGCAATCAATCATTATATATAGTATTTAAAAATAAATATAATATACTGTATGTATACTAAATGTAAGCAAATAAATATTAAATAATATTTTTAAATTGATGTAAATAACAACAATTAGAGAGAACATACACTTACTAGGGTTGGTCTGGTTCTGATACGAAGGTTTTTTCATCCATTCATATGGACTGCGGGCCGGTTGCGGACGATTTGCACCGTTAGTATTATTCTCGCTCTTAATGACCGTCCCATTGGGTGTTGTACTCATACCACTGGTGTCGTTGTGGTGAGCATTGGGTGATTCGGTGCCATCACTGGATGCCGTAAGTCCGGAATCAGGACTCGGATGAACTGATGTGACCTCACTATTCATCTGTGCAATTATACCGGAGTTTTGATAAGGATGTGTATGATAGTGGTGTGGTATATGATGCAAGTGTTCACTATAAGGGTCAGCGCGATGAACACCGTGTGGATGATATGCGCCCATTTGCAATGGTTGACCATATGATGTATGCATAGGCATTGCACTTGCGAGCGCACAGGGAGGCAGTGAACTGACGGGACTGCTGGCTGACAGCGGGGAACCAGTGTTTGGTGCGGACCATTCATCAACAAATGGTGAAGCGGCCACCATTGATCCTCTACCAGGACATCCAACAGGTTGTTGTGTCATTGAGTACCAGGTGTGAGGACCCGTCAGTGGTGGCGGCGGTGGTGGCTGTAGAACTTCGGTAGACATGGGTGGCAATGGGGCTCCAATTTCAGTATTATATTGTGATATGGGTGATGAGGGTAAGCCTAAGTGTGGTCCACTCGTCAGTGTGGCGACCGTCTGACCCAATGGACTGTTACTATTGGTATGTGTGTAGAGATAGCTGTTCTGGTCAGCGGCCGATAACTGTGCGGCTGACGACACGAAGTTAAAGTTGGCGGTAGTTGTATTGGTAGCACTTGGATGCAATCGGTGGTGAGTGGTTGGGACTCCCGATGGAAACATATTAGTGCTGGGATTGTAACAGAGAACCATAATATTAAAAGTGTTGGACAAGAACTACAGCCTCTCAACCACTTATTCCATCTATAAGTGTCATGAAATTACCCAAAAACTACTTCATCGCAATCATACACTGCCTGTGCTGACAGCACCCGCCAATCGTAGTCAATCGACACACCCTCTCCAGTGAAGTCAGCCTTCCTATTGGGAATTGTCGGCAAAATGTATGATACGGTGCCACTACTGCCTGTGCCTAAAAGGAAAGCCGTCCACTAAATACTTAATTCATATTATATAACCAAAAGTATTTATATTTGATATATATTTAATATAATAATATATATTCAAACAAATATAACATAATATAGACTCACTCTATGTATTAGCAAAACAATTATTAATTAAAAAACTAATACTTAAATCAAGAGCTCTACCAATAATGCCTATTAAATAACTTATAAAATATTAGACTATATCTTGTGTTCACTAAATAATATCATATTTTAATCCCATTTATATTTACAACACTTTTTACTAAACAAATGACATTTTCATTATTATTATTGTTTCTGAAATATATATTAATCTAATAAACACTAGACATTTGGGAAACATATTGAATGTAATTTTTTTATTTTGACTTTAGATTAAACATTTAAAAATACTTTTATATGAGTTTGTTTAGCAGATATTGAAATTGACTTTCAATTTTAATGCGATAAAATTGATGATAAAAATGTTATCGACAGTAACCCCATAACCCATTGGAACCCATGGCTAGCATTTTGAGTGGAAAGCCATAGTCGGGTGCAATGAAGTCCATATTATTGTCAATTGAAAGCACGACTCATTGTCGGCTTAGAGACTCACCTAAATTATCAGGGATTTGGATGCCTATACCAATTGTCGGCATATATATAACAGGCAATAGACCAATATGTGTACCAATAGTGGGCAATAGCCTCTGTCCATATGATTGCTTACAAGAGTCGACTATAATGTTGACCTCACAAACTAGAGACCAATTGATTGTTTAGGCGCCTATTGGAGACCGACTGTTCAAATATATTCAAGATAATGCTCTCTCTCTCTCTCTCTCTCTCTCTCTCTCTCTCTCTCTCTCTCTCTCTCTCTCTCTCTCTCTCTTACTCTCCCCAATTTATATATAGTATGTTGATTGCATTTTTCAATAAAATGTGTGAGTGAGTGAGTGAGTAAGTAAAGGAGTAAGAAAACGAGGCCATTGTCTGAATCCCGAAATATAGCAAATATATAGCAATTTCAAACCCTATCTATATATCTATTATAGCGTATATGTTATGATGAGTGCTATGATCGGTGCTATTCATGTGAATTCATAGGTATAGCATTGGGAAAGGCAGTGAACACATAACGACATTATATTGACATATCATAACTTTATTGTTCACTTTAACAAACTCATTAGCTAATGAAACTGGCATGAAATTAGCACAGCACCAGTACCAGTGCTATAACCACCAGAAGCAATATTCAATATATATAGTTGAATGCTATTGTGATGATCGGTGCCATTTGGTTAAAATACAGTACTATTGGATGCTATTTCTTGAAATTAGTTTACAATTTGAATGTTGAAAACACTTTTATTAGTATTACATGCGATCCAAAAGTTAATTTCATGAAATGAAATGCCGTTTTATAGACGTTAGGCCATAGTTTGCAATATATATATGTCATTGCTTTTTACTCAAACATTAGATTTAAATGTGAATCGCRTATAAAAATACACATTTTGGCCAAACATTTGTCTAACAGTCATAAACAGTTGGGTAATATTTAGTAGGACTGAGCATTTGACTGCATAAAGAGGATATACATAAACAGCATATAGTTTATCGCATCCCAAGTGACTCGTATATTGTGCGGCAATTTTGCGGCCAAAAAGAAATCAAAATTATGGTTATGTTTTGCACAAAGTGCTCACATATTATGTCATACTATATGTCATAGGCATAGATGCTATATATTGTAGGCAATACTGCAAACATTTACACAAAAGACAAATTTAATGTAAAAGTTTGTGAAAACGAGAAAAAGTCAATCAAACAAAATTGATAAGTCTTTTGGTATTCAATGCCTAACATTGTTTACCACTATTAGGTCAACGCAAACAATATATCCAAAAGAGACTGTCCATTGAATTGTCTATTTATCTGAGGGCCAGAAAGCTATCATTTGTTAGGGATATCTGTATTATTTTGTAGTGAAATTACTCTTCAAAATGTAAGGCACGAGCCATCAGTGCATCAATGCTTGAGCGCAAAGATAGAGACATAAAAAGAGGAGGAAAGGGCTACCAGTGTATGCCATGTGAGTGCTTAGCATACATGAGCCGACTTAACGTCTATGTCTCCCGTGAGTACGATTACCAATGCCTGCACTAACTCAGCAACCAATGCAATACTAAATTAATAGATTCGGTATCGGATTCACAATCAAAACTATACACTTAATAATCCCTCAGATATGAGGCCAACACTCATAGGACAGGCTATCGACGGGACCGCAATGTCTGCTCTAATTAGACGAGTCTTGCAATTGTCTGACACATACTATGCATACAACAAACAAACAATGGGTTCAATGACTATTCAATTGTCGGCAGATTTAATGTATAAAAATAAATTTTGGACATAAGTTTAGACTTCATTGCAATCGCTTTATTGAGTTTTACTCTTTAATCCTGTGTTTCACATTGTCTCCCATTGTCTCTAATTTCTATATATTTCAATGCATTTTATATATATTTCCAGTGTCTTAATCTTTACTGACTTCATAGGCCTTAAGTTTCCAAAATATCTCATAATTACATTTCGCTAACATATGAAAAGCATTATTTGTCTCTTTCATTACAYGAAATTTTATTGACTGAAATCTGTGTGCAAACCCACCATAAAATAAATTTTCAATTTAATAATCAAATGTATTATTCATTAATCGGCAAATAAGAGAAAAAAGAAAGAAAGAAATATATTTAAAATTCAAACATAAATACTGTAATATCTTATGTCATCCGCAAATGTTTTCACTAATCTTTAACTATGAATTCAATCGGCATTCAAGTAATAGACAGAAAAACTCATGACTTTTTTCATATCATTATATAAAATAGTAAAAATAATGTAAAAAGAAGATAATTATAATTATTAACAATATCTAACAAATACTAAATACAGTAAATACTAATGAAAACAGAGAAAAACCCTCACAAGTGTTTGACATGATTTCACTATCAGTAAAATTTTCGGTAAAAAAAACAATTAATTGATGTTTTTGTTGATATCAAACAAAATGTTTTGCGCTTCACACTAAACATCATAAAATATTTTTGTCTTACCTAACAATTTATGATTTTTAATTAGAGATAAAACAATGGGTAATATTAATTTACAATCCATAAGATATTGTCAGTGATAACATAAGATATTGCAAACATGTTGTAGAGTGAGTACAAAATATATTTTTTAAGAAATAACAGTTATAAGAGACGCAACTTTTTTTGTTATAGTCGATTGAAGTGAAACTTTTTGTGTCTTTTATTTGAGACACTAATTGATATAATATGATTCGGTCGGTCCTATTGATGCCACGGCACTAATGTCCCAATCTTTCAAAACTTTTAATGGTTTCAATAGTTTTATTACAAACTAATAAAACAAAAACCCAAATGCTATGCAAACCCAAGTGTTGTCGTGTTTTTCCCCCAAAAACTTGTGAAAATGTCATGTTTTCGGACATGAAATGTCTTGTTTGTCGTTTTGCATTATTATTGATATTAGTGTTGAAAATATACCGAAACTTATTGAGAGCACACATAATACTTGTGTATCAATCGGTACTCTTCTATCATTTCATTTGCATTTATGTCTTAATTTTCGTCAGAAATTCTTGAATTTCTTTGTCTTAAGGCTTACTGGGTTCACACTCAGGAGCTAAATGCCAGGGCTTAACACACTTTTATTATATCAGTACTACTCTATAGTGCTATTATCTAAAACTCCTATAAATATCTTTTCTCTCTTTTTAATATTATTAGCCGTTTAGTCATCTTTTTATAGGTTTTACGCCTTAAGACAGAAAACAACAAAAAAGTTAAAAGAGATGTCGGCTTTGAAAAGACAACTGAGAAGTGCAGTGAAAGGCGACCAAAGACTAAGATTATTGCTGTCAACAAATAGTAGAGAAACGCCTTAAGTCTCACCTAAAGTGAGCCCTGCCTTCCCCTGTCTTCACATGCCTTCCCAGAAAACATCAGTTATTTATTTTGAATTACACTTTTGCCGCTCAACCTCTTGTCAATAGCGCTAGTGATAAGGCCTAAGAGTAACTGAGCCAACAATCCACTTACAGCACCAACACCAACACCAACTCACCACTACTTCTCTCTCTCTCTCTCTCTTTCTTTCTTTCTTTCTTTCAGTTACTCCTGTTTTCTTATGCTTGTTATGATCCAAAACAAACTGCTGGACATAACATACACCATATCGGATAACTTGGAGGCATAAAATAAGGACAGTACTTGCAGTACAATCGCGTGAGGCACCGACACAGAGAGTAGTTGTGTGGGTAGTAGTTGGGGCACCCATATGAACGTGGGTGATCGGGTAGTGTTCAAAATGCACCGGTGATATATATATATATATATTTCAGAGCAATTGGCAACTGTCACCAGAAACAGTCAAACATATATATCAAAGTAGTACTTCTTATGACTCCCCAAATTGCTTTAGTTATACATAAGCTCAAAACTATCAGCACGTAATCGCTGAAACATCACCACAAAAGTACTGTCAGTGTGTGTGTCAGTATTGTGACAAAAGCAGTTCCCAGTGCCTCAAAAAAGCAATTGATTTTTATTTATTTTTACAATATTTTTTCAGACACAGACTTTTAAGAGATTGGATTCACTGTAAACTAATTTTATGATATATTTTAAGCGCTTTTAAAGTGGACACCACATTGTAAAAACCATTAATTGCACTTTTTCTCCTTACAATCAGTGATTAGATTGACTGATTGGTCAACAAATACAATAACATTTATATATATAATTGGTTACACTAAGTGCTGATACTTACCATATTTTTTTAGTATAAAAAGAAATGTTATGGCATTTTTGAATTTATGCACAAAATTGTTTGCAAATCTCAGAAATTTAGATGTTATGGGAAAGTCATTGTAGAATATGTTGTGAGCAAATAGATATGGACTGCCGTTTCTATGATAGCAATACCATTATAGATAATAATAATAGTAATACTTATTCTCTCATTTCAGGTGCAGTTTTGTTGATGAGCACCGGGATCTATAACACAATACAATAATGGCTTAAGCTATATATATATATATGGTATAGTTGTCACTGACATTGATATTTATATGACACTCATAGAGCACCGCACTATCGGAATATGAGAATCGAGAATATTAACTGAGAATCATCTCAAATGAGTTGATATCACATCTTATGGTTAAAAATATTAGATTTTTTTCAAAAAATAAAACATAACATCACTTGCGGTTAGGTTTTGACTGTTTGTGTCAAAAAGTAATGATAACTACACAACAATGAAGTGTTGGTACATTGATGTCAGCCCTTTTTATAATACAATATAATTGTTGAGTTTAGTTATATTATAGTAAGCGATCATAAATTTCAATATTCCAACGCCCAATACAATACTGTATACCACCAGTGCCTACAAAAACACAACAGTGCAGTTGTATATTACTTGTATACCAAACAATAATTGTAATTTCTATGTGTTTTATTTTATATTGTGGGGCAATATATGGCAATTCACGTCAAATATACTTCAAATAAGTCTAATACAATACAATATGACAAAAACTATAACTGTATGGCTATAATGTAATAATTTGTTTCTCATAGTATCGCTTAGTATAGCATATAATAATATAAGACTACCGTTGAGAACATGGATTACAATATTAAGCTCTTTATTAGATCTAACAGTAAAACTAAAGTTATTTCTCTGTTATTGAGTTATTGCAGAATATATTTTTATATTTTTATTGGATAATTGGCTTAATTGCAGTCTATATCTCACTTAATTGATATGTTGTGTTATGTTGACAGACAAACACACCGTCAAAATGATTACTATATGTGTTTTGAGACTTCAATTCAAACTCATATATAAATAAAAAGCGTTTAAACATTTATATTCTCTGTAATTATTTCACTACACTATTGACTTTAATAGAGAATATACCTCTCAATCATTTATATGACTTAACAACAGCACCGGTCGATTCAATTACTGTTATGACTTGTTATCAGAGCCCAAACATTGCACAAATGGACCGAACAGATGCCAACTCTGATGTCGGGTTATTGTATGTATAGGTGCTCTCATTGCTAAATCATCAATATATACACAGTATCTAAATATAACTTTATATAACCAACAAATCGTCACTTTAATTAAGCACTTAATCTTTATTTATTACTTCAATCGCATCAATAGTTACTTTAATTTATGCAACAAAATGTCATAAATTACTCGGCAATCAAATTAAACTAAAAGAATTGAAAATATTAGAAAAAATAATAAACAAATAGTTTATATAGGGTTTGCCTTTAAATATACTTATGACTCCCTATATATTTCATAGGGATTCAATATTTTCTTATTTTTATTAATATCTTAAATTATTTTCAAAATATAATGATAAATCGGATTTACATAATATTTTTATAATTTTGCAATTACAATAAAATCATTTTTAAAAAAATGTTTTACCACATATTTAAATACCATAAATTCATTTACATTTATCTAAATAAAGTGATAAATACTATGATATATATAATATATATAAAAAGCAGTGAAATATAAATTTGTATTATCTCTAGTGATAATTAAATTAATATATATAAAACAAAAACAAATATATATATAATTATATATTATTATATGCTATAGTTGTTTAACTTCTGTATGTCAAAAAATAAAACAATGATAATAATTAATAATAGACACAAAAATTATTATTATTATTATACAAATACAACATTTTTGTTAATTTATTAAATATTAACTAAATTTAGTATATAATTATAGGACAGTCGTGTGTATCAGGCTTTCCAATTGCGAGCTTCACTTTCGTCTTCTTCAGTCTCGTCTTCTTCAAAGTCTAACAATTCCTCTCCAATGCCTTCAATCTATAGGAGAAAAAAAGTCAAACAAATCCATCAATACGTCCATCTATTTAWWCACAACTACAGTACCTCTCTATCTATGGTCTCATTTTCTGACTTGGATTGGCTGTTAGTTTTGTTTAACAAAGAGTTGCCATCAATTTTAGGTGACTTGTCGTCAAACCACGAATAATTCAACTGAAAGTTTTCCTTAAATTTAATTTGACTTATATTTTGTACGGCATTTTCGGCGTCAACTCGGGTTTTAAAAGTCACAACCGCGCCATTAGTTGACGGCTCTATTGTCTCGACGTCACTGAATTGCTATATAATTATGACAGACATATCAATTATACAATTAATTAGTGTCTCATTACACAGTTAATTACGATTGCATGGATTTTCAATAATATTGGCTTTCAATTAATCACATTAACAAATAATAGCAAATATTCACACAATGATTATAAGCAAACATAGCGACCACGCAATGAGATTAACAATTTGACTTCAAAGACAAAAATCAGTTTACATTATAAGCCATTCATCAGACAAACATTAGTAGAGTTTATAAAATAATTGATAAGAAAAACACTAATCAAACAATTGATATCATGTTTGAAACAAATACGCAAATCTAATCAATGACTTCATGACTCCAATTGTTTGTTTGTTTTTAGGTTTTTATGGTTTTGTATTTACAGAAATATATCGTATAAATAAAAAATTAGCCAAAAATGTGTCGAAAAAAATAAAAATTACAAAAACTTACGGCTAAGTGCTCTAAGAGGTCAGTCATGTCGTCTTTATTGATGTCTGGAATCAACAATTTTCTGGTTCTTCGATCAACTTTAAGATGTGGATTACCTCCGCGTCTAAAGCGACCTCTGCTACGAGGATAACCGCGACCTCTCATGGGATACGGACTAAAATGTCGTCCCCTATTGGATACTAAAATCTTTTCCTTTTTCTTGAGTTTAGCGTATCTGTTAGCCAGGTCTACATACGAGCCGTCATTGTTTTGCATTTTAATAAACATATCGAGATCTGTATTGAGTATCTCTGTCATCAGTTCCTCTCTTGTTTGCTCTTTTTTTAAATTCTTTGAATCGTTCATTAATTTCTTAATATAATCAGAAATCACTTGTATTTTATCACTAATTTGATCGATTGTCTGTTTAATGGTATTTCTTTCAGTTTCATTGGCACTCTTCTCCAATTTAGTCATTAATTGTTTCTGATTTGTAATCAATTCTTGTAATATTTTGTGTTGTTTACTAAATATTTGTTGTTTCTGTGTGTTTGTTGACTTCAATTTTAATGCTTTTTTGGCGTTAATTTGAGTTAAAGTCGCGTTACTTAACGCCGTTTCCTCGTTATTACTCTTACTGTTGGCTTCTTTATGAACGATTGTATTGTTTTTCTTGAGTTTTGACGGATCGAATACTGTTCTCGAAATAGTTCCGCTCGAGTTGATGGCCGTCAAAACATTTTCTGTCGATTCGTTCACTTTATGTCCCAAACGATCTTTTATACTAACTTTTGTACCCAAAGTGTCCTTATTGTCGGACTCATCGGTGTTGTCGGGTTTTGCTCCGTACATGTGTTCGTGTGTCTGTTGCTGGTCTTTTGAATGCCAAAACACTTTTATAAATCTGTTATTAAGGACAGCTTCTGTACTTCGTATGGCTGCAAATGCCTGGCTATTTGTTGCGTATTGTACTAATGCCGCTTCGGGATCTCCTTCATGACATACCTGATATTTTGCAATTAAAGTTAAAAAATAATACTAAATATGAATCACACGACTAAATTACCTGTAAATTAACGATTGTTCCAAATTTGGAAAAATGTTGATTTAAATGTGAAATTGAGTTCAAATTTGATGGAATTTTGCGGACTTCCAGACATGACTTGTCTGAACTTTCATTAGCAACTCTTCTAACATTTCTATAGCCACCCCTTCCATGTTTAGTAAACCCGCCTCTCATACCACCTCTGATAGACATTTGTGATACATTTGGTTCAACTACTGTACGATTAGATTGAGTTTGATTCGGTCGAATTGAGTTATCAATTGTGGGAACACCAATCAGTTCACGTGGTCTTCCAGGAGGTGCCATAAATTGTGGCGGTGGTAGAGGTGGTCCACCAGGCATTGGACCTCTTATAGGCATAGGAGGTGGTGGCCAATAACCATGTGGTGGTGGCGGCGGCATTCTTGGTCCTAATAGTGGTGGTGGACCTCCCGGTCCAGGAGGTGGATGTTGTCTTTGTATGTCCATTCCGGGTGCCTCAGGATTGTAAGGCTCAGCCAAATTGTATGGACCACTTGGAGGTAAAGCCATGTAAGGCGTATTAGTTGGAGTGTTGTTAGTGATTCCAAGTGCAGCCGAAACATTACTGTCCAAAACAACGGGATCATTGCCGTGATCGTATGGACACAAATGGCCTTTAAGACAAAAGCCCTTTTCTTCATAATCACGACATTTTTTATTTTCTTCGTCTTTTTGGGAACTCTTTTGAGGACTCGGAGAACGAGAATTAGGTCGAGAAGAAGTACGAATTCTTTTATTAGGCGGTAATTCCTTGTCTCGACTATACGACCGACTTCTAGAACGGGAACGAGAATTAGAGTAAGAAGGAGATCGAGATGGCGACCGTCTTGGAGATGGTCTCCGTCGTCTAAAATCTCGTTCAGCGCCTCTATATCCGCCGTACCTCTGAGGAGCACCTCGTCTCTGAAGATTAGCCGGTTGTATGTGTCGACGTCGCTCTTCATTTCGTTCATAACTATTACCATTACGAGTCCGGGGATTCTGTCGGCGATCAAAATCAATTCGATGAGTGCTTCTAAAAGATGGAGATCGACTCCGACTCCTACTTCTATTTCGTCTATCTCTGGATCTGCTAATAGACACTAATGAGGACTCAGTATTCTGAGAGTTTAACATTTGGTCCGATGTTTTATTTGTCGCATTTGATCCTAAATCTTGACTTTTCTGTTGTGAAGAAACATCTGATTGTTGAGTAGGAAATTGTTGTGATGTTTGTGGTGACGATTTAGCTGAAGATGTATTTGTTGTTATTGTTGTTGTCGTAGTCGTCGTTGCAGTGGTGATGACAGCTGTTGTTGGTGTTGTTGTTGTCGACGACGATATATTACTCGATGACTTTATATATGTCTTATTAGTTATCGTCTCAAACAAAGTGTCCACAAAACTGATTGTATTATTTTGAAGAAACACTTCCAACTGATCTAARCACACATTTTTCAAATCTTTTTCTGTTTTATCCTTCTTGATTAATGCCATTACATATTTGGCCAAAGCGTGTGGATCCGCATCGCATCTGTAAATCAAATCATATTATATAAACATATATCTTATCTATCAAATAGACATCACATACAGCGGTTCCAGATAACTGGTGAGCCAATTGCGAAGGGCATCCGTGTTGTCGATTATCATCTCTTTAGACAATCAGTTGACTCAAAAAATTGATTAAAAATATCTTCAAATTCAAAATGCAAATCAACTTCAGATGTCTATATCTGTAACAACATTTCATCACATCTTTATATGATATACAAGAATAAACATATTTTGGTTATCACATCACTATTGGACTTACCATTGGATCAATTGATTGGATTCACAGATGTCTTCGTTGTTTTTTGTTCAACAAATCACTCAAACAATCTATAGTTATAATACAAATGTCTTCAGCAGTAAAAGTGTAACCAAATTGTGATCCAAAGCCAACACTAATTGCAATCACTGTTCAAAATGTTGTCCAATCACTGAATCACTAAATTATTATCACTATAATTGTGTCCAATCTTTATGTAAATCATGTGTGCATTCAATCACTAAATTAACAAACAATTTGACTAAACATTAGTTGATATATGATTTTGACTAAAATAAAAATGATTACAATTTTTCTATTAATTAAACACTTATTATATATTATTTTTGAATACAATTTATAATTGAGAATTCAATGCCTATTGAGTGCCATTCCATTCAAAACATGGGGTAATTGCCATACAATTGCCATACAATTCCAATACAATTGTCTTTAATATTAATGTATTATTTTTAGTATTACTGTCAACGCTGGCTATTGGATAGTACTGTACATAAAGTACGTCACAGACACACAATTTGCACACTTCAAGGACACTATTAAACTGTAATATTATTTTACATTTTTTTTCATGTTGTTTGAGGTGATCAATAAAAATGATCATGACACTTTTTTTTATTAAAAAATAATAATAATTAACATTGCAAAATATAGTTATATCATTTATAGTTTTTAAAAAATAATATAAGGTTTTATGTGTTTCCGCACTTTTATTTTTAATACATAATGTTTTTTAGGACCCATTGTTGAAAAAAACGACTTTTAGATTAGGCGACCAAAAGTTAATTTAGTCTAATTATACATAATTTTTTAGACATTTTATAATATAAACTTTTTTAAAGACATTAATTATAAATAAATTTATTTAAAAATTATAATTTAAAAACAGTAGTCATTAGTCAGTTAAATAATAATAATATTAATACAAACGGCAACAGATTCTTACATAATATACTATTTGAATATATTATTAAAAATCAATTATAATAATTAATTTTGATATTAAATTGTAGTTTACTTTAATTAAGTAAATTTAGTGTAAATAATTACGAAACAAGGTTTACAGTAAACTATTGGGTTTTTATGAACAATCTATACTATGAAGTAAATTATAGTAATGTATATATAAATTATATATACCTGTATATCATGGTTAAGCAAAGTTTTAGATTTTAGGGGGKTCTAAAAGGGGTCAAATTACAAAAATCTCGAAAAWTCTTGGGGAATGTAGAGTCGGTGTAGACTTTTATTGCATTTTTAAACGGAAATTTTTTCAATATCTAATTTTCAACTAAAATTTTAAAAAAATTATTAATAAAAACTTTATTTCATATTATAAATAACAGTATATATTGTTTTACTAACTTTATTTTAGGGGTCATTTCTTTTCGATAATAAGCGACAAAGTATGGGGTCAAATCCCAAAATCTCGATCTTAGGGGTCATTTGGTTTTACCCCCTACTCCTTACTAACACTTATATAAATACTGTATATATATATTATACAGACTCTGTATTTCAATTTCACTCATTACACATAAATTTTAATAAATTATTTTAAATATTAATAAAATTTCATATCTATTTATAACTATGAGTGGAATTACTAAATTAATTAATTAGTAATTTGTACTAGCTTATTTGTACGTCATTTTTATTCTATAAATTATATTTTTAAATATTTATTGCTATAATTTAATATAATGAGCTATGATTATAATAATTATTGAAACAGTTGTTATAAACAAAAGTTTAATTTATTGAATACAATATTAATTATTATAATTTAATTAATAATAAATTATTTGCAATTCAATGCCTTTTTGTGAAGCTATTGTTTTATAAAATGAATGTATACTTTTTAATTGTTTTTCATTTATAAATAACTTATAATTAGCAGTAATATCATATATATATATAATGTATATTTATGGTAAATGTAGATTTAATATAGTATCATGATATATTATAAAAAAATACTAACTCCTAAATATTGTATTAATTAAAACATAAAAATAAATCATGGTTTTCTAGATACAAAAAATGACCCATTTTTTATATTATGCTTTTACAGTATATTTTATATTATACTGTTAATATATTACGATGATAAATTATTGGATACATTATTTTATTCATTAAAAATAATGTCATAAATATATAAAATATAATATTAAACTAATCTATATACATAATAAATAATTTAATATAAAATTAGAGTGAATTATTTTCTACTTTATTCAAAAATTAAAACTTTCTTTACAATAATAATTTATAAACAATTCAAAAAAATTATTATTATTTTCAATAAAAAAATATTGTAATTTGAGAGATATTCAGTAATGTTAAAAATACTAGAATATTTACATTTTAGAAAAATAATTACAGTAAGAAAAAACAATAATTAATTATTGATAATCATTGATAATTATTGATATTAATAATCAATATGAATATTGAATATATTATTATTAAATAAATGAATCGATAAAAATTATTAAAGATAACTAAAATACCGGTATMGCAATTAAGTTAARTTATCATTATTATAACATTTGCATTAATATAATATATACATATTTAATATTGAACAATATTTTATACAATTCATAAACAGGTATGTTTTTAATACTTAAAAATAATATAATTAAATATATAATACATTGTATAAAAATTTATAATAAAATAATAAATTAGTGCCGAATATTAATGTTTTTTTACAGCGATAGAAATTTTACGAATTTTCAAATATTATTGATGTGTAATAATTAATCATTTTATATTAACTATATGTTTAATATTTATTATGTTAGCAAAAATTATTTTTAAGAAATTTAAGAAATGAATATCATATCTACAGTATATAATACAATATATATACTGTATATAACAGAATTTTTATAAAAATAAATTATTTAAATTTTTATTTATTTTTAATATTACATATATATATAATAGTTTTAATGAGTTTAAATATATATATATATATATTATTATTATTTACTATTAGATTTTTAAAAATAATATATTACAGTAAAAATGATTATAAAATATTTATTATTCTAAATTATCAGAATAATATTTTTTTTATTTTTATACTATATACTGTACAGTATTAACATTACAATAGCTAAATAATTTATTTAAATATTAAGATAACCATAAATTTTATCAATTAAAAYCTTGTACGTTAACAAATATAATATTAATATATTATTTTGTTATCTAAGTTAAATTCAAATATAAGGGTTAAAGATATTTTAGTTATTGCATGTAAAAAACAATATAAAGTATTACTTAAAATATTGTATCATTTTTACAAAAATTAAAATATTTTTAACCTCTAGATAGAGGTTTTTAAGTTTTTCATTAAATGCTTTTTTATAATACTTCTTATATTTAAAATTGTTAATTGATTTTTTAAATTCAAAAATAAAGTATAAGTATTGTATAATTATAAATGATTTTTTATAGGCATATGAAGCAACCGATGGCGCTATTATACACTATTATACGCTATTATGTACAGTCCTTATGAGCTAGCGAAGACTCGGGGCTTTTTAATATGAATTATATTGTATTATGTAATTGTATTGTGTAACTATGACAACAAATATAAAAAATAATATAAGTATTAGTTTATGTAATTTGAAAGCATGTTTTCAATGTTATGAAAAATAAAAAAACTATTTGATTTGTTTTTTACTTTTACACAATTGGTGACCGCAATGACCACTCAATTCAATTTCGATTCGACGCCCACTATGGGCACAACATCGACGCTATCGAACCTCACCTTTGGTCCGTTGACCACAACATCTCAGTCAACACTTCCGTCTTTTAACACTTCATTAACAACAACTCCTTTCTCATTGAATACAAATGCATTAAACTCTTTGTTGTCCTCAAGTTTGGCCAAAACTGGAGTGAATCCATTGGGAACAACACCGACATTAACTTTAACGCTGACCAGTGCTCCGACAGCGACATCACAAACATCAACACAACAGATGACAACATTTCACGGTATGGGCGGAAACCCAAGTATCGCCTCGAAGACGGTCAGTGACCACTTGATAGAAACAATTAACAACTTTGATCAACAAATGAATACTTATTCAAAACAAATACAAGAGTTTACGACACATATCAAAACAAACAAAGAGTGCATTTGTGAAAAATTATTAGTCCAACAAAAGACACTTATTTCTTTGGCCGACAAAGTATTTGTCATTCGCGAAAAAATAAATAAAAAAAATTGTAAAAATATAATAGTCGATAAAACAATAGGTAACTAATAATTATGTATTTATCAACTCATCTCAACTAACAATTCAACAGATCATCAATTGAAAATGAAAGAGTTATCATCACAAACGAGGCATCGTTCGTCTCCATATCCTTTGTCATTACCTTCAACTTCGACGGCAACAACGACTCACTCAATACCACATACGACAGGTCACTACCAACGAGTGGCCCGACAGCCATCCTAAAGCCATTCACCAACGCCTGTGATTTACACACAACGGCTCAAGAAAGTGTTAAAGAGCTCTCAGGCGAGCGCTACGACCAGTTTGAATGGTCCCGATTGGCCGAACCCGCAGTTACAAGGATTACACTCTCAACACATACCGTCGGATCATTCATCGTCCAACTCATTGTCTGCATTATCGACATTAAATACAATTCAAATGTCTAATTCATCAGTTAATGACTCAAAATCGCAAACAAAGAGCTCTAAGTCTTCGGACGAGTCAACTAAAGAATCGAAACGTTTTAAGTCATTAAAGTCATCGAAAAGTAATAAAAAAATAATAAGAGATTCATCTGAACATGTAAATGAGTGTCAAATAAAAAATAAGGTAAATTTTAAAAAATATTTTTAAAAATAATATCAAATGATTTACCATATTTTCCAATTGTTATTTTAGGTGATAAATATGTTGAACGATTTGATGATTACAGATGATAACAACAAAAAGTTGTCAAAATTGACGAAAGTTCAGGAATTGGTTTTACATAACGATTTGTTGGACAACTTCTTGGACGAAATTCTTGGCTTTCAAAACGACAGAAACGTAAATGTCAGACGATTTGTGATCGGCTTTATAGAGAGCGTCTGTAAGAAGAATCCCGAGTACTTCCCAAAAGTTATTATGAATTTAAAGGTTATGTTAGCAGACGATAGCTTTAATGTCATCATAACAGCCATACAGACGGCCACACAGTTGTATAAAGAGTTTCTTAAATGGATTTGCAAAGGAAAGATCAATGAAATGGTTGAATCAGTTTATGAGAAATGGCTTCAAATAAAAGATCATATGTTTGGATTGTTAGTTAATACAAACAACTATGGAATCATAGCACAAGTCATCAAATTCATGGAAATGATTGTCATTTGTCAGACACGTAAAGACCAGTTCACTACTGGCGATGACTTTAATTTGGACTCAATGTCTTCGAATCAATTGATCGATTTGGACGCACTTCAAGAAGAGGCCAAACAAGTGTTTGAACAGTTGATTATATTTCACGGATCACCTCATATATCTAGTGTTAACTTAATGTCAACAATGCAGACATTGACACTGATTTCTAAACAACGATCGCAACTGTTTATGGCAAATGTGATACAAGCAATGGAAGCACTTCACGCCAATCTTCCGCTAACTTTTGACAAGTCCGCCAAATCTCAAGTCAATTCAGTTCGCAAACAATTAAAACTTCAACTATTGAGACTATTAAAACATCCCATGTCTTGGGCATCGTCGACATTTCAGACACAAATTATTCAATTGTTAATAGATTTAGACGTCTCTCAATCGGAGATTAATATTTGTATGAATGAATACAAAAAATCAATCATCAAAATGGAGCCCAAAGATGTCGAAGTAAAACGAATTAAATTGGAATCCGACGAACTCGTCGATGAAGATAATGAACCATCGCCTGTGATTTCATCTGCAAAGATCACTAAGAATGATAACAGATTTAAATCTGTATTAAAAAACCATATCATATCGTTTTATTGTTGGCGGAAACGAACAATTTTGTTTAATTGAAATATTAAATACTGTTTTACGAGACTTCAGTCTACAACAGATATCTAACGTATTCGATAAACTGAAGATATTTTGTTCGCGTTGTACACCGGATCAGTTGGAAATACTCAAATCGGAACAAATCATTTTGGAATCATCGTCAAGCTGTGACCTTATCAGCAAAGCAGACGCTGAAAGACTATGTGCCGTACTTATAGACAGTAACCCACCGAAAGCATCAATTAAACGAAAATTAACAACAACTATAACAGCAGTTGAAGATGAAGACAATAAAGACAATGAAGACAATGAAGACAATGAAGACAATGAAGACAATGAAGACAATGAAGATATTGAAGACAATGAAGACAATGAAGATATTGAAGACAATGAAGATATTGAAAATATGACTCCTAAACAAATCAAAACAACATATTCATTGAAAATCAGATCAGAATGTGTAAAAATATATTATCAATTGAATAGTGCGCGCAAGGCAGCAATGAAATTTAAAGAACTAAATTCAAGTCTAGAAAGTCATCCAAATTATAGTGATATTTTGAGATATGTTAAATCTTTTGAAAATCGGGGAAGTGTTGAAAATAAAAAGACTGAACGCATTCCAACAGTAAATACACCTGAAATGAAAGAAAAAATATTGAATGAATACAAACAAAACCCGATACAACCGCCATTAAAAGTATCAAAAAAACTTGGAATATCTCCTGATTCAGTAAGAAAAATACTTAAAGAAGCCCATATGCATCCATACAAGTTGCAAACTATTCAGCCTATTAATGAAATCGATAAAAATAGACGACTTGACTTTGCGAATTTAATGTTATGTGAATATGAAGAAGATGTCACATTCCCATTGAAATTAGCTATCTGGGATGAGAAGGAATTCAAAATAAATGAAAGACCAAATAGACAAAATTACCGACTTTATGCGCCATATGGAAGTAAACCTCTGTTTAATAGAGAATTAAATTATCAAACAGCAAAAAAAGTAATGGTTCTCGGTGGTATTTGGGGACATCGAATACTTGGACCATTTTTTTTTGATGGAAATGTCTCTGGGGCTTCATTTACTAAAATGCTTGAAGAGGAGGTTTGGCCAGTTATCAACAACCAACCCGACAGCGACGAAGTTATATTTTTACTTGACGGAGCGAGCCCACATTTTAGCATTATATCGCGGGAGTGGCTAAATGAAAAGCTTCCGAAACGATGGATTGGTCGCGGCGGGTCAGCAGCTGGATTTGGTGAATGGCCCGCAAGATCACCTGATGTCACGCCCATGGATTTTAGTATTTGGGGCATCATTCATGGCATTGTCTCAAAAAAAATTTTTGAAAATATTGAAGAATTAAAACAAGAAATCGAGTTTGCTTTTACATTTATTAATTCACAAATGTTGGAAAATATTAGAGAAAATATGATTAAAAGATGGAGATATTTAATAACTTGTGAGGGCGGACATATTGAACCGCATTTGTAACAGTTGGACCACTTGACCATCGATGAGAAAATTAAAAGAAGGTTTGATTTGATTAACTATTTGGTGCCAAATATATCTAATTTATTGTGATTTTTATCGATAGGAAATTTCACAACAGAGCGGCCGCACAGTTGGCCAGAGATCGGAAAAAATCTAAAATGTGTGATTTGTACGATAAAGTTGAATGTCTTACTCGAGAAGTATGTCTTATTTAATAATATAAATTAAAAACAATACAATTATATGTAATTATTATACTTTTTATGATTAATAGAAACAAATCCTTTTGAACACAAATGAAGAGTTGATTGCAAGACATGAAGCTTTGGAAATAGAGAACAGAGAACTAAAGGAAAGGTTATCAGAGATGAGCCAACAGTGCGTCAAATCTGTAGAGGAAAGCGATTGTAACGTTGAGTCCGCAGAACTCATTAATGTTTCTCAGCCGCAGAAACTCGCGACGATTGCCACCAAAACAGATCTGAAAGCTGTGTCTCACTCGATGATGCCATTCATCTCTTGGTTAACGGTTCTGAATCTGATTCAGTGCTTCAATTCCTTCAGCAATGTTCACAAGATTTACTCGACTCTGAAATTACAATCTCAGACAATGGAGAAAACTGTCAAACAGGAGAACCAATTGAGTCAAACGATATCCCAATCCCAGTGTCGGATGTCAGCACTCAAGACGACTATACAGACTTTGAATTCTCTCAATACTTGAAGCTAAACACCAAACCCGTGAGTCCGATGTCCTCTCAAAGCGATTCTGGCTATGAGTCGGACAATTCACATATTGTTTTGTCTGACAATAGCATTGATGTGACCACTGATATGCAATGGAAGGAAACAATATCCGAGCTCTTTCTGGATCTCATCTAAATTATTGTCTTCAAAATCATTCATTTATTAATATATATTTTCATTTAAAAATTAACATTTATGTTCATTATGTTCAATATTTTCTATTTAAAAATATAACCATTAAATATACAGTAATTTCAATTATTTATTGTAAATAAATCGTAAAAATTATTATATAAAAATTATGAATTAATTGGTTATTTAAAAAAAATTTATTTAGTGTACATTTGTTATTAAAGGCTCCTATATTATAATTATGTAACGTTGTATTTGAAAGGAATTATTATTTTTTATGCCGAGTTGATTCCAAAAATGTTCACTGTACTGTACTATAATTATTATAAATTATATTGAATGATGAAAATGACATAAACAAGTACTGTGTTTGTGTAGGTTATAATTAGAGACATCAAAATATGTGAAACACATATTTTTTTTGCGGTTAAAGATATTAATCCGGGGAATCGATATTTATCCGAATCATATAATAAGGATTCTATGAAACATACTGTATATCCTTTTTTTAAATATTAATATTATATACTTTATTATCTTTATTTTAAAACAAACAATGTCTCAAAATTAATTCTTAATAATATAGTACTAAAATATATACAATTWTGGTTCAATTATAATTGAATTATAAAAAATAAACAAATATTTTGATCGTTTTGAGCACATATTTGATTAAATATTTTATAAATATTGACCACAATTTTGATATCTCTAGTGATTATACACTATTCATTAGTGTTGTATACTTACTCTACATTAACTTATATAGACTTCTTATAATTTATATTTTTAGTACTTAATATAATGCAATAAAAAATGCTTAATTGATTGCAAAACATTGAATGTTTCTGTATATTCATAACATTATTTAGTTATATCAGAATTATTATGAAATAATGTAAAAATTATTTTATTAATAATATAATTAAATACACAATAATAAAAATAAATATTACAAAAAAGTTGTAAATATGTTAAATGATTTCTAAACATATGTTATATCATACCGGTATTTAAATTATGAATATTAACATTATTTCTCATTTTTTTAATAAAGATAATAACTATATTTTTATAACTATTAGCATATTTTTGTGTAAATTTTAACAGTATTATAAAAATATTAATAACGCTATATTGTAATTGATTATATAAATTAATATCTAAAAAATGATTTATCTCTAGGTTTCCGATAATTTATTTTTCACGATATCATTATTAGATAATATAAAATAATGAGAAACTAAAATATAAAATCAAATTTACTATAATATTAAATATAAACAAAATAAATGGTTAAATTTATATATTTAATTTTATTGCATACAATATTAACATTGAAACTATAAATAAGTTTATAGTACAGTACATTGAATATTATTATAATGAAAACTTTTTTATGTAATTGATTTTTTCTTATATAAAAATTAATGATGAGTTTAGACATAAAACAAATACAGATGTTTTGTAAACAAATATAGAAATCACTAAAACATATTATAATTTTATTATAAATATTTGTATATTTTTATATAAATGGAAATTTTTAGATTCTTTAATCAATTTCCAGTATTAAAATGATTGCAAATATTTCATTTGAACAATTGTTTAGTATATTATTCATATTACAGTATTTATACAGAATATAGGAAACAATAAATATTTTGATTTTATTATTATATTAAWGATAATTATTTTTTAATTTAATATTGTTTGTCATTTTCTGTTTATAATTTAAAATTAAATAATTGATACCAATAATAATTAAGCTAAATTTATTTGTCATTTTAGTAGTTATTTATGCAATTAGATATCAAAATTAATTTAGTCAATTTAAGTATTCATAAAATTTTGATAACATATGATAAATTAATTGATTAGAGTTAAAACAGTAAAATATTTCTAGATTTATTAGTCAAATTTTAATATAATAAATATATATATATAATGTCAACCATTAGAGTACATGATTGCTGATAAAAGATAAAAAATGTTGTATCAATAAAATTAATTGATTAGAGAATAAGCTTTATTGTAGTACTATATTCAAGTGAAAACATGAATTGTATTGATAATCAATTAGTCGTATTCACAAAATACATATTACGTGACAAATATATAATTCTAGCAAATGTTGAAATATATGTATCGATATTATTTTGCACACAATATTAGTTTATATTATGATATTGTATACATAAAAGCTGTAATACCTAAAATGATGACATTTGAAAATATAAATAAATTGAAATAAATGCAATACTTAATGAAATTTTTTTTCAAAATGTCAAACTTTGGTCTAATAAAAAAATGAAGCAAAACTAATAAAAAACAATATTTAATTTTGCATAAAAATTAACAAATAGTTCATCAATATCTTATAATGTAATAAACTAATACAATATTATATTGCAAAGAGAATTTTCAATTTGTCATTATCTCATTTTATTTATAAATAGATAATTTATTATTGTATATATTTTGGTTACAGTATTTATAAGTTGTGTGTTTGTTTATTTGATTATAAATAATATTTATAAAATATCACAAATAAATTAGGTGCAAAAGTTGTCATTAATTTTTAGTTTCTAAAAAAAGTTTAAATAAAATTAAATTTTAAGATATTTAATATAGTACTTAAAATTATAGCTCAATTAAAAATTAGTTTAAAATAGACTATTTTTAATTTTATATTTATATACAAATTTATATAACAAACTGTATTATTATATGACATTATTATCTAAATATATTATTGATAAACAAGTCGTGTGAACGATATATTTTTAATTAAAAAAACTTGTTTTTGTTGAAACCAAGAAACTCATTGTATTTTAATCTTTTTCTGTTTTTATTATTAAACATATGTTATGCTGTAATATAATAGTTTGGTTTGTAATGGTTTGGTGCTTACAAAAGGATGCAAAAGACTGATTTGATTAACAGTATATATCGGGCGTATCTTTTTAATGGTTTAAATAACAACTTTTAAATTAACTTTTTTTATAAAAATAAATTTTAAATATATTTTTCATTTGTTAGATAGCTTATCACTAGTTTCTTATCGTTAACTAAATTATATATTTTTCATAACCCAAAAGCTAAATAATTTCAATGTCAGTTTAATAAGTAATATAAAGTATAAATTATATATATTGTACTGTACTGTATGTGAATGCATAATAAAACAGATTGCTTATCATTAATATTATATATAAATAGATAGTATATTCAATAAAATAGACTTAATTTCCTGTGATATTATAAAAGATAATTTTTTCATTTATTTATTTCACACATTTTCCATAAAATTTATATTAAACATTTTTATTTGTTTATAATGAAATGTTAATAATAAATGATAAAATAGGTAACATTTGGTGCATAAAATAAATACTAATATTTGCTAATTTGTTAAAAAATTTGTAAATTAAATAAATAATATAATATTTATTTATGTAGGCATTGTTAGTCATGTAATTAGTTATTAACTTAGTATCATACTTACATTTACCGGCAATATATTAAACTATTTATTACTACTTTATTACATAATGATATATTTATTAATATATTTATCAAATTAATTTGCTTGCGTAATATAATTATAATAATATAATTTTCCAAATGTTTATGTTTAATTTTGTTATTTATTTGTTTTTGCATTTATAAAACAAAGTCAATGACACTTACAAATAATAATATTATTTATAATTTAAATTAAATTTCTATAAATTGTTTATAATATAATTTCAATTAAAATATTTTTTAAAACTTATTGAGTTAGATTAACTTTAATAATAACACACATTCACTTTTTCGAAAATTAAACTAAGTCTATATAATTTTTCATATCAATGGTTTATATAAAATTGTTTATAAGTTATAACGTTTAGAGATAATGTCAATAATATGACAATTATTTTATTAAAAATTTAATTAATTTAATTACTATTTTTTGTCATATTTCAAGTAAAATATTTATATATATTACTAATATTTTATAATTATAAAAAATATTATCTAGTTTAGTATATATTTAAGTTTTATAAGAAATCAATTAACACAAAGTAGGAATAATAATAATATTACTATTATTATTATTACAATTAATAATTTATGATACTATGTTTTCAATTTCAATTTTAGATTTTATATTATACATTATAACTTATACTGTATTAGGCACTAAGTAATACATGAGAATCATATGATTTAATTTATAATTTATGAATAATTATTTTTTTTTTATAATTACTAGTGTATTGATTAATAATTTTTTATACTCTATTAAATAGTTGTTATAATAGTTGCTAAAAAACGTCAAATAGTTGTTAAAATAGTTATTTAAACTGTATTAAATAGTTGTATATAGTTGCCAAAAAAGCCAAATAATTATTGAAATAATTATTTATTTTCTTATAAATATTTCAACTGATATATAATTCACTTGTTTTCAGCATATTTACAAAAATGATTTATATAAATAAACTAATTATTTTTATTGTTAAAAAAGTAATATGAGTTGATAACAGTTTACACATTTTATATAATTTATATAACTATTACTTTTTGTTTTTACATATATTTGTGCAATATATATGCTTATATTTTTCAAAATAAGTGAAATAGTTATTTATAAGTTTTTATAGTTGCTAACCTAACAAATAGTTATTTATAGTTATAATAAAATTTCGGAAATAGCGTCCACTGGTCAAGTTAGGTGGACATACTAAGTCCCAGTTATAAGCGTTAAACCGACAAAATAATTTTTTTAGTTGGAAATCAAGACACTAATAATTACATTTAGATATAGTTAGATATAATGTACAATATATTTATAAAGTCATATATAAAAATAAGAAATAAGATTAATTTTCATCTAAAATATATATAATATCGTATAATTAAAAAATACAATATTTGTTTGATAATGCGCTAATATCATATTATTGTGACGTAAAATTATAGTCAAATG